GGTGGGGGGGGGGGGAAGAGATTCGACTTTGAAAAGAGGCGAGTATCCCCGTCTTTGTTCCTTGACTGTCATACTGACACTATAGCAAGACGAAGGCATGCATGGTGACTACTACACAATACTCCAGCACGTGCTCTGAATGTTTCATAAATAGACTTGCCCACACCTCCACTCTCGCCGACCTCGCTACTCGTGAACTACACTGGGGATATCAAGTCCTCGCTATCAACCCTAGGCCAATGCTGCTCGCAAGATGGTATGAGTTATCACTACATGACGCGACGTTGGTATTGAGTTAGCCAAGGCAGACTCTCCAATCAGAGGTGGCATAGAATCCCCGCACGAAGTCCCTGGCACCAGGTATTATCCGCGTTTGAATTTTTGAACGCGGGTACATTCAGACATGCATCCGATATACTTAATCCTCCAGGCGGCACGACTACGAGAGGCAAACCGTCTATGGATAATAATGACAGGTGCATCTCGCTTCAAAGTAGACACTCTGTGAGGGGCTCGGTCAATTGGCTTCGCCCAGCTGCCTGGTAAAGAAGGCGCATTCTGAAGCAGAGCTACTCCGCACGATGCATGGAGTTCATCGCTGGTGTTGGTCCAGGTGCTGCAGGCTTTTAGAAGCGAGCCATGCCAATGCCCCGCGTCGTCGGCGCGAACTCCAATTGACAGGCCATCCGCGGAATTGCGGGCGGAATATCCAGACGAATGAAGCCGCACGAATCAAGCCGGAATATGGTGAACGTCAAGATGAGGCCAAGATGGCTTCGGCAACGAATTACCCCGCGACTGGGGTGTAGAGCCGGGGAAATTCTGCGTCGTCTTTCTCCAATTCTCAGCGGTCTCCGCACCCCGAAGCGGGCTGAGGTGGGCACTCCCCATGTCATCACGGGCAGACCCATGCTAGTCCCGATCTCTTGGGACCATGGATAAAATGGCAGATGCCCGGGTAAGAGACGTTGACTGTTCGGATGAAACTGGCCGTCCTGCTCTCGCGGCATTCTTGGAGGATTTAAAGACGTTTCAGTTGCCATGGCCTGGCTGAAGAGATTGGCTGCGCTATGCGGCTTGGCATCGACCTTCACTGCCGTTTTGGGACAAGGGAACTCAACCGATTGGCCGTTACACGAAAATGGTCTTACAGATCTCGTACAGTGGTGGGTTATGACAAGAGCATGGTGAAATGACAGGTCTGATGCGGCATTATAGGGACCATTACAGCTTCCACGTCAACGGGCAGAGGTTATTTGTCTTTTCCGGAGAGGTATGTCTGATGCAAGTCTATTATTGCTGGCATAATACTGACTTATACTAGTTCCATTACTGGCGTTACCCCGTGTAGGGCAAGATAAGTCCTATCATTGATCATTGGCTAATGTACTTCACAGCCCAGAACTATGGAGAGACTTACTTGAAAAAGTCAAGGCAGCTGGGTAAGTCCTCGATCATGTCCATGATCCCTCCATATCTCTGCTGATGGCAGGAACAGCTTCAATGCCTTCTCCATCTATAATCACTGGGGGTACCACAACCCCACCCCTGGCGTCTTGGATTTTGAGTCCGGTGCTCACGACTTTACTTCTATCATGACACTCGCGAAGGATCTCGGCCTCTATATGATCATCAGACCTGGTCCTTACGTGAACGCCGAGGCTAACGCTGGTGGCTTTCCGCTGTGGGTGACAACTGGGGCATATGGCGCTCTGCGAGACAACGATACGAGATACACCGATGCCTGGACACCATACTTCTCTGAGATTTCACAAATCATTGCCCCTCATTTGATCACCAACGGCGGCAATGTCATCCTGTTTCAGATTGAGAACGAGCTGGGCAACCAATGGACCAACATCAAGAACAAGACCGACAATCCTTCAGCCCAGCAGTACATGCAGCTGCTATCGGACGTAGCTCGGGATAACGGCATCGACGTTCCACTTACGCACAACTTACCCAATATGGTCAGCACATATATGCCTCGGTATCAACGACCTTGTGCTAATCATTGACAGAACGGCTACTCCTGGTCCAAGGATTTCTCAAATGCAACTGGAAATGTGGATGTCGTGGGTCTAGACAGCTATCCTTCTTGCTGGAGTTGCAACTTGAGCGAATGTACCGGAACCAATGGGAAATATGTTGCTTATGTGAGTAAATATTGGAATGCGATGGGTTGTGAGCATTAATGCTGACCTAACATAGCAAACTATCAACTACTATGAGTGAGTCTGGGATATCTCAACAATATGCCGTGATATGCAGCTAATACCGACCAGCTACTTCACAGTGCAGTCACCGTAAGTTTCATACACACTGCCGAACGTCTGCAGCTAGTTGACATCAGTTTAGGACGCAGCCAAACTTCATGCCAGAATTTCAGGGGGGGTCATATAACCCATGGGGCGGTCCGCAAGGCGGATGCCCTGCGGACATTGGTGTTGACTTCGCCAATCTCTTCTACCGCAATCTGATATTTCAGCGCGTCAGTGCTATCTCACTATACATGCTCTTCGGCGGTACTTCTTGGGGTTGGCACGGTGCACCGGTAGTTGGTGGGTCAACCCGATCCCGAAAGCTTGTAAACTTATCTGACGGACACAGCAACGAGCTACGACTATTCGTCGCCGATATCTGAGAACCGCATTATTGGTAGCAAGTACTACGAAACGAAACTACTGACCCAATTCACTCGAGGTTCGTACATCTACCTCGTACAGGAACTCAATATTGATTTATGGCAGTTGCAAAGGACCTTGCCATCACGGATCGTCTCGGAAATGTGAGTTGCCGCTTCCATTGGTGTGATGCATCAGGAACTAAGTGCGTTAGAACACGGATTACTCGAGCAATTCAGCGATCAGCACGTCAGAACTCCGCAATCCTGAAACAGGCGCTGCATTCTATGTAACTCAGCACGCTGACTCTACATCATCCACTGTTGAGACGTTCACCCTTAAGGTGAACACCTCTGCTGGCTCTCGTAAGTTGGTCTCTGAATGAATACGATGGAGCTGATGGTTTGAAAGTTACCATCCCTCAATACGGGAGTGAAATAACCATAAATGGACACCAGTCGAAGATACTGGTCACGGATTTTGCCTTTGGGGCAAAGTCTCTCCTCTACTCGACTGCCGAAGTGCTCACATTTGCCATTATTGACGGCAAGGAGACATTGGCTCTGTGGGTCCCAACTGGGGAATCTGGAGAATTCACTGTCCAAGGCGTCAATGCTGCGAACCTGGCAGCGTGCAACGGCTGTGCGAACGTGAATATCTATCCCGGAGAAACCAATGTGACAATTTCCTTCCTCCAGAACGCAGGTATGAGTACTGTCGAGTTGGGCGATGGGTCTCGCATTGTCCTCCTCGACAGATCGGCAGCGTATCTATTCTGGTCTCCAAGCCTCGACAACAACCCTCTTGAGGCTGGAAACAACACTAGTGGGTGAACTACTATAAGATAGAAACCGGGATCCTGACTGTTCTTAGTTCTTGTACACGGGCCTTATCTTCTACGATCTGCACGACTAGAGGACCGCATCTTGAAATTGACCGGCGACGTGGCTAACGCAACCGCTGTCACGATCTTTGCCCCGAAGTCGATATGCTCAGTAACATGGAATGGCAAGCCAGTCGAACTCACATCAGCCAGATCAGGAGTTTTGACAACTACTGTTGGTGGTGAGGCGCACTTCTCTCTTCCCGCCCTTAGTGGCTGGAAATACATGGACAGCCTACCCGAGATCCAAAGCAACTACTCAGCTACCAGCAAAGCCTGGGTTGGTAAGTGTATTCCAATATTATTAAAGTAGTGTGTGCTGACTTCCGCAGCTGCGGAAAATACTAACACCTCGAATCCGACGCCTCCGGCACCGAATAATCCTGTCCTTTACGTTGATGACTACGGTATCCACGCCGGCAACCACATCTACCGCGCAACCTTCTCCACAACCTCAGATCCTCCCACCGGCGTCTTTCTGAATATAACTGGTGGTACTGCCTTTGGCTATTCAGCGTGGCTCAATGGGAACTTCATTGGTTCGTGGCTCGGGTTGTCCTGGATCGACTTGCAAGGAACCACATTCTCATTCTCAAATGCCACACTCAATACCGATGGAGACAACACTCTGGTCGTCGTTATGGACAACTCAGGCCATGACCAGCGAAGCGCTGCTTTGAATCCTCGTGGCATCACCAATGCCACGCTGGTTGGCCCCGGCACCTACTCCTTCAGTGAGTGGAAGATCGCGGGTACGGCCGGTCGCCAAGACCTGCTCGACCCGGTACGTGGGTCGCTGAATGAAGGCGGGCTCTATGCTGAAAGAGTTGGACTTCACCTTCCCGAGTACCCTGGCGAGGAGTTGGTAAACTTGGATGCAGAAGGCTCCAGTCTGTTTGTCCCCGGCGCTGGCATTCGGGTCTTCCGCGTTGTTCTCCCATTGGCCGTTCCTGCCGGGCTTGACGTATCCATCTCCTTTAGGCTCACTGCGCCCTCAAACGAGACGTTCACTTCAGAGCTCGGCTACACAAACCAGCTGCGCGCTCTCCTCTTCGTCAATGGGTACCAATACGGACGCTTCAATCCGTATATCGGGAACCAGATCGACTTCCCAGTTCCACCAGGCGTACTGAACTACAATGGCGACAATACGATCGCTGTGACTGTTTGGAGTCAGAGTGCAGAGGGTGCGGAGATGAAGATCGATTGGAACATTGAGTACGCCCATGAGAGCAGCTACGACATGCTCTTTGACGGTGCATATTTGAGACCAGGATGGAGCGAGGATAGGTTAGAGTGGGCTTGACGGGAATAAATAGCTCTCTGATAGACCAAAGGTAACTCTGACAAAATCAAACTGGAAATCTACGGCGATGTGACAGTAACACATGAATCTTTTCATCGCACAAGTCGTCCTGTCTTCCTGTCATCAATAGCTTGGATAGTTAGCGACCCGCGAACTTGGAACCTACCTAGAGACCCACAAAAGTAAGCAGTGTGGCGGAATCTGCATGGGTTCAAGCCAATGAGGTACATCGAAAAGTCCCGAAGGATTGTTTTCCATGAATCTCTTTGCCGTATGAGGCAGGTAACACAGGAATAAGGCACCAGACTTGGTATACGGTAGGTACATGAGGCGAACCTTCCCCGATGGGATAGTACTAGCCGACTTTAAAGGAGAGATCGCTGACATTGAATGCCGAGATAGAACACCGGTATTTCTGCAGGTCACCGGACGATACTTTGAAACTTGAATGAACCTGTATGTTTCGCCATTCTAGTCGACTGCTGCATAATTTAGTAGCACTTCAGACGCTATGTTGCCCGTGGAGATATTCCCGCTTTTGTTTAACTACTTATCATTATGTGTGGCCGCTGTAGAACCTCGAAGAGAGTCCAGTAAGAGACAATTACCTGCCGATCCTACTGGCGTTACAACCATCACTTCACCTAATGGGTTCCAAATCCGCTATAGCGAGCCTGGAAAATCTGGCGTCTGTGAGACAACGCCAGATGTCAATTCATACTCAGGCTACATCGACATAGATGAGAAAACACACATGTTCTTTTGGTTCTTCGAGGCACGGCATAATGCAAATGAGGCTCCAATCACACTGTGGCTCGAGGGTGGTCCTGGGGCAGACTCATTGTTTGGGCTATTTGACCGTAAGGAGCTTTGAATTCCATATTTAACACTTCCATCTTCTGACTCAAGAGTTACAGTGGTTGGTCCATGCCATGTGACGGAGGACCTGAAATCGGAGTTGAACCCCAACAGTTTCACGGAAGTGAGCAATGTTCTCTTCCTGTCACAGCCCATTGGGGTTGGCTTTTCCTATGCAGGTAGATTACCACGCCTTCCGAGGTTACGGCTACGTTAACCGACCCGCTCGCAGATGAGGTCGCCGGGATAATCAACGGGACAAGTGGATACCCCCAGAACTCTTCAACACCAGATGGTCGCTATGCGAATGTTAGTCCGTTCCAAACGACCACAACTTCAGCTGCTGCCGTCACTGCATGGGAAGTGCTGCAGGCTTTTTTCCAGGAGCTCCCCTCGTTCGATCCAGATGTCAAGTCTCGAGACTTCAACCTATGGACATTGAGCTATGGGGGTCACTGGGGTCCGGCTTTCTTTGCACACTTCTACGAGCAGAATGAATTAATCAAGAACGGCAAAGCGCAAGGGGTCGCGCTGCACATGCAATCTCTTGGTATCATCAATGGCATCATTGACATCCAAGTTCAAATGCCATACTACCCGGAATACGCAATTAAGAACGAGTACGGTATACAGCTAGTCAACGAGACGGTATACGCGTTTATGAAAATGGCATTTTCTATTACCGGAGGTGAGATATCTTGATGCTGTTCTTTTCCAGTCCTGATTCAATGAGACTAAAGGCTGATGTCGATTAGGATGTTCCGATTCTTTAGACTACTGTTATGCATCGGACACCAGCACCCTCATTGGGCAGTACCTCTGCGCTTCTGCCAATGCAATCTGCCGAACAATGGTAGAAGGCCCAGCTGAATCGATCAGCAATCGTAGCCCGTACGATATACGTGCACTAGCTACAGAGGAGCTCGAACCGTCGTTTTGGATCGACTATGTGAATACCGCATTTGTGCAGAATGCCCTCGGTGTCAATCTTAATTATACGTCTGCCTCGAGTGAACAGGTTTCCGAGGGTTTCGTCTTATCAGGTGACTGGGCTTATAGTAAGCTATCGGACCTCGAGGAGCTCTTGGACCGCGGTGTCAAAGTTGCGTTGATAAACGGTGATGCCGTAAGTAGAACCTCCATCTCAACTTGCTGAGATCCCCGGAGATTCAAATATTGACCCTCCTCAGGACTATTTAGCTAACTGGATGGGTGGGGAGGCCATCTCCCTGGCTGCAAACTACACCCATTCCGCCGGCTTCCGGGCGGCTAACTATGAACCGCTTGTAGTTGATGGTACGAAGTATGGCGAAACGCGCGAGTTTGGGCAGTTTAGCTTTACGAAGGTACATGAGGCTGGACACGATGTGCCCTTTTACCAGCCCGTTGCCACCTTGGAACTTTTCAAGAGAGTTTTGGGTAACCTAGTCATTTCAGATGGATCCAGCAAGGTTGATTATTGAGTACCATAGCATGCTTACCTCCTTCGCAGCCTGGCAGCTCGGAAAAAACTTTTGTCCCAAGTAAGCAATCTTTGGGACCGAAGAAATGGTGGCGCTACGTACAAGATAGAAATTATCCGATGCTGCTTGTTTGCTGTGCGGGATGTATTGGCTTTTGGGGGTACGTATCCGTTTGCATGTCATCTCAATTTGGAAACAAAATGCTCTGCTCTCAGTCTCAGCTCACGGAACGCAATGAAAGCGGTAAGCTGATATGATGTGACAAGAATACCTGAATGACGAACTGAGCCAAGAGCAATACAACATTGGCATCTCAATTTTCAACGGTCGGTTGTGTCTCAGCAGCTCAAGGTAGTATTTATCTAGGACAAAATGTAGAGGGAATTGTTCCGTTTGTTGCCCTTTATTACTCATTAATGATTGCTGACAGCTTCAGCTTAGCTATCCTGCTTGATGCTGCCCACAACTTTTCCAAGCCAAAGTGCTTAGAAGGGCCGTTACGACTTGTCCTGATACCGCAAGACTGTCGTAAAATGTACAAGTTCCAAAACGTGTTGTTTCCTGTACCGTTTTCTTTTGTGATCGTGGCCTTCCATATTGTCCATTCAGTGGACATGTCCAGCGTCCTATGCTTGTATCCAGTGAGTGCCCACTAAAAGTTCACAGACCACTCTTCATGATCGTCGGTGGGCCTCGGACACGAGCCCATGTGGATCCTTCTGGGTGCTGGCCCGCGGGGGATGAAACTCATAAACTATCACCCTTTATCCAGTAGCCAGCCGAACTGATTGCCTCTATACGCATCGAGAAGCCCCCTACAGGGCTCCCAGAGGGCGCCCCTCTGTAGTCTCGGCTTCAATTTCCTCCATCATAGTTGCCAGCATTCGCTTTGAGAACCACGCTTGAGCACGTCAGGGCAACAATGACCACATGTCCGAAAGGCAGGCTGCGAGGGTGGTTGGAGCAGTCTCAGTCCATTGATCGAACTGGCCGACACCCAAAGCGTTCATCGCCTGCGGTCCCTGCTTCACAAGCAGCCGACCACCCATCATCACAGCCTTACGTCCGTACTCGATAACTGTTATTCCACTACCCTCGAGGGTTGTTGAAAGCGACTGAATCAGAGGCTTCTGGAAGACGTCGGCGTTGATCACCTGTGAAATAAATAGAGATTAACACTGACTGCGGTTATCTCCTGAGACAAGATAGGATAACAATTCAAGGGAGTGAAGTGGAACTCCGGGAGCCACATACCAAAGTCTTGAGCTTCGGCATCTGCTTCAAGAGCCTGAGGAAGTCCGGAAGCGGGAAGTTGACTGTGTTTATAACTTTGCCGCGCTCCCAATTCGAGACAGTGCCACGCACATGCCCGCCATCGAGCTGTGAGCCCCACCACAGCGGCGCGATATGCAGTTCCAACTTCTCGAGGCCCTGCATAAGAGGCATCCCATATGGGTGAAAGATGGAGCTCACGAGCTCATAGAAGTCATACGAGTGGTTGAATCGGAGGTCATACTCGATGTAGAATGTCTTCATGTGGGGGGCCTGAAGGTTCATTGCGCTGGGCATGGTTGCAAGAAGTGAGACTCCAGATGTATGGATCCCGCGACTACCATTGTAATGACCGGATGCAGAGCTGAACTTGGTTGAGAGGGCGTGGGTATCATTCCCAAAACGCATGATGACCGTGCCCAATACCAACGGCGAAGCTTCCATGCGGAGCCGACGGCATACTTGGAGGAGTGCTGTGGCTTTGGCATTGCTGGGAGAGTGAAGCGGGCCGGACTTGTGCATACCAGCGCACCAGTCGCTCTGGATGACGCGTTCCTCGAGCTGATCGAGAGTGAAGTAGTGGGTGAGTACCATCTCTCGGACCTCGGCGGCCAGTCTGAAGAACGGAGATTGTGCTTGCGCGTCGATCTCCATAGTGGCGCGTTTGTGAGATTGTGAGGAAGCAACGAGATATCGAAGGCCCTACCACATATCTTGGGATCTGAGAGTTTGCAGAGAATCTGGACGTTGAGATCCAAAGGACTTATGCACAGATTGACCTCACGTGGCAGAGAACAAACGCAGAAAGCCTGCTTGAGACCCGAGTGAGTTCAATCAGAGTGAATTTCCTGGTTGCCCTGCGTGGTTTCGGTGAAATCAGACAAATACGCGAGGGACTTGCATCTCTAATGCGCGAAGTAAAAAAATTCAAATAATGCAAAATCCGTTGGCCGCCTGGGAGATCAGGCGGATAGACCTTCGATACTTCGATTTAGAATGCCATTTTCATCTTCAACAAGTCTCCGTCTATTATCTCCTCCTTCTTGTCGAATACCTCCTCCATGTCCCACATTGCGCTGAGATATCGCCCAGCGAGCCACTCCTGTCTCCGACTTGTGAGGAATGCTATGGTGTCGCCACCTAGAGCAGTAGTGCATCGAAGCCAAGCTAAAGTAGCGGTTAGCTGTACGTATGCATGGCTTCACTCAGCGACCCTTCTTGTGCACATACCCTGCGTCTGCTCTGGCAGGCTGCTGGACAAATCTGTAGCAACACCGCCAGGGTGGATTGAGTACGTGAGCAAACCCTGGAGCCCATGTAAGCGTCTCCTATTCAAACAAAATTGTAGGACAAACCTACTTGGTCACCATGGTCTGCCATGAGAAATTCTGTAAGCCTTAGAAGCGCGAACTTGGAAACCTGGTAACTGCTGCCGCCGATGTGGTAGTGCATTGAACCGGAGGACGCGATGCTGACAATGGTCTTGTCGCCCCCTTTGAGCATCAGGGGTAGGAAAGCCTTGGCGACGAAATACATGCCGCGGACGTTTGTCTCGTAACTCTGCCACCACTCATCATCGTCGCTATCGAGGAGCCTTTCGTAGTGCGCAAGAAAGCCGGCGTTGCTGATGAGGATATCGAGGCGTCCAAATTCACGTTCAACAGCCTCGGCCGCAGTTCTCACGCTCGCCCTGTTGACGACATCGACCTGGAGGGCGAGCACCCTGGGTTCCGCGAGTCCTGCCGTCAATGCAACATTTTTGATATCCACCGCCACCGACGAGCAGTCGGATCGGCTTGTGATGGCTATATGCGATGCCCCCGCCTTTGCATAAGAAGTTGCTATTCCTTTGCCTATGCCTTTATTTCCGCCTGTGATCAACACCGCCTTGCCGGCGCAGTCCGATTTCGACGGGTCGACATAGGCGTACGTGTCATGATGCAAGGCTTTTGTATAATTTGCCCCTGTTGGTGTTACTAGGTAGACTTGGGCATAACTACGGGTCAGGCACATCAGGACTCACCCCAGTTGGGTTGGACTGGCGGATAGCCACGGCTACGGAGACTGGCAGAGAGGTCGCTGCTGGACATGATATCTACCTTGGGTAGTTAGGCAACTTGGATACAGTGTGGCGGTCCAGTCACAACGGAAGAGATATCTTGCGACTCGGTGACTCTGAAGAGAAGAACCCAGACGCGGGGATAAGAAAGAAACACGGTGCCAGGAGTCAGCAGCAGCTATGGATCTGACACCAAGTCCCCAAGGTTGTCGACTAGCCGGTGATGTCGGTCAGGATGCCCATGCTGACAGTGGAGACGGCCGTGTCCGAGGACCGGCTGGCTGAAAAGCAATGGAGCGTTGCTACGTGATTGGCCCGAGGTATATGGGCACTACCTAGCATAGTCCCCCAATACGTGCAATGCCAAATAACTCATCTGTTTCGATACAACGGCCTCGAGTGGATCGCTGAGGCCGTGAACTGGCGGTACTATCTCCTGCGATACACGACTACCGGGGGCACCGGGCTATATACACAGGTACTCTCATGTCCATCCAACGGACTTGATGTATGGGCCATCGGACAGAAAAACCTTCATAGATCAGACGATCACTCTCAAAGGAAGAGAAAACACGTACAAACCCCTGGACGATACGACAGGTACTGCCGGTCGCGTACAAGTGTCGCCGACCCAAGCATACAAGCGCGGGAAAGAGAATCTCGTCATCTCGAAAGCTGGAGGAGGACCAGGGTTCGAACTCAAGCTCATTGAGGCTTCGGGGCGGGGGGCTTTTTCCAGGCCTGCCAGTGTCTACAATGCGCTGCGGTGGCGTCTGGATGCGCTAAACCATATGTGCTAACTGCCTAGCTTGCCTAGGTACCTGGGTAACTATGCCGTTGTACCTTGGCAGCAACCTTCCTACAAGCCCACTTTGACCGCCCGGCAGAAACTGCGGCTCCACTAAAATTTTGTCGAGACCTGGGCTCAGGATTTCGGGGAGCGCAAACACTGCGGCCGGAACGGTAGACAGGTAGGCTTGCGGAAGAAAAAGTCTCCAGCGTCGGCGTAAAGGAACACCACAAGACACGACAAGCCGCTGGACAGCAGCAACGTTTGTCGCCATGACGCGCAAGGCAGTGTACGTTCAAGGAGCAGCCCCTTCTCTCTCTTCTCCCCCCTGCCTCTCTCGCTACCCCATGAGGGCCGCAGAGAATCTCTCCGTCTACTACTACTACCACCACCACCACCACCACCACCACTACTACTACTACTACTACTACTACTACTACTACTACTACTACTACTACCTCTTGCTAACACGCCTCGCCCACCGTCCAGAGACTCCCGCATTCCTGCCCTCATCCGCAATGGCCTCCAGGAGCGCAAGCGGTCCTTCTTCGTCGTCGTCGGCGACCGCGCCAAGGATGTCATCGTCCACCTCCACTACATCATGTCCTCCATGGACCTGAAACAGAACAAGTCGGTACTGTGGGCCTACAAGAAGAAGCTGCTCGGCTTCACCAGTCACCGCGCCAAGCGCGAGAAGAAGATCCAGAAGGAAGTCAAGCGAGGCATCCGCGAGGCCAACTCCGAGGACCCCTTCGAGCTGTTCGTCAACCTGCACAACATCCGCTATGTCTACTACAAGGAGTCCGAGAAGGTCCTCGGCCAGACCTTTGGCATGTGCATCCTTCAGGACTTCGAGGGCCTTACCCCCAACCTGTTGGCCAAGACCATTGAGACCGTCGAGGGCGGCGGCCTCGTCGTCCTGCTCCTCAAGGGCATGAACAGCCTCAAGCAGCTGTACGCCATGTCCATGGATGTCCACTCGCGCTACCGCACCGAGGCCCACCAGGACGTCGTGCCGAGATTCAACGAGCGCTTCATCCTCTCCATGGGTGCCAACAAGTCGTGTCTCGTCATTGACGACGAACTCAACGTCCTCCCCATCTCCGGTGGAAAGGAGGTGAAGCCTCTCCCCCCTCCCGACTTGGACGAGCCCAAGACCCCCGCCCAGAAGGAACTCGAGTCCATCAAGGAGTCGCACGAGGATGAGCGGCCGGTCGGCAACCTGGTGAGCCTCGCCAAGACGGTCGACCAGGCCAAGGCCCTCTTGACTTTTGTCGAAGCCATTGCCGAGAAGTCCCTGCGCAACACCGTCACACTGACCGCCGCAAGAGGCCGCGGAAAATCCGCTGCCATGGGTGTTGCTGTGGCTGCCGCTGTCGCCTACGGCTACTCCAACATCTTCATCACATCGCCCTCGCCCGAGAACTTGAAGACCCTCTTTGAATTCATCTTCAAAGGCTTCGACTCTCTGGGATACGCCGACCACGCCGACTACTCCATCATCCAGTCTACCAACCCTGACTTCAACAAGGCGATCGTGCGTGTCAACATCCACCGCAACCACCGACAGACGATTCAGTACATCCGCCCACAAGATGCCCATGTCCTCGGCCAGGCCGAGCTTGTCGTCATCGATGAGGCTGCCGCCATCCCCTTACCCTTGGTGAAGAAGCTCATGGGCCCCTATTTGGTGTTCATGGCCTCTACCATTAATGGCTACGAGGGTACGGGCAGATCGCTCTCCCTCAAACTCATCAAGCAGCTCCGGGAGCAGTCGAGGGCTGCGCCGGTAGCCAACGGCACCGAGGTTGCCGATCGATCAAGTGGCAAGGCATCCAAGAGCGCCGACCTCGGCTTTAGCGGAAACCGCCTGAGAGAAATCACTCTTTCGGAGCCCATTCGATACGCACAGGGAGATGACGTCGAGAAGTGGCTGAACAACTTGTTGTGTTTGGACGCTACCCTACCCCGTTCCAAAATCAACACCCAAGGCTGCCCTGATCCGTCACAGTGTGAGCTGCTCAAGGTTAACCGCGACACGTTATTTTCCTTTCACCCTGTCTCGGAAAAGTTCCTGCAACAGCTGGTAGCCCTCTATGTTTCTAGCCATTACAAGAACTCACCCGACGACCTGCAACTTCTCAGTGACGCACCAGCCCACGAGTTGTATGTCTTGACTGCGCCGGCTACTGACAGCAATCGGCTACCGGAGCCATTGTGTGTCATCCAGGTTGCACTGGAAGGAAAGATCAGCAGGCAGAGCGTCCTCAACAGCTTGGACCGGGGAACGCGGCCCGCGGGCGATTTGATACCCTGGCTTGTCAGCCAACAGTTCTGCGACAGAGAGTTCCCCTCATTGTCCGGCGCAAGAGTCGTACGTATCGCGACGAACCCCGATTACGTGTCCATGGGCTACGGTTCGAAGGCCTTGGAGCTCTTGTACGATTTCTACGAAGGCAAATTCGCCGATTTGTCCGAGGGCGCTGGGCCTGTCGAGGAAGAAACCATGGTTCGTGTCACTGACTCAGAGCTGACAAATGGCACATTGTCCGACGAACTCAAGGTGCGGGATATCAACTCGATGCCGCCACTGTTTTCGAGGCTTTCGCAGATCCGCCCCGCAGCCCTTGATTATGTTGGTGTAAGCTACGGCTTGACCCAGTCGTTGCACAAGTTCTGGAAGCGTGCAGGCATGTCTCCATTGTATCTGCGTCAAACCAGCAACGACATTACGGGAGAACACACCTGTGTCATGATCCGTGCTTTGGAGAGGACGGAAGACCGGTCGTGGCTCGGTTCCTTTGCCGCAGACTTCCAGCTACGATTCTTGGAGTTATTGTCATATGCATTCCGAGACTTCAACTCTACGTTGTGCTTGAGCATCGATGAGTCCGCCAATGCTGGGGCGGCATTGGATGACTCGCGAGCAGCGGCCCCACTCACGAAGTCTGATCTTGACGCGTTGTTGTCGCCATACGACCTGAAGCGATTAGAGTCCTACTGCAATGGTACGCTCGACTACCACACTATTCTGGATCTCGTGCCCAAACTTGCAAGCCTCTACTTCACCGGAAGACTGAAGCAGAACATCAAACTCAGCGGCATACAGCAAGCTATCTTGCTTGCTATTGGATTGCAACGCAAGGATATGGACGCTGTCACTCAGGAACTTCCTCTTCAGAGCTCACAGCTACTGGCCATGTTCACCAAGATCACCCGGAAGATGATGGCGCATTTCGACACCTTGGTCAAGGGTGCTGTTGCTGCTGATATGCCCCGGGGGGATGCTATTGGTGTCAGCGTGGAGAACGCCAGCGGAGTGCACGATGACGAAATGGTCGACACGCGCTTTGCACCACTGGAGAAGTCGCTGGAAGATGAGCTCGAGGAGGGTGGCGATGAGGCTTTGAAGGCTATTAGAGAGAAGCAGAGGGAGCTCATCAACTCTCTGCCGCTGACACAGTAAGCCGACACCCGACCTGCTCCGTCTTAACATTCTGAATGAAATCACTAACATGTCACATCAGGTACGAAATTGAAGGCGATTCACCTGGCTGGGAGGATGCCGAGAAGCAGGTCCTTAGTGCCACGAAGAAAGGACAGGCGAACCCCGTCGTAAGCGTCAAGTCTACCAAGGCCAAGAGGAAGGAAGGTCCGACAGCGAGCGAGATCTACGACGAGGTCTTTGGGGAGAAGAAGCACAAGAAGGTGAAGAAGTCGAGAAAGAGCCAGTAAAGGCAGCAAGGCAGCTGTAGATAGATTATTCTTGCATGGTCTGGCGTCTCAGGTTCCGGAAAACTATTTGGAGTTGGCGGATTACTACCTATATATCCCGTATGGACTTTATGCCCATATATTTCCCCCTTCACGATGTTAGCGGCAATGGGATGTGACATGACGCTACCGGATTGCGTTCCTAGGAATCTTTGAACTGACCAATGGCTTAGTTTGTCTCCACATTAAAAGCACCCATCCCGGCGATTTTATCGGTGCTTGGCGCAACCTGACGACTCACAACCTCCTGCCTGTCTGCCTCCAGACCAACACCTCACGATCGCTATGGCCTCAGACGGACCGCATCCCCGCGTCGGCGTGGCCGCCATGATCCGCAACGCCCAGGGCGAGTTCGTCATGAGTAAACGCCTAGGCGGTCACGGAGCCGGTAAGCACAGTCCCGCTTCCCGCAGGTCCACCGACAAACTGTTACCTATGCGGCCGTTGACGCCATTGACATCGTAGGCGACTGGCAGTTTCCCGGCGGCCATCTGGAGTTCGGCGAGTCCATCTTCGCCTGCGCCGAGCGCGAGACCTTGGAGGAGACCGGCCTCAAGGTCAAGGCCACCAAGCTGGTCGGCGTCACGAACACGGTGTTCCCCGAGCCCGGCAAGCACTACATTACCCTGTTTGTGGCTTGCGAGAGGGAGGACGACAAGGCAGAGCCCGAGGTGAGTTATTCACTGCTGATTTGTGAAAGCATGATTATTCTGACGGCAAGCCAGCTCCTGGAGCCTCTGAAGTGCCAAGGCTGGCACTGGATCACCTGGGACAAGGTCTGCGGCTGGTGTGACCATCACAACGAGACCGCGGGCGAATGGGCAACGAACAAGTGCTTCATGCCCATAAGAAACCTGGTGCGCGAGAATCGTGTTTTGCAGATCTAGGAAACTGCGTGTTGGGATATATAATACATCGCAGGAGCAAATCTGATCTAAGTTAACTTGACAAGTATTATACGAATAGTAAAACGAAATATCTTATAGGGATTCATATTTAAAGTGTGTGTGTGTGTCGTAGTTTCCAAGCCTCCCACGAGCCGGGAACAGCTCGGCCATTTGAGTGCAGTCATCCGGCTTTCCCTGCCAGCCTAGACCAGCGCTGATGTACGCAACTTGCATAGGAACGACCTGATGGTGTTCAAGTATACTGAAGCCCGCAATGAACCCTAATTCTACTCTTCGATGATATTTCAACCAGGTACATCATTAGATCGATAAAAATGGCAATATAGCAAGAGTTTGGTCTGGCGTAGCCTCACTTGACAAACGTAGCGTACATATGAGGCTTCTATTCTCTCCCTCAAATGATTCCAAGCGTCGTGATGATATCCCCATGATACTTATCATAGAATCATCCGATGGACCACGTGGCAACGCGCTGCTGGTTTGGCGCCTGTTCTACGATCTCGGTCTTGTTTTGCGTAACCCTATTCGGACCATCCCCAAGATATCTGAGCGTAGATACATTCAGGGGCCAAGCTGACTGGTGACCATCCATATCGGAGCGGATGAACTCGGCAGTGTCGATATAGGAAGACTCTGATGATTGAACACGGCCGGCAGTCAGCTTTGCGACTACCAAGTCGGACTTGACCTTACATGACCACGATTCCTTCTCAAAGTTTCCACAGTTGAATGAGCGGCCATTGGTGTACCAAACGCACAAGCCTTTGAGCATGCTATTCGTAGACTCAAACGAAATGCTCTCAAGAGTCCACGCCACGTCATTGGAGTCGAGGGAGTTGAAGTATTTGACTGATTAATGCTCGGTACTGGTGATAACAGACCAGCCAATCAAGAAGTTCCTAGAGAAGTCGCGGTAGTTTCGGAATAGCTTGAGCTTTCGAACGTTCTCCTGCAGGGCTACCCAGATCGAGGAAATGATTGCAGATTGTGATGGGATAGAAAAGCGAGCTCGAGCGGCGATGGTCTATTTTCACAGCGAAAACGAATCTAGTCTGACATTTGCAAGGAGACGTTCTTGTGGTGAAAATGTATTTCACAAGAGGCAGAACTTACCCATGCCGAACAGCCAAGTAGCATGAATTTCTGCAACACTAGGGTAAACACCATCCAATAATGAGACTGTGGGATTTAAATCTCGTAATACTTTGACCTCTCCGAGTCTATATCAGTCCAAACTCACGCAAGCGCCTCGCCCATCGAAATCTCGCGGCGCCCCGCTCCCACTACAATACATTTAACGCGAAAGGCTGTATTCCTTGGCGAAACCGAATATTCTAAGATCTATGAAATATGTCTTTATAAGGAAGTGTTCAGCATTACAAGGAAAACATGGCGGTCATTGCAGGTGTTATGGATCCATCTACACCGCTTCCCCTAACTAGTATATTGCCAATCAGACTCTGTAGGCTTCTGTCAGCGGCTGCGGCTAGATCACTTAGTGCTACTCCCTGTGATATATTGACAGGCATCTGCCGCGCAGAATATCCGCATCGAGATATCCTAAGGCAAGACCGGGCTTGTTGGATATGCATCGACATGTTCAGAGACCTTACGATGACGCATTGTTACCATGCTCACTGGGGACGTCCTAGCCACAATACGAATAACTTGCTGATGGATGTTGGAAGGATGACCTCTTATCTTTTTACCAGACAAAAGGATTTTTTCCGGAATGCTGTGGTCCATTAATATGCCAGAACAGTCGGGTGGGTTTCGAGGTCAAGTCCTCCGTTTTATGTTGCTGAACTGTTTGTGTAGAGGTAGGCGGCCTTTCTGAGAATATCGGCCCCAACCGCATTTCCACTATGGTCTAACATATAGTCCTCAATGCTCCATAGTCTCATGACACCATCATTCAAGTTACAAGTCAGGCGCTGTACGAGACGGGGATTTTTACCTCGATCTGCGTCTTCAATTCCTCATTTTCTCCGTCAGGAAGCAATCAACGGTGGAATGGGGAATGAGTCTCATATAGTACACGGTCACCTGCAGTGAAAGATCGAGGCGTTAATTAGCTGATAGGTATTGTGTGTCTGTGGCGTGCAATCCGATCCGCAGCAAGCATTAAACTGACAGAGGGGCCCACAATCATTTCCTTTAATGGGTAGATTATGATAAGTAGTAGAAGTGCAGCATTCTCACATATATAATACGATATATTTTATATAAAAGTAATAAGTCGCATAAAAAGGCCCGAGTTTCAACTCAATCCCGTAGTACTTAGGACTACCTTAGCCAGATCAGGTTTACGGGTAGGTGGAGAGCTTCAACCAACTTAGCTCATGTCTGCTAGGTAATAGTTCGGGTTACACCGCTTGATGCTCAGATTGAAAAACGGAAGTAGAATTTGGTGGGGGAACGTGTTTAGGCAGAGTCTATCAGAAGTACAGTAAGTCCCGTACGTATGCCATAGATAGACCTAGAAGAGCGATGATTCGCGACAATGCGGATGTATTAACCTTGTGACTAAGTCCTCAGAACATGCTAGACCCAAATGTTTACAGTGGTTAATCAGCTTGCTAGTGAACACAACGCGCGCGTGTATCGGTAAGATTATGTCAAAAGCCTCGTTTCCGATGTACCCTTACAGCAAGTATGCAGGCAGTGACTGTTAAATCTGAGCTTTATCTACTTTAACGCGAAAATTGGAGCACTTCTATTCATGTAAACTTCAACTACTCCACATATTACAGTGCAAAATATTCAAGGTGAATATGGATACATTCCACATGCTGCAGCTTCTTCGTAATCTCACTATCCGCGCAATTCATGCTAACGTCTGTCACCACCGCGACTATGTGGCCACTGCCCATTACGATGCGACCCAACAACCCATAGGGTCAGCTTGCAATAGATTTCTCACGAACACAGAGGAGCCGGATCGGCCTGGAAGTCCTCTGTCGATTATATCGGACTTTTACGAGATTCGTGAGCCACTAGGCTCAGGCTCCTCGACAAATATCAATGTTGAGGATAGATTGGCATATAGCAGAAGTGCAACGATCTCTGATGACAACACTTCACAAGACACTATGGCAAGCCGTTATATTGGCAAATCCTACTCTGACTCTGGAAATTCATACAGCAGTGTGAAAAGCCGGTCGACGAGAAGTCAGTCATCATCACCTTACTTGCCACGGCCGTTCGACGTGATCAGAGACGACAGCCAGGTTTTCCAGGTATTGAATGGCACGTCTACGAGCTCAGATAGTCATAGGGCCGTTTTGGAACCTTGGGTACGGGTTCCCGGAAGCCGCTACGATTTGTGCTCTCGCCAACCGAGTCTCAATATTGAAAGCGCCCTGTCCCAGGCCATGGATGATGAGATTTTCGACCAGAGGGAGCTACACTAGACAAAGGCTGTTTGAAGACTTCTAGCTTCTAATGTATAGTTACTACAAGTGATATCGGAAACTCAAGTTCTCCTTGTCCGTTAGTCCAGCGTACGCCTTGTCAATGGCCACCTTTTCACCTTCCGCCTCAGCCAATTTATCTCTCCTTTGATTCATGGCGACATAATAGAAACGACAGAGAACGGCTACCGCCACAGAGATTGACCACAATATTACCAATGCCAGCTTTGCAGGCCTGAAATTAGGTGCATCTTGAGCACGAAAGGTCAGTGGCCCAATGATGTTTCCAATGGCAAACGCTGCGTTTAACCCCGCCGTAGCGTATGTTCGCTTGGTATGCCCTGCGGTATTGCAAGTGAGCCATTGGAATGCGATGGTTGTGGCGCCGGGAAGAACATTGATCAGGTACAACCCGGCCAGCAAACCCGACCTGTTGCTGTTGGGGAGAAAACACATCAACGCTGCCGCCGTAACACCCACCACACCCGCCCCTGCATTGAATAGCCACCGATACCCGTAGTATCTTACTATGAATGAGTAGCACAATACACATATAATGTTTACCGCGCCAGACGGGATGTTTAATAATGCTGCTTGTTTGGGGGTGTAGCCAAACGAAGTCAGGATTGTTGCCGAGTAGGCTGTGACCACGCCCGAACCAGACGATTGCAGTGCCACAAGCAAGAAGATACCCCAGCATGCGGGATCCAGTAGACCTTCAACTATTTGACCAGGGTGGACACGCCTGCTGTCGATACCAGTTTGGTTGACCTTGATGTGCTGGAGCAAAGTCACCTTTTCAACGTCAGATAAGAACTTGGCCTTCATGGGCGAGTTTGGAACGAAGAAAAGCACGAAAATCCCCACGGCTGCAGTGACCAGTCCCAAGACCAGAAACATGGTCTTCCAACTGGACAGGGCCGCGGTGGGTGCCATGTGTTGGAAACCGAATGAGATCAGTGCCACAAGAATCTGTCCGTTGCCCAATCCCGTGTACCAACATGCAAAGCGGGGGGCTTGCTCTTGGTATGTGAAGTACTGGCTACTGAGAAGCATCAAGGCAGGTGGTATGCCGGATTCGAAGGCTCCGCTGAGGACTCGAAGAGTGACAAGCCCGGCATAGTTGCTGAGGCTAGCATGGCAGGCCGTACAGAGGCCCCAGCCGAGGAGATTTACTGCTAAGCATTTTGCTACAGGAAGGCGGTTGAGTAGCACCATATTCGGCAGTGAGAAGAGGAGTACAGCAATGAAGAATGCGGAGGAGGCGTTGGAGTAGTTGTCTCCAACTAGATGTAGCTGCGCCTCAAGCCCCATGATTTTCGCATACTAGCAATCGATGTTGTCAATGTAGTACTGGTACAGGGCGTTAAATATGGCGCTTACATTAAGGAGAACCTTGTCAATAAAGTTTAGTGTGTAGCAAGCGCAGAAAAATGGCATCAACCTCAAGTCGATTTTCCGCCTGAGCGACTTTGTTAGAGAAGTGTCAGTAGGTGCCTCCGCCGGCCCCTGGTCTCTGTGTTGGTTCAAAAATTCCAACGCGGCATCCCGGCGGGAAGCCATAGCGGGTTGCTGGACCGGATGTTCCTCTATAACTGTTCTGGTCTTTGATGCGTTTACTGCGCGAGCTGGCGAGGAAGGTTGATCCTCTGAATGCATCTGGCCAATGATGAGTGCTCTAAGGTCGGGAATAACAATAAAGTCTTGATAGCATTGATTGTTTTCAGTTGTAGTCGCACCGTTTGGGCTTTATTAATTGTTTTCGTGCGGCACAGCATGCTATAGTAAGCTACGTGCGCAAACTCAATGGGGTATCATTGCAGCCATAATCTCTATCGAAGGAGGCTAGAGGCTCCGTTTAAAGTCAAATCTGGCATTCACTGGTAGGGCGCTGGGGTCTAGACCGCTGTATGGTTGCATAAAATCATGATTCTGCAGCAAAGTGTGGAGTCTCACTGCATGAATAGACCCAGTTCGCTCATGCGGTGTCAGGAAGGGAGTTCTTTGCGATGCAACCCTAAAGGGCCATATAGGATTAGTAGAACACGCGGTGTGGTACGTCATCCCCAGTTGTACCTGATAAAATAATAAGCTCTGTCAGTCATAGATACTCCATACTTTATCAAAATCAATTCTAAATGCTTCGATATTTATATTCACTTCTGCTATCCACAGGGGCCAGTAAGTGATCAGTGGCAGCAATGATGAACCGGATTAATAGGCGCCAGAACTATTGATATGATTCGGATGGTACGTATGAAGAGGCATGCAATACGCATTCAAAGGGTGATTTGACTGTAAATTGGCCTAATCTCGTGAGACAGAAGATTGCGCCCTGCCTGCCACGGTGACTACTCAAAAGATTTTGAAGATATACTGTTCTACATAAACAAATATACGCACTGTTTGCTCAATCTTCATTGCATCAACCTCCAATGGCCTTGATATCACTTCTTCCTCCAGCCCCTCGCTCCGCTAAAATCTTTGACGCTACTTCCTGAACGAAGAGACGTCATGTGACAATGTGCTGCCAGTTATGACTCATCTACGGACCACTAGCGCGGCCGTTGTAATCCTAGTACGCTTGTCCTTGGCTGCGACAGTACTGAGCACCAACGACGCAGTAGGAACCACCACTAGCATTATTGTTATTTGGCGAGAATATAACGAATTTATCGCTGTAGGAGTTGATCTGCATGTGTTACGGTTGCCATTGCCTACGGTATAGGCGGTGTCAGCTGTGCTGTACTATATACACAGTCTCACCCCTGCCTGCGCTACAAGCGTAGTTGTTTCTAGTTGTCCACGAAGCAGTCACACAGAAGCCAGCTGAAATCCATTCGGAGGCCTTATTGCCACTGGTAACGCTGAATCCAATTGTGGGCGACTTGTAGACTTGATAGCCAGCCGTACAGGACTGTGCTGAACCGCAGTTTATGTTTTCCGTTGTTATGCCACGGGTCAGTTGACTTGCCAAACTCTGGGCAAGAGAGTTATAGTGAATTCCACTTACGCTGAGTTGAGAAAAGTAATAATTCTGATGGAGGTTGCCATTGCCACCCCAACGCTGTGCAGGTCGTGAGCGGCTGTTGGGAGTGGTGTCAAGTTCCCTTGGCAGTCACCAATGGGTCGACTGCATTGGCTTTCCAGCTTGACTTTGGGAATTGCCTACAGTCTAACGGACGGAACGCTTCGGAATCTAGTGGCATGGTATTTCATATGTCGGGTTCCAGATCACATTACCGTTTTCCATCTTCGACAAGAGCACTGGCTGTCGTAATAGCAATTACAGTCTTGACATTTACGCGCTCGGCTGTCTAAAGTCGATGGATCTGCGTAGACCTACGAGAAATCATCGTATAAGACGTGCGGCGATCTCACGATAGAGACGGATCTGGCCATAGATGAACGCATACATCTTTACGTTATATAGTTAGCTTTCGACGCCCGAAGGCTGATATAGTATTAGTTCTTTTGGGACCTTGGCTTGTTGATCTCACTGAGAAGATACCGATGGTATAGCAGGCCACACTACTAAGAGAGAGCTATATTAAAAAAAATAGAATATCATTACCTATGAATTTTTCAATATGTAATTATATGTATACGCTGGCTTATATTGAGTTCCGCTCATTGAACCTAAAATTGCTGGTTGTGGGTTTGAGTCAACGCCCATCGAGTGATTACTTTCAATTGATTTAAGCGGTCCTCAGAATTATCATATTCATTAGCTCTAATGATATATCTATGGAGATCCTAGCTAGACACACCTAGAGTGAGCTTATTAAAGGCGAGATGGTATCAGGTAGTATTAGTAGTAGGTAATATGGCGTGTCGTTGCGAAACTCCACCGGCTCTTGGAGTCTGCTATCTCACCATTTACGGCATTGATAGTGACTGTCAGAGCTACCCCGGCGATGCAAAGTTCCACAACACAGCACAGTGACGCGACGCCAGTTAATTTCCTCCGGTACTAATAACTCATCCTCTTCCCCCGTAATTTGACTAGTCAGTCCATCAATCCAGAAGCAAGCGATAGCACAAGACCTGTGGCAGTCTTAGTCCACTACAGTAAGCCGATGAATCGCTTCTCTAAACTTGTCCTGGCGGCTTAACCCATTATAACCTTCTCATAACTTAACATTATTAGAGTAGCTTTTCTTGTCTCGTTCAATTTAGTCGGTCATATTAATACTGAGTAGTGAATGGATAGAGCGGCTAGCACAAACCCATGATTTGTATATACGCAGGCTGTCCATCAGTTTCAATGTCCAATCAGAAATCTGCTTGATGGAGTTATACCTACCAGGATTGTATAATTCCCGTAGTGCAGTGACCTTACGTAGCCCAATAGGTGCATTAATATCTTTATGGCGTCGAATCAGTACCCTTGCCTGCATATGCATACTCAAGGTTGTTTTGGGGGGTGGGTGGGATTCCAGTGGTAGCTTGGCTATCTGCACGCTGCACTGCATGGAAATCTGGAAACGACCACGAGTCAAATTGTCTACGGTGTTAAATTCAATTCTCCTTCAGTGGTCGCTTCATTGCTTAAACATCGCAGAGCAAGATGTCGATCTCCAGCGCCTTGGCTGACTTGCAGCATGCGGCTGACCGGGACGCAGAAGGCGACGAGCTCGCTCAGATGGAACTGCTCAGCGGCCTGCAGAAGCTACAAAACCTGTTGACGACACCTCCAGAGAAGTTTCTGAGAATGAGCTTCCAAATGTACCAAAATGTCAGCGTCCGCCTCGTTCAGTAAAAGGGTATTCTTCAGGCGCTAGCTACGAACAGAAGAATGACAGCCGCAGCTTTGAGTCAAGCCACGCTGACTGTCGAGCAGTTGATAGGTTATCAAGATCTCCGCGTTCAGACTCTATGAAGCTAACGCTGGTAGTTCGACTTATGAGGCTCATAACTATTATCGATATTGCCGACGAAATCGGCCTACACGAGTATCAGGCCAACGAAGCGACTCAGTATAGCATTCAACGGGGCATACTTGGCGATGTGGATTATTGGTAAGCCAAATGACATAAGTTTCCGATGTATCTCTGGCGACTCACGTTGAAAGCACTGCTATCGTAAGAAGGTTTGCAGTAATATGGGCCCAATTGCGTCGAAAACTAACATTGATGCACACGCTTATTCGTTTGGTAAACCAACTTTCCCTTGGATGATGGCGAATCAAGAGCACGCCCAAGCCTTCAATGGTTTCATGGCTGCCCGTCGAGGAGCAATGTGGAACAAATGGTATAACGTATATCCCGTATCAGACAAAGTAACGGCCAAGGAGATCAATGAGGTGCTTCTGGTGGAGGTTGCAGGTGGACAGGGCTACTGGTCACAGTAATTCAAGGCACAGTCTAACTTGCCAGGGCGCATCATAGTTCAGGACCAACCGCACGTGATGACGAAGCTCGACGGAATTGACACCATGGCTCACGACATCTTTACTCCGCAGCCCATTTCCGGCGGGCGACTCTACTATTTCAAGCAAATAATCCATAATTGGCAGGATGAGCAGGCTGTTGCCATTCTCAGAAACAAGGCTGTCACTATGAAAAGCAGGCTGCTCGACCATATTAATCGGCGATTATGTTTTGCCAGAACAGGGAGTAAGACTACGGGCTGCTTCTATGGTATGTGTACGAGCCATGAGGAAGTTTAATAACTGACAGAGAGATAGGATATGGCGATGCTAGTGCTATTCAACGCAATCGAACGTACCGAACCGCAGTGGTTGGCTCTCATCCAAGCAGCTGGCCTCCGAATGGTGGAGATCTGGTACGCCGAAGAAACTAATGAGGGCTCAGAGGTTGTGATAGAGTGTGAAAGGGTGTAGGCCCTAACACGTGAATCGGTCGCTCCCATACAAAACAAGACCGCCTTATTTGTCATTCTCGACGATCTATAAGATATTTTGCCAACTTTATACAACAAAGAATGAGGTGTTTTCTATTTACGCTACCTCAACTTAGATGTAGCTTTCATTCCCCGTTTACCCAACGCGGTAGCGACACCTAAGGGCTGATGATCTTGGTGAACTGCCATAGTGTCGAGATATCTGGATAAGGTACTAGAGTACGGCTCGCCAAGATAGGCCCTCCATCCCACGTTCCATTGAATTGCAACTGCACCACAGGGGTCTTTGGTGACGTGGGTCTCCACAGGACACTGCAAGGAGTTCAGAGACTGATCGTAAATTCGCGATCGTCTCGGTCAACTTAGCAGTCGTCCAATACCCTCGCTTGCCATCAGCCTAAGGCAGGAGGCTCTTCATGTGCGTTTAAGCCGAGAAGTCATTGACGGTTTCCTGATTGCCAGCGCTGTTGCACTTAGACGCTTCCTAGGAAGTGGATTTGGGTGGAGTGCGATGCGTCCACAGCGCCAAGCTTCTGGGACCCTGCATTTCCTTGCATTTTCCTTGCTGTTGTATCGTGATTGGGGAAACATGCATCCACACTTGGCACATGGGACGCAATCCCTTGCGATCACCCGGCAATTTGTGGGTATCTGCTTACCGGCATGCAACTTAACATCTCCGTTTTCCATGCGGCCGCTTCGGTTGTTACCAACTCGAGGTGGGGCGCCAATGTCCGACACGTTCGGGGCAAAAGATACTAATGTAAAGACGGAAGAGAGCTAAAGAAACTAGTTAACGACCAAGCCGCAGCAAACCAACACCAAGAAGAGAAGAACGACCTAACTGCGTGCAGTGATTGGCTCGATCCTCAACAACAGGCCATATCCAATTTCCTGCGCCACAAAGAGCTGCACAAACCTCCATTCCTCCTTTCCCACGTTGTGGCTATGGTGGCGCGTTGTGGTGGACCAATAGGAATTTTGTCAGCTTCCCCGTGAGCGGCAATTCAGAGTTCTTCCTTCAGGAGATGATGGCTGAGACGCTCCCCAGTGACGCCGCGTAGACCTCGCTTTCATCATAACAATACTTCAAAGAACTTCACCCTGACCCATGCCACATTTTCGTCTGTTTAGATCGTCAAAGAAGCGCGCGATGGAGGAGCCAAAGCAGCCGGAGGATGCCGAGTTGTCTGTGCGGGACAAAGTGGGCGCATTCCTGTAAGCCTAAACCCACCCGACTTCCAACACCTGCACAGTGCTTACCATGAATCTAGGGAGGAAGGCCTATTGAAAGGCAAGCAGAAGTTTCAGCAGTCGCTGGGTCTTGGCCAGACGCCCAGTGCCATCCCCCCGGGTGAGGTGGAAATTGGTGGGGAGCCGCGGCTCGTCGAGATAGGCTGGCACCCTGTCGCAGGCCTAGCGGGCAAGTGGTTTGCGGAACAGACAGGACTGGGGAAAATGATCACTGAGGGTATCAACAAATTCCCAGATCCCACACAGCACTGGGCAGTCCTTGTTGGTGATTATTGCCACCAGTTGTGGATGGTATTTCTGCCGAGCTCTATGAAAGGAATGTGATAGGGCATAATGAGACTAACAAGTTGAGTAGGACGAGAATCTAGACGTGATTTACACTAACGGAAAGATTGATCGAGCAGAATGGCATACCTACGAGGTTGGAAAGACGAGATTCAACGATGAAGCTCTCAACCAAGCTGGTAAGGCATCATTTCATTCTAGGACAAGGTGATCTCAGTCTCACGTTCCGCAGGCCAGATGACCATTTTTGCCATGAGAGAGAAGAGGCCAGCATATAACCTGATCGACAACAACTGCCAGATATTCGCGCTCAACTTGTTGGAGAAGATTCAGATAGGCAAACACAAGGAATTTGCCACAAGTTTCTCTGTGTACCAGCGAGCCATAGGTGCCGGTACCATCAAAGATCTCTTTGTTGACCATCACCCCGATGAGCAATCAGAGACCGAGAAACCTGAGACACCGGTGCAGGGTACCGTACCACTTGCCCAGCAGGTCATGGACGAAAAAACGACACAATTGGACAGCCACGAGAAGCTGGCGTCTTCATGATGCTTCGCTTCGAATGAGCATCAGAGTACCAAGGGCATGTGTGTATGATACTTTGAACCTAGCAGCTGTCAAACTCGCCTCGAGGAGGAGGCCACACTTCTGCTTTCAAGAGACTAAGATATATTCCAAAACCTCCACAGTGCAAATGAGTCTGCAGTTTCTTGTGCCCAGCAAGACTGGTCTCGCTGGTATATATCCCAGCCCTTTCAAGCCAGCTGTATAATTTTACGCGACATCGTCCACTGATATTCGCCCCCATGCTGCGCCTCAACGCTATCACCACCTGTGACCGCAAAAGGTTGGCCGGGGAGTGGCCGCTTAACACCGTTCACCGGGAAAACTGTAGGATGTCGTAGGCGAATCTCACCGGGTAGGCCATAGCCCGCAAACTACTAATATCCTTGACTTTGTTGGTACATGCGTCCCACCTTGAATCTCGTAGAGTATCTCAATCGTTTCGAACCTTGTTGCATGGACCTCGATCACCGTGTGGGTACCAACCATAGTGGACAGTCCATATCATATACACATCTGATCTATATATGGCCAAGTGAGAAAACTCTCGGCTTGAATTACGAATTCAATCTTAGACATAGCTTAAATTTGAAATAGTTGTGTCAAGGTATCTGGTGGAGGAGGGGCAATCTTCGCTTCAGTCCTGATGCCAATGTCCGTGGGCGTATATTCTAACTCGACGCCACCCGTGGACTGGAAAGGGATCTTGACTCCGGGTGGCAAGTGTTCGATCGCAATCCTCGCGTTGTAGTCAAAGTGGCTCAAACATGACCAGGCAAGCAGACCAGTCATTTCCATGCGGATCAGCTGCGGGCTAATCACTCGGTCCTGGGGATTGGTGATCTGACTCAGTTCCGACTCTATGGTTGCGTGATAGGCGGTGTTGTCAGACTTTGATTTGTTCTTAGTGTCGTTAGCGACTGCGTATGCTTCAGCAAGACGGTTGAGCAATGTCTTGATAGCTGCATAACAGCGCTCTCCGCTGGTATTTTCTTCATCTCCCATCGAAGCGATATAGATAAATTTGTCCAAGGTGCTATCCTCTGGCCCGAGGTAGACTCCATAATCATCAAGGTACTCATGGAGAGTCAAGCGGATGCGGTCACGTCGTTCTTTGAACCTGCTCGCTGCAGGTTTGGCATCACTAGACCACTTACTATCCAGCCGTGGGTCGATAATCGCCAAACAATCCACAAAGCCTTGGCAGCCATGTCTATCCGCTTCAGCGACCTCCTTGGACCATTCCTTCTGTTTCCACCATAAAGTCACCCAATCACTCCCGAAGTCGTCCACCACAAATATGGGCCAAATATAGATGCGTCCACGGCATATTTCAACAGACGCCTTAGCCCTATATTCGTCGGACTCGGCATGCCAGAAATCGTTCTGGATCTTGCGATCCTGACTCCATGGCTCTGGTCCAGTGGGAGGCATCATGAAAACAGACAATTGCGGGTCTTTTGCCATCTCTGGAGGCTGCATCTTACTCCAGAGGAGTCTTGTGGCCCAGAGCATTGCTACGGGGCAAATGGTATGGTTGTGACCAAGCTGAAGATTCGACAGTCCATTGTGCGCCTGGTGTAAAAGTTGCGGCTTCATCGGTTGGGGCACGTTTTCGGGTGTTCGATAATCATACGGAATGTGCGCCCATGTGTCATCATGTAGAATCCACGCGTTGGTCATCTCGAGCTGGTAGTTGTCCTCATCGTCAGTGCTGCTGTCAAAATCCGAGATATCCGGGTCCAGCCGCGTATCAAAGGGAAATCCCACGTATTGGTCCTCCATTTTTGTAAATGTGCCTCTGCGACAGTTCGATTATTTCAAGACTTTCACAGCTGGCTCTTCCTTTGCACGGCCAATTATGAGCTCTCCAGCATTGAGCCAGTCAATGCAAAGGGTGTTTGGTTGGAAAGCCTGAGTTGGATGTGGATCATCAGGCCGAGCGACTAAAGTAATAATGGAGAATGTAAATGGCCACTTTCGTTGGAGCAGCCTGCATCACCAACGGCTACACCTTATGATTGCGCGCCTGAGCAGGCATTCGGTATGTGTCAATTGTTTCTTTGTGCAATGTTGAATGCAGCCTAGTCACTAGCCTATACTACAAAGCAACCATTGTCCTAAAGCGTGTGCATCTGCTGCATCCATGAAGCACATTCCTGAAGTGCTTCTGTGGAATGCTTGCGAAGGTCGCTGTGCAACAACTTATTCGCCATTTCCACTGTCGAGAAAAGATTTCAGAAACGCTCCACTTCATAATTCACCTAGCGAGGGATTCAAAAGGAGTCTGCAGTGGAGACTGTGTGGTCTCAAACAGTTGGCAAAAGTTTCATCCTCATATGATGTTCCTCCATGGAATCTCTTTTCCTAATCTGATACCTGAAGGATGAAAATTTCCTTGAGCTTCTGGAGACTGGCCACCAGCTCTTCCGTCGTCCTTGCTTGAGCAAATATGTAAAAATCGGGCCGAACAAGCACAAAGCAAGCATTGGGAAGCAAGCGCTCTATGAAGTTTGACTCATTATAGCCCTCGCGAACGTCTTCTCCAATGTCCGGTATTGGCGTTGGAAAACACGTTTCGGTTGCAATTTCCACATCAGGAGGTCTTGATGAAGAGAAAGCTCTGATGCACTGGTCGTTGATAATCTGCTTCGGAAAGTTGAATGATTGAATCACTTCTTTAGCCTGAAGAATGAGGTCTTGGGGAATGTTGCTGATGACCAGAAGAGTTACGATAGACGTATGGGCTATCAGCTGATCAGATAGCATGGGGCCGTCGCCGTCGGAGTCAACATACACTTGTGCAATTTTACCACCACCCCCATATTGCTTGAGATGGAACCCATCGACTGACCGGTATCCTCTCTGTTCCCATTTGAGGAATAGGTCAGGCTCAGAGGGAATAAAAGGCAGTTGCTGTGAAATCCACTTGACAAGCCGAAAAATCCAGAAACTGTAGGTATCACCTTCGTTGCAGAGTTGTCCATTTATCTTGGTGATGGTTGCAGCTTCCTTTACACCCCAAGTTCGCTCCCTTTCCCATGTTGCAAGTAACGTATCACCCAAGGGTCGGTCGACACTTGGGAGACGTGTGAGCAAGAAGAGACGCCATGCAAGCTGATGTGCATCTCTCAGTCCACATGCAATTCCTTGACCGCCAAATGGTGGGAAAACATGTGCGGCATCGCCGATCAAGATGATGCGATCATGGAACCATTTGTTGACGACTTTGTGTGTGAAGCGGAATTGGTGACAGCGGAGTATCTCAATGCAGTCCTTTGGAAATGAAACGGTGCCAAAAGGCAGTGGTTGGTAGCGCCCATCCCGTTGACGAGTGAACATGATTTCAAGTTGTTCCCAAAGCAGCTTCTCAGCATCCATTGAGTCATCCCAGTTTCCTTGCTCAAACTCGTGTCGCCACAGGCGCTCCTTGTATGGGCCAAATCGGCCGCCGGCGGTAGCTTTCCCGGGAGGGCTGCAGAAATGCCAGCCTTTGGGCCAGAACAAGTCGAATACGTCTTCTGGGGTGTATCCGAGTGGCCATAAAGGCAATTCCGGGTGACTCGAAGGCGTTGGTAGGGTGATCTTTAGATTTGCGGCGATCCAAGTTCCGTCATACTGGTAAGAACCATTGACTTGCCGTATGCCTGCTGCATCTTCCAAAAAGTGTTTCCGTACTACACCTCGCTTCCCATCCGCACCTACAAGCCATTGCCCGGTGATCCCTTTACAGACGTTGTCTTGAGTACGATACGTTGCCACAATTCCTGAGCCGGTGGCTTCTCTGGCAATCACCTCGCAACCGCAACGTAGATCGCAATATGGAGATTCCTGGAGCTTAGCTCGAAAGGCGCGTTCTTGGAGCTACGTCAGATATAATCCTATGGTAGATGTTAGAACTTCTTACCTAAACCTGGCTGAATCTGAATAAGGGTATTCGGAAGAGCCTGTTGGACTGCATCACCATCGGTGGGCACACTATAGAATGGCTCATTTTCCATGTGAGAAGTGTGAAAGTTCATTGAGGGCGGGACTCCGCGAATTTTAGCACAGAATGATACAGATGGAAGAAGACTAACAGCATACCATGACCAAATTGCAACACTTGACCCGCGAGTCCAAGATCCCAAAGAATGCGGATTGCATCATGCGGAAGATAGACGCCTCTAGGATCTTGGACAATGTCCATATTTCTTTCCAGAATAACAGTCTACTAGGATCAGTAAATGCAACTTTAGGTTCACTTCTATGAACAGTTGTAAAGCAAGTACCTTGATCTTATATTTCGCTAAAGAGAGTGCCAATGCTAGACCTGAAGGGCCTGCACCAACAATGATCACTTCGGTTTCTTCCATGCTTCGGTGCAGTTGCTGCTCTGGGAGTCGCGAGTTTGACGGAAAGGGATATTATACAGTACCCAACCCCTGATAATGGTTCGCTGAGTAATTAATATCGGGAATAGTATTGTGGAAAGCACCGATGGAGCTCTTTGTTTTGCGCGTGTCTTTATAGTTTGGTGCGATCGCTGTGTTCCTCCGGGAAGTTCCTCCGCGGAAAGACCCACATCGAAATTTCCCTCCGAATCTTATTAGGTGGCGTGGATTCAAAACGAAATAACTACGTACGGTCACGGCGAATCTCGATAAGAAAAATAAAAACATTATTAAAATAAAAAAGAATTAATCGTTAGTTTTTATTTTTATTAAAAACGGATTTATTTATTTATTATTATTATTATTATTTAATTTATAAATATAATTAATATTAAAATATATTTATATATTTTAATAAAAGGCTTTCTTTAAAAAAAACTTTTTTAAAAGGATGTCGTGTAATTCACCGGCTCGATAGATTTGTTAATTTGTTATATATGTTTGTTCTTTATTGTATATTTTTTAATGAAAACGTCGTCGCGTTTGTATACATCAATCTCGGCCGTTTTCCGTCGCTAACATCGCTAAGTGCAGGTGAGAAGCATTTACACCATTTATTAAACACTACTGCCAATGTCCACACTTAAACAATTAGCTCTGGATCATTAGCCAAGACAAGTGGAAAGGAGGTTCGAGGGATCATAAGATTGGTTCTCGGAAGTTGCGACTTTAGCATCTGAACCTAACCTTGGCGGATTAGCCTAGATGTAAGATTGTGTTAATGGATAGTCATCGTGCCGGATCGGTGTGAGGGCAGAGCTGTCCAAGGTTTACAGCGAATTCTGTTTTAAAGCAGAACAAGCGACTGGAAACATCCTGCTTCTCCAGGGGTTCTCTATGTCCTGCGATTCGTTTTATAAAGGAGAGAGCACCATTTTTGTTGCACGAAAGATCAGGTCAGGGGTAGTGCCCCTAGTCTAGAAAGTTGCCAAGGCGGACGCGAACAGCCAATGCGCAACCGTTACTCCCTCCGCGGCAATCGGCACTTTTGCTAACCCCGCCCGGAGTAGGCCCGGGATCAAAATTCATTTGCCAAAGACTCACTCAGGCGGTCCTACTGAAGTCCAGGTACAGTGGTTGTGACGGTATATACGCACTAGTTGCACCGAATATCACGTCATGGTCCCTCGATTTGCGCGTCGACATGTCGTCTGTGAACCGGTACTCGGTGGTGCGTGTCTGCGATCTGTGCATTAAGTAGGTGCCTGCAGTATCTGAGCTGGGCAAGCCCAACTGAACCAGCGGTGCGAGGGCTAACAGGTTACCTCAAGGAAGAAAGTAAAATGTACACTGCAAAGATATGGCATATCCAAATGACACCAGACTTACCAGGGCTTCTTAGGCGATTTGCAGCGCCCGCAATGTTCTCGTTGCTTAGAAGCCAAGGCAGAATGCGACTACGCGACAGAGAAGCGGAAGCCCGGCCCACCGAGAGGGTTGAAACGTCGACGATCCGATGCTCGAAAAGCCGATGGAGGGTTTGGCGACTTGCAGCAAAGTATTCAGTCCGCTTCAGCAACAAGTAGTAAGCATATTCTGATAGCCAGCTAGAACCCCCTAACTGTGGCTTGAATGATTTGCTGCCGCCCTTCTGCGAATCCGAGGTCGTCGCCGTCGCAGACAATAATGCCCCATTCGATTCTAGGCTCAATCATGGAGACTGCCACCTGAAACCATCTACCGGGTATGTTGCGATCCCAGGGTATAAGCTTGATAGAGCTCAGGAAACAGAACTGCAAGTTGTCACTGATTTTCTCCATCCAACCAATTCTGCTGATAATCCCCCAGGTTGGAACATTTCTTTCGGGAAATACACACAGCTATACCCCTATTCAATGAGTCCCATTTTTTGGACCTACACCGCCAGGGTTTAGTCTATCAACAACTCATCGCATCCATGACTGCACTTACTGCCTTTGTCCTCGGGCCGATAACCTTTTGGCCACCTGCAGACATTACTTTGTGTTTGAAAGCACTCCTGGCATCGTGTCCGTCTGAAAGTGAGACATCGGGAAGCGAAGACGGCTTGAGCAAAATCAGAGTTGAATGCTTGCTGGCTTACTATGAGTTTCACCACCTCCCCGGATCCGCCGCTTGGATGAGAGTAAGCAGACTGACACGCAAAGCCCACGGTCTGGGTCTCAATCAAATTGAGAACCCCGATTTGTGCTCAGCATTTGACGCGGATACTACAAGCCACGATACAGTCGAAGATTGGCGCCTGGTCTGGTGGTGTATATATTGCTTAGACTCGTATTCCAACATATCCTCAGGGTCACCCTTCGTCGTCGATCCCGAGAGCATAAACACTGCTCTCCCCAGTCGCCTTGTCAACGGTGATTTGCCCGTGGCTCCGTCAGATTCACAACCTCAGAGAATCTTCCTTGCCGATGACCTGAACGATCTTTGGGAAACGGTTCAGCAAATAGTCAAAGGCCACCATGCAGTCGATTTGAACCTCCATTTAGTGGCAACCACAGTTTTGCGGCGGGCGGGACACCTGCTGAGAATCAGATCTGAGAAGGGTCCCGGGAGTGTCCAGGCTCGTCTAGATGGTCTCAAACGTAGCCTGGCATTATTGCGGCTCGCACTTCCCTCACGGTATTTCCATCCGTCGCGCCTGGTTATCAACGGGGAGTCAAAAAAACAGCACCACATGAGGCTCACCAACCTTTTGCTTATGCATATGGCCTTTCTCATTGTAGCTCTACCGGGTGATCGTGCGGAAGATGGAGCTGGCTGGACCGATTGTCTTCAATCCGCATTTCATCCTGCACAAGATATCGCGTCCGTTGTCGAAAACTGGAATAACAATTTCAACTCTCAGACAGATCCTGCGATCTGTCTTATTATCTACGCGGCGCTTCAGGTTCTGTATCTTCATCGCAGATCTGGCATTGGCAGCACGCCTTCATCCCATACGATGCAGAGCGAGAATCTGCTCCACCTCTTTCTGACACAATTCGGCGGTATCTGGTCGCTGCCAAGAAAATTAGCACGTATGAGCCCGCAGACATGGATTGCATCTAGACACAGGCTATTGCTAAACAACTTACAGAACTTTACTGTGTCGCTCGAGAGACCGACGCTGGCCCGTTATCATCGGCAGAAATCGACATTCTGCTCAAACGCGCCCGGACGCCATTGCATCCCAAGTTTGCAAACTCTCATTTGATGGTGACAGAGCACCCTTCCTCGACTACTTTCCCAGATTTGACACTTGACTTTATAGATCCCGTGGAATTGCTGTCTTTTGTCTTGTAACCTCTTCTGGACGCGGAATATTATGGCGAATGAAGTTGGCCTCGCGGAGCACATAATCACCACGCACTCAAGCAACCAGAGCAACCAGAGCAACCAGAGCAACCAGAGCAACCACGGCCTTCATGGGGCGGGGAATATCTTGCTACCTGATGCAAGGTGCAGCGAGAAATTTGTTCATGTGCTTCCACTAGGAGGGCGTGTATGGCCACAAGTTTCTATCCCATGGGATGTACCCAATCACCACGTCCACATCCGGCAGGTCGGTTCGGAACCGAGGTCTCCGCCCTTACCCGAGAAATGACAATACCAAGAGCATGCCATGAGTTTTACACGAATGAGTTAACCCATGCGTCTCTACCAAGGTTATGCCCTCGCCATCGCACAAGTATTCAGAACTGTCCAGGCCAAGCTGCGAGCCAGAATACATCGCCGTCAAGGGCCGGTACCCACGGCTACCCTCCTGTTGACTTGGAAATCCGGTCCGACATCTTTGGCTCCTGAGCGGGATGGGTCGAATCCATTACCGCGGCAAAGTCAGATCAAGGGACGATATCTTCTCACTACAGGGGTTCCCTGCAAGATCGATGGAACTATGGGCCCCCTGTAAGATCGCCGAAAATGCGGGTGGTAATGAGGGTGGACCTCTATTATCATTATTTTCATTGTCTTGGGGTACTCAGTCGAACGCCAAACCATAAGAACTATTGTAAGGCACAAATGTCTAGTAGTGAGATACATTGATGAACGGGGCGAGCATCCTGTCTAGGCGGACTTGAAAGATTGCAGGACTCTTCGGGGAATTTAGCGAGCCTAGACCTGCCGATGCTGTGATTGAGCCCAGTTAGTAAGCAACGTCGAACCATGATTAATCATCATCGTGAACCACCTTGCTAAAAACTATTCCGGATGAAGATTGGCGAGTGCTACCAGTAACCGCCTCTTAATTGCCCCATTGCCTCCATAATTTTCTCGGAGAATTGTCCTCATCTCAAGGGAGCCGACAGACACGTGCAAGCTGCGGACGCAGCCACCTGGCAATGGCGCTAGAACACGTTACACCACACTAACGTTCCACTAAATCTTATGACTACCAAAAGGCTCAAGGCCGTTCTTTGAATTCGCCATTTGCGATGGCATCATATCCATGAAAGAAATGGGAGAAGGATAATTGAGTACTTCACTATTATAAGTGCTGTCCATTTTTCTGACGAACAATTCTGGAAGGGTCGAGGACTTGGGTGCGCTTCAATCACCAAGGTAGCCCGTGAGCAAGGGTCTCCCACACATGCCTCACTACGCCAAGGACTACCGGCAGTCATTTCACGTAGTCCAGAGTCTAGAAAACTACTCTTACCAAGAGCGGGTAAGCCTCTCCATGAGCTCCAGTCAGCCGGGAAATAGTGGGATCGGCACATATATAGCGGTGAGGACGGTAGCGGGCTCGAGGTTGAAGGATCACGCATGAGTTTGCGTAATCCTTTTGTTTAAGTTCAAATGCTATGTGAAGCGTGAGAGAGGATGCAAGTTTGATTGACCAAAAAGATAACTTAGTCTTGTTCGAACCGTTCAAAGCGACTGCCTCACATCACTGTCGTTGTCCGTAGGATCCCTTCGAATGTACACTCTCAGTGCGCACCGACATGGATTCGCTGCTATTTAGCAACTCCACTTTGCCCATGTTTTTCCGCTTTTCGAATTCGTCCAGCAACTCGTGAATCGTACCCAATGGGAACTCATGTATGAGCGGCCGCGTTGCGGCAGGGCACACGTTCGATTCGTAGTCTTTGAACTCTTCCATGGCAAGGTTCAGCCGCAGTATCTGCTTCCAAGAAACGATACTGTCACCGATAAGAAAAACCGGTACTCTTGACATGGCCATCTCCTCCAAGATCCAACGTCGCAGGAAGAAGTCGCGATTCAAGAAATCGGCCGTTCCAATGGCTGCATCAGAAGTAGGATCGAATAAGCCAATGACTGGTATGGCCCATTCGTGGTACGGTGAGTAGTTTTCAGGGTGTGCCTGTTTGTCGTCGGGCTCTTGCCAATTTTCTGGCATGGCTTGGTCGAATGCTTGGATGAGCTGGATACCGAGGTCTGTTTGGGGTATCTTGAGTCCGACCCATCCTACTACCGCGTTTGCCCTCTGGTAGACGTGATACATCAAGACCCTGTGCTTTGCGTTCTCGCTCGCATCTTGTGGGTTAATGCAGATGCAGTCAATCCATACCCGAAGCTTGGGGCCCCTGACATTCTGTGATCCTCCATCGAAGTGCTTCAGCAAGTTCCTGAGCCACGACGGCGACTTGTGCTCTCTTCTGCGTTCCAGACTTTCCTGGCTTGCTTTTTGAATGGCTGGATAGAAGACAGCCCGCACATGTTTCAGGCCCAGAGAGACATGTTTCGGTACAGGAATAGATGACCGGTCCACGAAAATCCTCTCTTGTTGCGTCGGATCGCCTAGCAATGAAGAGACAGCCAGAAAATCGACATCACCGCGTAGCGGCAAGGTCACTAGGCGGCAGACGACTGGGTCTTCGATGTTTCCCGCCGGTTCAATCTCCAGAAATCGTGCCTCATCGCGTGATGTGCTCAACTTCTTGTAATGGATTCTTTGCCGTGGAGTAGACGACATCGTATCATGCATGAACCCCGTCGCTTGCTCAGCACGTTATCATGCAAGGAGTACAATGTGGGACGATGCAAGATTTGGCTCCCAGTCTTTTCAACGGCTTTGCCCGTGTCACTGACGAAAGAAGAGGCAGGCCCCATCCGACGTCTTTGCCCCTACCAGGTCCCCGGACGGATCCACTGCGGCCAAGTCCTGGCGTCTTGCCTTCTTGGCGGTACGCCAACGGGTGTCGAAGAGGGTCGAAATATTATCAGGGGAGTCTAAGTACCGCACTAATGAAACCTACCCGGGGGCGAGATTCGCGGCTGCTTGCTCGATCCGGTTACAACATTCCCAAATCCTGGGCTTGCTACTTTGACCCACTTGGATTAGATTTCGCTGGTGTGTTTTCTCTAACGACGCTATACTGAGTGGAGGTGACGGAACACCTATCCGTTCGTATTATCCGCAGAGCACTATGTAATTTGGTCCCCAGTGTAATTGTGTCCCTGCATACTGATAGGGAGTGTTCCTTGTCGTTTTGGCTCTATCAATGGTCAGAATGCCATGCTTCTCGTCGTCTCAAAGTAATATATCACCGTCTTTATTCGCCTGTCAGTTGCTGTGATGCTCTAGCGAAACACCACCTCTTCGCACAAGTTTTCGCACACAAGTGGTTAATGTGTCGCCCATCGCCCATGGAAGCCTGCGCCGTCATAGTTGCGCCTTCGAGCGCTTATAGTGACTCTGCATTAGGCCGTATCGATACAGCCAACAATGAAGATGCCGTTATGTCGCAAGATGAGGGTAGCCGCTGGATCAAACTTCCTGAAGCCTTGTTCTCATCTATCATGTCGGTAGACCCCCAGTTCAACCCCCAGTACCAAGCCTCAAAAGTTCTTTCGGATGATTGGCTACAGAAGTAAGGATATTCAGACTGATCATGCTCTGGTGCGAAGAAGACGGCTGCTAACTAGATATTAAATAGGGTGATGAAGATGGACGAGGAGACAGCAACGGTTTGGCGGAGATTGGACATCTCTTACATGAGTGCCATATGCGCCCCGCACGCCGATCTCGAAACATTGAAGTTAATGAATGACTGGAATGGTTGGGTATTTGCTTTCGACGACCGTGAGTCCTTTCTGCTCCTTCGAAACATGGCACTGTGCGGCCTCACCACTGCTCTAACTGTGAGACGACTGAAGCATGTGGGCTTACCCCTGTCGTACCACGCATCTCCATTTACAAATTCGCTAACGAAGTATGTATCATTCACAGCTTTTGATGAAGGTGACTATACAAGTAACCACATGAAAGCAACAGAGGAAGTTTTGTGGACCCTGTCGATTTTAGATAATGTCCATCCCATAATCTCCGCAGAAGACCATCCGATCAGACACGTACTGCAGTCATGTTGGCTGCGATTCCAGCAGCGGGCAAGTCCCGCGCTGCAGTACCGCTGGAAGCAATACTTGACGTTATATTGTCTTGGTGTACTTGAACAGGTTGATTTTCAGCAAAGAGCGACTAGACCAACAGTTGACGAATATATGAACCTTCGCGCGCGTTGCGTCGGAGCCTTGCCGTGCATTGGTCTCATGGAGTAAGTTATCGAGACATGTTTAGCAAGTGCGACGCCTGAAGTTTGAATACCGCCTCAGAATACAGTCTGTATGACTGTGGTTCTGGTACAGCGGCATCGTGCGTCATCCCTCCCATTTAACCAAAGGTCGGGGTGCTGCGACCCCTGGTGGACAGTTTCACTCGAGTGGCTACGAGACTTTCGGCAGTGCCTTTTTTGTCCTGTCTCTTTCTATCCCAAGCCAATGCTAACGAAACGGAACAACAGGTATGCGGAAGGAATTGACCTGCCCCGGCATGTTGTGGAAGATGTATCGTTACAGGCGATTACGCGGATCACGTGTGATCTGGTTACATTGTATGTTACTCCATAATTCCTCGCAGTTTTCATTCATCTAATTACGTGGAGCTCAGGCAAAACGATGTGTTCTCATATCGAAAGGATCTTATTAAGGGCGAGGATAGCAACATAATCTTTATCTTTAAAGATCAAGGGTTGACCGATCAAGAGGCTGTAGAACGAATTGGCGAAATGCTTTATGATTGCTACAACAAATGGCGCGATGCAGTGGCGAATGTACCTTCTTGGGGTGATGAAATTGACGAAGAAGTCAAGAAGTTCATCGGCGGCTGCCAAAATCTTGCTCTTGGCAATCTCCATTGGAGGTAAGCTCACAGGGTTCCTATAATGACGGCGTCTGCTAACGTGTGGGCACAGCTTTTATACACCAAGATATCTGGGAACAGATGGCGAACAGGTCAAGCAAACGCGTATGATAAAGCTGCCATAAGTGTTACGGTTGGCACGACAAGTCACCATCACGTTAGACAGTCTATTAGGATGGCACCAACCTTCAGAGAGAGAATAAAAAGGATTCTTAGAAATACCTCACGGCGAATTCAAGCTTGAGTGTGAGAGTAAATCCTGTCTCTTGAAGACATTTGTTGATCTTCTTTACTCATATGAAGCGATCTTGGTGTTTGTTCCGACCAAAGGGGAGTCCAGTCTCAAATTGGCACAGTATAGCTGATCACCATTACTGGTCTATCGCTAATCAAGATGAGCCGGCACTTTGAATCGCCAATCCGGAGGATTGCATCCGAGATAGAATGCGAAAGCTGCCTTGACGGTGCTTTTACTGATAGCTGAACCGAAACTACAGGCCCCTGATCAGCAATCTTGTCTACAAATAGGAGCCAATCCGGTTACCTATTGCAATAGCTGTACTTAGAAAGATCTGTGAACATGGCCGAGACCAAATCAGGATCCATTCGAATTACTTCGTCTAGCTTGCGAACCAAGGCCCAGACCTGAACGGGGGTGAGCTCATCCGGTAAATATAGTCGCTCACTAGCTTCAAGTAACTTGTCAAGGTCAGTGTTCGTAATCTGGTTGTGGGAGATCGATTCTGCAGGCCCAAGGTTATGAACAAGCCTAGTAGATAGGTTGTAAGCATGTCTTGTGCCCCAATTATATGGCACGTGAGCTGCGACATATCCCTCCCGCCGCGAATCGGTAGTAGACGAGTTGTGCAAATGACCGAGACAAGGTCTTTCAAGCCTGACTTGGGTCAGTAAAGTGACGGGCCAATCTCAAATCACCAATCAAGTAGACATCGAAGACACATACAGTAAAATAAGGTCAAGGCCCATCTGCGGGTCTAGGGGCGTTTTGCGTACTTGAAGTCCCCCAATGGGCAACGGCTGGTCTAAGGAACCGACCCCTTTATCAAAAGACAAGGCCCACGGCCAAGTGGGCATTTGGTACTGGTCTCCAGCATTAAACTGATCTCCAACTACAGGTGTGCTTTCAGCCGCCGAGATGCAGCATGCAGGTTCTGGAGTAGTATTCAGAATTGCGTTCCAATCAATTGCTAAGTTCTGCTCAACTGAAACAGTCGCTGTAGCACTTTCATCGACTTCCATGACAGCTGGAGCATCTTGTGATTGGTGCATAGCGTGATGGGCATCTCTATAGGCTTCCTTGATCTCTTCCTTCAAGGTAAGCTCAGCCTTGCGTAGTCGCAAGACTTCTTGTTCCAGGGCCTGTATATAGCTCTGGGTTCTCTGGCGATGCTTCCTACATATGTATGCAACTGATCAGTATTCGAAACGTACACCGCCAGCCGTCTTTAGTGGACATAGCTTACCGCTGTGCGTCGGCAACCTGCTTGCTTCGGTTCCCTTGACTCGGAACGTCGTCCGATTCTGCCCAAGGTCTTTAGTCCACTAGGCCTAGACAGCGGGGTTGTCGCCTCTCCCTAACTCACGTCGCAATTCGGCTGAGAGCCAACCATCCAGATCCAAGCCAAGAATACGCCGAGCGCGCTCGGCTAAGGTCTCTCCTGATGCTGAAGAAGGCATTCTGATTGATTCAACTCTTGTATCTACTTAAACAGCTCAAGCAGCACCAAAATCAGTGATGGAATAACTAGTCAGGAAGCCGTGCTAATATCCTTGTACATGGAGAACCAAATTAACCTTTGCCCCTCAGTACATAGTTACATATGAACATGGGTGCTGGCTGGTAGGGCTCACTCACCAAGGGCAAATCCTTCACAGTGTTCCAATGGAAATACTCCACCAGCAGAACTGGATGTGAAGAGAACGTGAACAGTGTGTATATTTTGGCTCTTCTTCAACGCCGAGCACCATCACATCTAGCTTTGGACGGCTGCACGGTAACTACACACCCATCCATCTGATCACTACCTTTGCGACTTACCTAATCATTCGAACACCTTTTTCCACACCCACAAGCTTCGAGAATTCGTATAGTGTTTGAGCCCTTCAACCCCCCACTCCATCCCAGCACCACTCTGCTTGTGGCCCCCAAAAGGCACGTTTGGCGCAGTATCAAAATGCGAGTTAATCCAGACGCTGCCAGCACTCAATTGTCTGGCCAGTCGTTCTGCGCGACCGAGATCCTTGCTCCAAACCGAGGCTCCGAGACCGGTCTCCAGCGCATTTGCACGCTCGATGACATCGTCTTCGGCTGACCACTTCAGCAATGGAACTATGGGGCCAAACGGCTCCTCCGTCACTATGCGGGAGTCTTCAGGGGGGTTGTCGATGATTGCTGGCTCAACGAAAAAGCCCTTCGACGTCTCACGGACTTTGCCCTCGAGCGCAGCCTTCCAGCCTTGCTTCTCAATTTGTGCATACATGTCCTTCACTAGTTCAAATCTGTATATTCAATGAGTTCATATGTACAACATATAGTGTAGAAGTAAGGGCTGTGTACGTACTGCATCCCATTCTGTACAGGGCCAATGAAGGTACCCTCCTCGAGGGGATTGCCAGTCTGAAGGTTCTTCCTGACATAGTCGACCATGGCATCTCGAAACTGCTCATATATCTTTTCATGGATGTATAGTCGTTTTACATCCATGCATATCTGGCCAGAGTGCAAGAAGGACAATTGTGTGATCTTTGGCAAGCACTTGTCGATCTCAACGTCGTCGCAGATGATGGCAGCGTCATTTCCGCCGAGCTCTAGAACGTAGCGCTTCAGGGTCTTTGCGCAGCTTGTGGCCACGCGTTTGCCCGTGGGGATGGACCCCGTGAACGACACCATGCCAATACTTGGGTGCTCAGTGATCCAAGGGCCGAGGTCGTCATTTCCGCTGAGCACTTGGAAGACGCCTGGCGGGAATATGGACATCCCGATTTCGCCCAGTTTTAGATCGCAATACGGCGTATACGGCGATGGTTTCACGATGATGCAATTGCCTGTTATTAGCGCAGGGCCAACCTTACCCAGACCTAGTAGTACCGGCCAATTCCAGGGAACGATTGCAGCGCAAACTCCAATAGGAGGGAACGTCGAATAGATAGTCCGCTCATCATTTTCGTCTAACAGCTCGTCCTTTATTTCCATTGTAGCAAAGGTTCGAAGCCATGCGATTGTCATGGTGAGCTCGACGCCGGACAGGCTTATCGTCTTTCCCGATTCGAGGGTGTCTAGCCTCTCTATCTCACGTCTATCCGCCTCAATGGCGTCCGCAAACTTGAGCAGAAGTGCAGAACGCTCTGCGAAGGACGTCCTGGACCAGGTTTTGAATGCAACCTGGGCATGTACCACTGACGCATCGAGGTCATCCTTGGTCGCCACGGGAACTTCATACAGCGGCTCGCCGGTGGATGGATTGATCGAGTGCCTGGTAGTGGATGTTGGGAGGAACTCATTGTTCACAATGTTTCCAGGAAAGTTCTGGGGAAGTGTCAAAACAAATGAGAAGAGGTGCACCTCATCGGGCAAGAACTCACTTCGAAATCAATTATTGGGGCCATGATGCTGATTATATATATAAATATTGACGAGTCGCTTATATGTTTCAACTTCCGGCACGCTGAAGAGGTTGCAGTAGTCCGACTTAAATGTCACAGCAATTCCTAAGGAACCCAATAATCGTCCTTGGCAGAGAGAGTCGTTCCAAAGCTGGGTTACGCTATGCCGGTGGTCTCTTAGTGTACGGTAGGTGGGGAACAGAAGTCAAGTGTCAGCACTTGTCCCAATATCGTCTTGGCAAGATTCTGATACCGAATGACACCCGCCCTGCTCTGCAATCTATTATGTACTTGATATGCAAGATATCGTCACTAGGATTCCAATTGGACGGCTTCATGCCTATCTCAGGCTGCGCCAAGTTCCCCCGCTGCATTTGATAAGCCGGTATGTAGCCCAAGCCTCTAATGCAGCTACTATTGGCCTTTAGGATTGGATCAGCCATTTCAGTAAACCCAGCACGCCCAAGAGTAACCATTGGGGATCAGTATTAATCCCGGTGGCCGTTGCCTCTATGGTCCAAAACAGTGCCAGAGTACTGCCTTTGTAGGGCTTACTAAACATGACAAGGAAGTCTCTCTGCTAAGGCAGGGGGGAAAGGCGGTAAAATAGTGGGTTATATCTGTCTTTTCACGTTACCTCGTAGGCTCACTTGTATGATATTAATGAAGTCAATTCACGTCGGGTTCATAGTGCTTCAACATAGTTCCTTTCATGTGCATTGCATAACCATACATCGTCATGGGCTTTAGGATGTTGGCTCACTCTTGATAAAGCTCTTTAGCAACTTTTCGACCATGCATGCATTATTTACACCATCCCGATAAGTGCTTGTTACAGTGAATGACATTGGTACTACAATGCCATTCTCAATGCTTTGTTCCTTTATGACTGCTCGTTTAGTCACTTCAACGCATCCTCCTTGTCTCGACCATTCGGTTCGAGCGAACCTTGCAGATAAATACACCTGGACCTCCTACAGATATTAGGAGCTTACCACCTTCTTGGAGTGTACGCTGGCGAATTGATCTGATTCCTCGCCATGAGTTCAACCATTCGTGTCAAACTCGGACCTCCACACGTACTCCTAAAGGGCCTTGTTTGGTTCCTGGGCATCACAACACTCCTTTCAGCACTTACCAACAACCAAATATGCAGACATGTTCGCCTCCATACTCCACATCATCCTGATGGGCACAGACTCACGGATGAGAAGGTTCTTTCCATTCGGCGCAACTCCTTACGGCGGGTCCAAGACAGCAATACCGAACTACGGGTACGAATGGACGACGGACATGGTCCATTGATCAAGTACGTGTCCGTCGACGCAAACGTGCTTGCTGCCTTTCGCAGCACTGATGAAATTCTATCCATGCTTCCACCTGGAAACTGGAACAAGGCTTATATTTTCGAAGGCAAGGATAAGCAGCCTGGTGTAACGGTTAAGGTGGAGAGGCTGCTGGCTGTCGAGGGGGCATGGTCTCCCCTAAACATCGACTACTTTGATCTCATACCCATACGGTCGCTCAAGACGGAGTCTGCCGTTCAAGGTACCTCAGAGTCCGACTTCATCCAGGTCGTATCTCACCCTTTGTTCTCAGTGCCCATTGTTATGAAGATCGCCAGCTTTCCCAATACCCACAATATTGTGGGCATAGAGGCTGAGATAGTGGCGTACCGTCTGCTTGAGGGCGCAGGGGTCGCGCCAAGGTATCTTGGACAGGTAACCGAGAATGGACGTGTAATAGGGTTCCTCACCGAGTATATCGCTAATGGCCGGACCGCACAATATTCAGACCGCAAAGCCTGTCTGGCGTCATTGTCAAAGGTACATTCCAGAGGCATTGTGCATCGAGATCCCCATCTCGGAAATTGTATAATTGGCAAAAATGGTGAGGCTTATATTGTGGATTATGAAACCTCTCGGACGACGAATGACTACGTGGCTTTTCAAGTAGACTATGACCTCATGTGGCAGTCTCGGGGTGGGTGATCGCATCGTGATTCTGGAGTTTTCTTGCTTCTGCGATGTCTACTCGTAGAGGGAGAACATTGTTCCCTGCACCGGCCCCGACCTTATTAGCATACACACCCTTGTTAGCATTAATAAAGCATCGACGAAATGCTCATGATTCATATGATTACTTCAACATGTGCAAATTGATTGAGATATTAGGTGGTTGTCTTCTGTATGATTCTGCGTATACAGCAGTAAAGGGCGATAGAAGGACTGTAAGAGTCGATGCGGCCAGAACGCACATTTAGTTTTGTCTCACAGATTGGTAGGGGTAAAGAGAGTCTTTGTGGCCCCATTCTGATTGATAATAACAGTAACCTCATCTATTGGGTAGACCACTCACTCGAAGGTTAAAGTTGGATGATGCTGGAATATTGTGACCATTACGCAGCCGTTTCTGTCCCAGTTTCAGTGAGGGTGGGTATATCTATGAGGCTGAGGAATCATGTATCTTTGCCTAGCTATTTTTATTTTCGTTTATCTACCATGTGACATTCTACGATCCAGTGCGTTGGAGAGCCTGTGACTATGTTAGCATATGCGTACAGGTGAAATTTTTCATAGACCTACTACCGCGAATTTGCTCCTCCCCCTGATTGTCTCCCCGTAGATTGCCAGAGCCCAAGGTACGAGAGTCAAAACTGTGGCGATGGCACCCAGAAGGCCACCGGCAGTCTTTTCGCCTAGGTTGACAAACAAGGGGGTTACCACCAGGGGGAAAGCGCCTCCAAGCATATTTCGGCAGAAGGACTGAGCAGCCAGGGCTGAGGATGCGTAGGTTTGGTAGCTGTCGGCTAGGTAGTTGAACGTAGCCAGGTATATGGTGTAGATGCCCACAGTAGCCAACGAGATGGCTATGGTAGGTGCTATCCAGTGGATATCTGGCGCAGCCGAGAGGCCAAAGAGATATAGTCCGGCAGGAAGTAGAATGGAGGTTATGCAGGTGAAGTACAGGCGGGATTCAGGAGCTTCCACAGGGAAACGACGCCGCATGAATGACCAGAATTTGCTGGGTGGATTGTCAGACGTTGCCTCGCGTTGCCATTTGTGATACTTGAGCAAACGTTCCTGATAGACTCCCATGGCAGTCGCAAGAATGGAGCCAATAATCATTGCAATGAAGACATATCCCGACTCCTGCTGGTTGAACCCATACTGGCGCGAGAACACCAGCGGGATCGAACCAAAAGTGAGGTACAGAACCGCCCAGGCGAACGACACCCACAGGGAGAAGAAGAAAACAGCGGGCTCAGTGAATAGGAGATGGAATGGTCGGAACAGCGATACTGTGATCATGGTCACCAGCGAAGCGCGCTGTTCGTCCTCTCTTACCAGCCAACGTATACGCTGCAGTCGGAAGCCGTGGTACGCTCGATTTTGGTCGTTGAAGAAGAAAGGTGTGGAACTGGTCTTCTCCTCATCCTCGGGCACTAAGGGTCGAAGATCGAATGCCACTTCACCGGGTTTCGCATCAGCACGCACCCAGACACCAAACACCCCCTTCTCTTCTAGAGCGGTGTACCACTTATTTAGTTTCGTTGCTTTCCTACTCAGAAGGACACTGCCCCTGCTTTCGTGGAACATGACCGTTAGGGCGATGACGAGAACAGCGTCAGCGATGACTTGGTGCCAGAAGACCCATCTCCACTTAGCCGTGATTCCTACAACGCCGTCGTGGCCCCATCTGTGCAGCATCAGACTAGAATCCAGGGGGCCAAGTCCGGTGCCGATGAGCACAGCACCACTGTACAAAGCCATCGGGGTATTTCTCTCTTCCTTTTCCCAAAGGTCAGCAATGACCCCACCAATCATGGTGCTGAAAACACTGCCGCCCACGCCGCACATGAACCGCGCAAACAGCATACCGCCAAGGTTGGAGACAATCCCACAGACAGCCTGGAAGATCACGAAGACGATCCCAGAAACCACGAAAACCGGATATCGTCCGTTGACCTCGGAGAAGGGTGCCAAAATCATGGGAGCAATAGCAAAGCCGACGGTGAAGAGAGTGATGCCAGTGAGGACTGCGGTCCTGGATACACCAAACTCTGCTGCCAAGAGGTCTGCTGGGGGTGAATACGCGCCAGCGGTGTAGGCGGTCAGGCATGTCGCGACACATGATAGAAAGAGCATGGTGTTTTTTCTAGCATTGCGCATCTTCGTAGGGTTGCCATAGCGGCTGAGATCTGGTCGTGCCGGTAGTTGGTCGACGCAAGAGGACGAAGTCATGTTGACCGCAGGAACCGCGGTATCAAATGTCAAGTAGACATTGGTGATGGGCGTATCGGCGCTGAGTGAGGGCGTTGCCGTCTTCTCGCCGGGACAGCTGTTCAGATTGCGTTCGGAGCCGTCGCTAACCAGGCCAATGGACATTGGAGTGTCATTATCGGAAGACTGGTCGCTCTTGTCGCCGTCTGGGTAGCCAGCGATGCCAACCATCTCAGCACGTCGGGTAGGGCGATGGGCCGAGGCGAACCCGGCTCCGGCGTCGAGCGGTTCCATACTGAGGACCCAGCCCGTTGGCGACACGGGACGTGGTCGCTGAGGACCGGGAGCCCGGCGGGTGCGAGTCCAGAAAATGTCAGAGCTGCTCCAGGAAGGTCCCAGGTCGAGTGTAAATCCATGGAGAAAATTGATAATTGCCTAGGTAATCAGGAGGGAGATACCCGGTACAAGGGAGAAGGGGTGAAGACCACGGATCGCTCTCCCATCCTCGGGTTTCATCGCAGCATTAATCTAGGTTCCAAGGTCCTACAATGGGCAGGGAGTTCCTACACCGACAAGCCGGGAATACGGAGGCTTTAAGGATGCCCAGCCAGGCCCGACCGATCTAACGATCGTCCTTGCAGTCCTTTCCCGGCGGAGACGAGACGCCAGCCAGCTTGCTGCATCGTGCCATGGCGGCATTGCGGCAAAGCGGCCTGCAGTCTGGGGCAGTTGGGATGCTGGGGAATTCGCAACGGATTGACGAAATGGAATGCCTCCGCCAGCGGGTAACGACCCCTTTCCAGGCGTGGAGAGGGCGCTAATGAAAGCTTGTCTCGGGGCGGACGACGTTCCCGGTTATTTCCAGACCCGTAAGTTGTAACCCAGGGCGGCAGGTGGGCGACCGGAGAAGATGCAAATCGCGATGGATGAACAAGTTTCCCGCGGGCAGAGTCCGATTTCCGCCGTAAGCAGCTAGCTCCGCAGATACGGAAGCACATACCGCAAGTAGTGCTAGGTATAGCTTCATAGGTGTAGGCCTGGTAGGCTTCCTCCACCCGTTTGCCTTGCTCCTCCCTCGGCCTTACTATGGTGCATAACAGGGCCCAGGACCAGCCTGTTCGCGCGTCTGCCATGTCAGCCCATCACAGCGTCTCTTCCCCCATCTGCCGCCATAGGGTGAGAGAAACTTGATATTTGCTCTCAAGCAAGGCGACAGCCAAGATCGTGGCTGCAGAATGGGCCGCGGTCTGGACCTTTTGGCATTTTTGGCATGGGTGCACGATATATTAAAACATTGGTGACAGAACTGCCGTGCAACGCTGTGCTGGAACCGAGGCTAACCAATTGGCAGACAACCGCCAAGATGCGTAGCTCTGCAACTCGGGGGGACACAACACACTGCCCTGGTGGTGGCTAACAACCGGGCACACTGACGGAGTGCGTGGCTTGGCAGTTGGCTACCTAGTCGTCGATGCGCTGACTGGTGTCCCAAGCTGCTGGGACATGCGGCGGAACCCTTGCGGACAGACTGACACATGACAGCACGAAAAGCAATCATCGCCAGGCGGCATGACATAATCGGCGTCATCTCAAAATCGAAGCTGCCGCTCTTGACGTGCGGGGATGCAATGTTCGTGATAGGCACCCAACGCAGTCGCACTTGGCCAGCGGAGACCGCCGTGACATTGGCCCCAATAACCTACTGAAAGTGTACGGCGTTTGTTGTCCGCTCAGGTGACCCATGGGTCCTCGGGCTCTTGAAGCTCGCACAAGCCGGCGATCTAGGAGTACGCCGAATCAAGTCAGTGAGGCTCCTCGTCTTCCCCATGGTTCTCGGAGTCTGCGAGCGCGGTGTTTCTCCCGACCCCAGCGATTCCGCTTGTTCAGCCGCCCAACCTTGACCTGCATTCCGGGCCGGTCCACCCTGCAGGCTATATACGCTTTGCCGGTTGTCCTGTTTGACCCCCTCATCATACCCCGGCCGGCTATCCACCCGATGCGCAATGTTGGAGCTTCGGCTTGTGCTCGGGACGCTTCCGCGGGTCGCTTCGCTTTGAAGCTTGTGCCGACTGCCGGGACGACTGCGCCGTCTGATACTGCCCAGACTCTCGAGGCTTCCCAAGCTGCCTGCGCTTGCCAGATTGAGTGGCTTCGACCAGGAACCCCTCGCCGTGCTCTGGCTCGCGTGATCAGCGTTGGGCGCAATGTTCTTGCTTAGTGAAGCCGGTGTGGTTGCTGCTTTGTTCATACTAGTCCGCCGCTGCTCTTCCATATCGTTGCTGGGTTTTCTCTCCGTGCTACTGCCACCGGGGTGGTTTTTGGTTCTGTCGCTGCCCTCATTTTGACTCTTCTTTCTACCAAACCTTCCGATCTTGACTGTTCTTCGGCGAGTGACCTTCTGTGTGGGATGTTCTGTGGTCATACCGCTGAACCCCTTGGCGCTCTGTTTGCGCAGGTCATAGGCCTCTAGCATTTCCCTCAGTCTTATGAACTGCTTTCTTGCCACACTCGCTCTCTGTGCTGAGCTGGGGATGTAGGCTAGCCCTGATGGATTTCCATATTGTGCTCTGACATTCACGTCGGTCTGCATATATCGGTGCACGGTCGACTGTCCTGGAATGAAGGGCCACACGCACGATATGTCTGCTCTGTGGGCATGTCTCGAGAGCTCGTCCGGGTCCTGACAATTGACGTCGGGGAAGAGAGACGCCAGAATGCAACTGGCTGTGGAAGCATTGAAACCGACGATTCGAAGGGTCTCGATCTGGCCTGACAGCCTGACAATAGGAAATACAGCTCCATAATCGCCATCAGGTGGACAGTATTGTCTCAGCTTGCTGCGTCCATGGTCCTCTGTTTCTGCCGCCCGGGTTCCATGGTAACGACGTGCTAGTAGCACCAAGTTTGCAAGCGACATCGATCGATGCGCTACCTGGATTTCGGTGAACCGAGCCACGCTAGCGGTCACGTTCAGGTTTCCAGGCACAAGGTGGGCAGCAGACGAGCTGGGACCGAAGCCCAGCTTGCTCAGGTCCAGCTCAATCGTTATGTGGCGCATCAGATGGCTGTACTGGTCGATCCAGTAGAACATCTCGGCACACAGTCGTTCCTTGACGTGGGGCGAGAAGACAAAGTGGAATCGATGGGTGGTTAGAACGTAAGCCAGAAGGTCCATCCGTATCGAGAAGCAGGATGAAAGTGCCCCACGCGATGACCAGAACAGCTCCTTGGTGTTTTCGAATCCGGCAATGTGCCACACATCCTTGAAGAACGGATTGAAAGCTTGCATTCGGATAGGCTTCGGCTCAAGACTGGGATCATCGTGCATAACGTATCCCCAGATGATTAAACGCGCTCCCACTGGCAACTTCAGCAGCATGCACGACTCACCTGCCGTATATGTGCGGCCTCGGGTCAAGCGTAATCTTGCACAGACCTTCGAATACGAGTCGTTGATTGCGTTCTGTCGCTTCTTGTTGTAGTTGAGAATCGAAATGATGGCTTTGTAGGTGTCAGATTCGAGATCTCCATGATTCGTTGTCGTTACTCTGGCTACCCGCCCTACGACAATCTCCTCTCGTGCGCTCTCGAGGCTTTCGGCACCACGAACCGATCTTATGATCGCTGCCTCCTCGTGAAATGTCACATCTACCCGACGATCCCAAGGTGGTGTTGGGCACTTCATCAAGTCGTTGCGCATTCTGGATCTGCCTCGCTCCTGTGTGCGTTGCTGCTCTCTCTCTGACTCCATTGCGTGGTGATGAGCTCCATTGCGTGATTGCAGCGGAGGGAGCGACTTGGCTGGGTCTTCAGGTCAGAAAACTGCTCAATCTCCCGCGGCTTTCCGACTCACCTCTGCTCCTAGTCTTCATTTTTGCGCTTGTTGCCAGCTATATGCGCGTGCGACCTGGCGAATACGCGTTGATCAAGAACTCGCAAAGGTCGAGATGTTTGATGTGACGAAGCTCCCAAGGCTGTGCTGTACATTGAGTTTCAGGCTTCTCTGGGCGTTTGCGCGTTGCCCTGAGGTGTTCGGCCGTGGGTAAACTTCCGACGAAATCAAAGTTACCGGATGGCGTTGGACTGCCGCAATACGACCAGGCTGGTCACCAACGCTGTTGTGCAGGCGGTGAGTTTAGGTTCATCCGATGCTCGCGCAATGCATTGTTGTTGGGGTCGACAAGATAAGACTGCGAACTGGGTTTACGACTGCGGGTACGAACGTCAGGGCGCCGTCGCTCAGAGACCTCGCACCTGAGGCGAACATTCTGTCAACATACTTCTAGAATTCTAGCCTCGTCATGCTCTAACGCATTCATTCCTAACATATGCGTGAGGATAGATTTGCGGTTAGCCAGGACTGCCACACCATCTGGAGCTCCCAAGGGACTAACTGGAAGACAATGGACGCCTTTCAGTCACTCTGGTATTCCCTGTTTACTGCTTGAAACTCTAGGAAGCATCTTTATATACGGCTTCGAGTGAGATTCTTAAGTATAATTATTCCTGACACATTCTCGACCCTGTCCGTGGTGATTAGTATGTCCAAAGCTCGACGATAGTGCCTATGGGGTGTGACGCCAGAGGATGATTGAACCACAGCGCCGTCCGCTGTTTTTTAATAGTGACAGAATATCATGCTAACGGAATTATACATATTATTTAAGTTAGCACATCGTGCTGAGACTGCCCATAGAGATATTTCTTCCACTGTTAGCGCCGTGGAGTCAGGGACACTTTTCCAACTCCCTTTAGGCCCCTTTGTATAGCCAACATTCGCATCAATACAAACAGACGATTATGCCCAGTGCCTTGGACATAGTTCGGAGGCATTGTGATTGGGATAATACCTGCATGTTTACTCTTATAGGTAGATAGCTGGATAAGTTTCGGCACATTGTACCGAAACTTCACATACAGCCCCACGCCTGATAGCCACGCTGTGGTTCGACCAGTCTGTTTTCATCCTTCTTCAGATCTCACAGATCGAGCTCAGCTGGATTCATCTCTCGTATGATGGTGACTAATTTCACCTCATTGGGCCAAGTCCTTGCAGACCTGTGATGGATGATTTGGAAATACGCAATCAGTTTGCGAGCAAATCTGCAAGTTGTTGTCTCATCGTACTTCAGAACCAGTTCCACAGAATCATACCATGAGAAATATTGATTGGCCATTTTCCTTTCCCTTAAGATAGGTGCAACCGCGGGCTCGATATTTGTTGCCTCAAAGTCGAACTCTACACCTTCACTTTGAGGTCGTACCGGACAAGGGCTCGGCCGACCCCATTTTGACAGCCTCGGATACGGTGTCTGGGTAGACACGGAAGAACTACTTTATAATGGTGTAAAGTGATAGTCGGTTTTCAATTTCCCCTTTATTTCTCCAATTTTTGGTTTTGGGGGATGTCGAGTACAGCGTGATTGACCACCAAATCCAGCATCATTACGTCTCCGCTGCTGGAACGGGTCCATCGGTGCTTAGTTCAAGCATGTAGGTAGTCTCTGTTGGATGCACAAAGGCGAATTTCTAAGAATTTGTGGATTATGTGAAGCCTGTCGCCGCTGCAAAATGAAGTTATTCTCGGACGTCATTAATTTGTGCATCTTCAGTCTGCTGACGAAGAGGCGTCCAGATTCTATTCACTCTCGTGAATGAGCCGTCTTGGAAATATCTTTAAAAAGTATTACTGGGTATGATAAGATCAAAGATAGTTGAGTGATATAGAAGAGCACGCAAGGCATTGCTTGCTGGAGATAATGCCTCGATCCTGGACTGTCTTGGAATTATTACTACCGCTTTGAGGCGATGACTTTTGGGTGCTGCGTCGGCTCTTCCTTGGCCCCTTTTCACGCGTCAGCGGCTACAGAAAGAAGGGAATTTTGCGGAAGATAGTCCATCATTGGTGTGCAGGACTAGGTTCTAGACGCACGATGCTGAGTGATCTTGTTGTCAAGAAAGCGCCATCTGGGTGGGAAGATGGCTCTCATTGATTTACCTTTTCTGCTACATAATGCATCCGATGCTTGTAACAGCTGTGCCACCTTTCGACCACAGATCTACCGTGCATCAATAGGATTCAGGAATAGGCACCCCAAGCCAATACGACAAAGGTCACGGAGGGGCGTCTGTAGCTCAACGTTTTGGATTGGCTTCGAAGGGTAGGTATACTCTATATTCATTGGCGACAACTTATCAGTTGACAGCCCATCCCTGGTTCGCGTCGTCTCCGTTGCCTTGACCACTTGCCGCACAACTTCCAATTCAGCCTGGCGAAACTCACGATTTTAATGCTTCTTGACTCGACCTGGTGGCTACTCCAAGTTGCAAAATGCAGAATTTGGCTTGCAAGGACAAGTCGCATGCTAGAGGGTCATAAGAATCCAACGTGGGATTCTGCCACGAGAGCTGAATTGCCAGAACTCCCGAGCGAGACTCGACAGGAATAAATGAAACCGAGTTCTGGATGGCGCACGTTTGACCAACACCGTCCGTCCGACCGCCCTATCCCACGCCAGGACAAGCCGGCCGTAATCTGATCCGGGAATGAGTGCCGATTGCATGAACTGTCGAGTTCAATGAGATTGCTGGGCCCTGATTTGGCCGGGCACCCGCAGAACGAAGCTTTCAGGAGAGCATAGCCCCAAACTCACCATGGTGCCTTCGTTTATACCCAAAGAGGCCTAATGTCTTCGTCAGCTGCCCCACCCTCAGTGTCCCAAAGCCCGTATGAACCTGAGGGAGCGGCGTAATGGGTGGGTTTGGTTGCGTACGTGCTTCTGGTGATTCTAATAACCAGCCGTTCCTGTTTACATTGACGTGCAGTTTCTTCGACTCCTTTTCAGTCTTGTTCTCCAGATTGATTCATTGTAGCTTGTTTTCTGCATCGCTCTTTTCCCTCGTTCTTTTCACACTTCTCTAGTCATTCGCTCACAATTGTATTTGATACTTGGCACCCTGGAAAGCAGTAAGCCGAGCCTGGGCAACAAGACAAGCCTTTGCCAAGCCTGCCATCCTGAAGACAACCTACCGCTTTAGGCATTTCCCCCAAGACCCTGCAGATCCCCAACGACCAACGATGGCGCCCATCTCTGCTAGGGGCATCGCCTTCTTGGCCACTGCACTGCTCTCAACGCTTGTTTCAGCTGTCGAGTACCTCTCAATCAGCGGCTCCGACTTTGTCACCAACTCGACTAACAAGCGCTTCGATATAATCGGTGTCACCTACCAGCCCGGGGGCTCCTCTGGCTTCACTTCTACTGCCGATCCCCTGAGCGACACTGAAGCCTGTCTTCGCGATGCCATCATTATGCAGAAGCTGGGGGTCAATGTGGTCCGGATATACAACTTGGACGCGGATCTCAATCACGACGAATGTGCATCCATCTTCAATGCTGCTGGCATCTACATGCTCCTGGATGTGAACAGCGGTCTTTACGGTCAGTACATTGACCGATCCGACCCGTCAAGCACCTACACCGTAGACTACATGGAGCACATCTTTGCCATTGTCGAGGCCTTCTGGAGCTACCCCAACACTCTGGGTTTCTTCGCCGGAAATGAGATCATCAACGAGGACGCTGATGAGTCTGTACCCAAGTACATCCGCGCCGTCGTCCGTGATCTGAAGGAGTACATCGCCCTGCACGCGCCGCGCAGCATTGGCGTGGGCTACTCGGCCGCAGATGTCGCAACCATGCTCACAGACACGTGGGCGTACCTGGGCTGCGAGCTGGAGAACTCGACCTACTCCAAGATGGACTTCTTCGGGCTGAACGACTACGAGTGGTGCGGCGATAGCAGCTTCACCGAGTCGGGCTACGATGACCTGGTCACCGACTTCTCGGGCACCGACATCCCCGTCTTCTTCTCCGAGTACGGCTGCAACAACGTGGCGCCCCGCACCTTTACCAACGTGCCCGTGCTCTACGGCGACGACATGGCCGAGCTCAGCGGCGGCCTGGTCTACGAGTTCACGCAGGAAACAGACAAGTACGGGCTCGTCGCCATCAACAGCTCCACCGAGGTCACCCTGTTGCAGGACTTCAACTACCTCATGCAGGAGTTCCTGACCATCGACGTCGCCAGCCGCGAGGAGATCAACAAGACGGCCGAGAGCGCCAGCGCAACCAGCTGCGCTGCGTCCCTGATCTCCGAGTCGACCTTCCTCAGCGACTGGGACCTCCCTGACCGCCCCAGCGGCGGTGATGACCTGGTCACCAGCGGCATCACCAGCGCCCCCACCGGATCTCTGGTCAGCGTCACGGCCACTACCATGCCCGCCACCGTGTACAACGTGAGTCATCCCCTCTCGACGGCTGTCCCTGCCCCATTGTCGCCCGTGGCGGAGAAGGCTGCTGACTCCCGTGATGCAGTACACTGGCGCCGAAGTCACCGGGCTGGCGCTTGTGTCCCTGGGCTGTGCCGACAGCAACTACCCAGGCCTGATTTCGACCTACACAGCTGGCGATGAGACCTGTGTCTATGCTACCTCCACCGGCACCTCAAGCTCGAAAAGTCTGGCTGGCCCGTCTTTCAACGTCGATGTGGGCACTATTGCCATGTTCGCCGCCGTTCTGTCCGGCTTCGTTGGCGGCCTCATGTTGTTGTAGACATTTTGCGGGTGTCATTTGTATATACCATGTAGATAAGATGCGAACAGGCGGCGATATAGACTTTCTCAGGCTCACGTTAACACCTTTATTTATCAACAAACCATCCTGCGCTCACTGCACCACAAACAAGCTGTAAAACACAGCGACACCGCGAGGCTTCACTCGATGTTGTGGGTAGGCCGGGAGGCCCTGCTGTGAGGGTACCCGTTGATCCCGGCCAGGAGCTTGTTGCACTAATATCTCGGCTCGAGGTTGCAACAATGCCATTGGATGTTCTCTGGCAACAGTTGACACGGCCCGTATTCTTGCCGCGCAGAGTTTCCGTAGCGGCCACTGGCCGGTGTCTAGATGCCTATTCGGATTCCTGGTCTTTGGCTCCGGCGTGCCCTAAGTAGACAACCCACTAGTTAGCAATGCGGTTGCGCTGGGAGACATATTCTAGCGGCGAGTCATCATGGCATGGTGGTCAATCCGAAGGTTAGCATCATGAATGACATCCATGTATGCGTGAGGAGCACCCGGACGCGACGGGTAATCATCGGCGAATCTGGCCCTGACATCACTGCTGAGCTGTGGGTTGACCCCGCCAGCGATGGGCGAGCTCCAGCGGCGCCGGGGCTTGGGGGCGGCCGAGTTAGTGGACGGCAAACCTCTGAATGGCGGGGCACATGGTTGGCAACTTTTTGGGTCGCAAAACTTCAAAGCCAACATCGTAACGATTCGCTTGTGCCGGCCGACGAGAACAGCCGATCAGACAACCAGACTCACCCACCGGATACCCCCGCGTTCGAACCTGCCACAGTCGTAACCATGGACATCAAGGACCTCGCGGCGAACAACCCCACGCCCCCTCCGGGCTTCGACCCAGAGAATGCCCAGAACCTCGAAGATGTGAGGATCCCTCCCGGTGCACCCCGTGTGTGCTCGTGACAGAAGGACTTCCGAGACTGACCTGCCCCGCAGATGGAGAAGCAGTTCGCCGTCAAGGTCGTACAGCACATGGAGATCTACTTCTCCATCCTCGAGAAGGTCAAGGGCTCGACCGTGCGCCTCACCAAGATGGACGACGAGATCTACGAGCACCTCCAGAAGGATTTCCCCGAGTTCGACCCCGCCGAGCCCATCGACGAGGACAAAATGAAGAGCCCCGAGGGCAAGAAGCGCTGGCGCGACTTCATGATGCAGTACGAGAAGAAGATTGACGACTACAACTTCGGCACCATGGTGCGCGCCAGCCCCAAGACCGAGTACACCCAGGAGGGGACCATCTTCGTGCCCAGGATGCAGTTCTACGCCGTCGAGATCGCCAGGAACAGGAATGGCCTGAATGACTGGATTTACGAGGAGAAGCAGAAGGAGAAGGCCGGAAAGTCATGAAGCCCGCCTCGCAAGTAACCCGTCCTCGCCTCATGGGGGGTCACGGTGGATGTTAGGCAAGTTGGGAGCGTGCGCTGCACCGGGGAAGGGGGACCCCGTGGGCCATGGCGTCCCTTGAAGTAATCGATGGATCACAGATGATTGCAGGGGCACAAGCATGAGAAACCCCAGAGTTTCCGGGAGACCTTACTTGGCTCTGGATGTTGGCCTAGGACTTGGTAGAATTCCCGGTAGACAGCCCCGTTGAAGTTGGCTGATGGCCGTTTCGCGGAGGCGGCTTTCGCAAAATACCCCATTTCACTCGAAATAAATACCTATGTACCTACCTAGCTATTGTTACCGAGACCTCAGAACCATGCCACTCATTTCGGATGAGCGTCGCGCACACATGGCTAAGGTCAATAGCTGTTGACAAAGAGCCGGCACAGCTCCCGTCGTTCCTTTGTTCTGTTTTTGTTTTCGTCGGACCTAGCTATCTAATCCGCAGCACAGCTCCGCCTGGTCACTATGAAGGACTGGGGAACTTTTTCTGCAGCTCGTTCTAAGACTTCCCGACATTCTGGGAGCCAGGCACGCTTTGGAAGTACTTTGTCACGTCTTTCCGTCACGCGTTCCTCCATCCCGCGACGCATCGCGACAGGAGGCGCAGCCATCGGTTGGCATAACATGGCAGACAACACCTCGCAGGCTCCTGACACACAGTCCAATGAAAAGAAGCCTTCGAATTCACAATGGCAAGGCAAGACTCGATGCCGACATCTCTTCGCTTTCGCCTCGTGGAAAGACTCATTTCCGCTTGCCGCTGGGCTCGTAGCATCCATCCTGTGCGGTGCTCTCAAGACTTCTCTTGCCGTTTTCGTTGGAAAGATTTTCAATGCCATAACGGAATACAGCGGCGGGAGACTCTCCGCGACGGACCCCCTATCAGAAGTTTCCTCATGGTGTATCATGATCGTGGCGGTTGGAAGTGCTGGGTGGCTTGTCCACTTCTCCTTCATGGTCTCGTGGGTGGTTTTCGGTGAAGTTCAAGCGCGCAATATCCGGCAAAAGCTGTTCCACGGCCTTCTCGATCGGGATCTCGAGTGGTACGACAACCAGGCCGAAGGCATATCCAGTTGGATCGTGCGCGCTCAGACGTAAGCTGCAACCACACCCACCTCTTGCGGCTTGCATGCCACGAGCTAACGGCCACAGCCATCTTGGCGAATTACAGACAGCAACATGTGTCGGTCTGGGAAACCTCTCCATGGACATTGCGACGGCAATTGCCAACCTTGTCGTCGCTTGCTACTTTTCTTGGAAACTCACGCTGGCCATCGTCGCCACAGCGCCTGTTTCAGCGGCCATCCTCACTCTACTGGGCCGGAAGCTCGAACCAAGCATCGAAAGCCAGAAGCAGGACCTTGCATCAGCCTCTAAATATGCCAATTCGGCCATCACGGCCATCGACCTCGTCAAAGTCTTTGACGGGGCTGACCAGGAGACATGGCAATATGCCGATGCCATCAAACGCGCCATGGACGCCTACCTCAGACAGGCTAGGGTCAACGCATGTCAAATAGGCTACGTCAAGTTCTGGCTAGAATCTATATTCATTTTTGGCTTTTACTACGGTGCCGTTCTTGTTAATCGAGGATCGAGCGCTGGAAGTATCTTGACTGCCTTCTATGCTACCCTAGGCGCACTGCAGGCTATCGAGTCATTCATGCCTACGTACTCAGTCCTGGTCAAAGGCATGTGTGCCGGACGGTTTCTACAGGGCGTCACAACAGAAATTAAAGGCAACGACCATGCCAAGAAGACAACCGATGCATACAGGCCTAAGGCCTGTGTGGGTGAAATCAAATTAAGCAACGTACGTTCTTCTCAACCCCATATTCATCCAGGTCTTTACTGACTGATCGTGTAGGTCACCTTTGCCTATCCAAATAACCCGTGGGTTCCAGCTCTCAAACATGCGTCCTTTTACTTCCCCTCACGCCAGCCTACGTTTATAGTCGGCCGAAGTGGCTCTGGCAAGAGTACGATTGGAAACCTCCTGATAAAACTCTACGAGGAATATGCAGGTGATATTTTCCTTGACGGAGTTCCTCTCCAAACCCTGAGTACCAAGTGGGTACGAGACAACACTGTCCTGGTACAGCAGCAGGGTGCTGTGTTCAATGATACGGTTCTCGGAAATATCATTCTTGGCATGAACGAGCAGATCACACATCCACGGGTTCAAGAGGCTTGCAAAGTTTCACAGCTGCAATCCATGATTTCCAATCTGCCGCTCCGTCTAGATACCAACATTGGGCACGGCGGCCATGGCCTTAGCGGTGGGCAGCAGCAGCGCCTTTCTATAGCAAGGGCGGTCCTTCGCGATCCCCAGGTCTTGATCTTGGATGAAGCCACAAGTTCGCTTGACCAACCCACTCGAGCAATCCTAATGAACAAAGTCCGAGAATGGAGGGCGAATAAAACAACCATCATCATTACCCATGAGCTGTCACAGATTAGGAACCACGACTTCATCTATGTCATGGACGACGGTTACGTTGTCCAGAAGGGGCTTCGGCACGAACTCGCAAAAGATGGCGACGGTCATTTTGGACAGCTACTATTAAATAGCAGCGAAGTCCACGATGAGACTAGGATCCAAGGAAAGGACGTTGGATGGCAATCTGAAAGTACCAGCCACACAGAAGCCTGTCGCCAAAGCGCATCACCAGCAGCAACTCGGTTACCAACTTCGATCCAAAGCGCCCGTCCTGTAGGCCTCCCCTCAGCCATTTCCAGGCCTGGCATTACACCTGGAACGCCGGGATATCTTGGCTACGGTCCGACACTTTACGTGGGTTCTGCATCAGTGCAGGCGCAGCATAGGGGCGTGCACAGGCTGTGGGAGTCTCCATCATCAGAACCTGCACGATTATGTCCAAAGTCTCAGGAAGATGGCATCACTTTGGTAGAGATCAAAGCCTATGAGAAGAAACCAGAGAGGATGTTGCATGTCGGACTCGGCCAACCTCGCAAGTTGAGCACTGACAATCCAGCGCGTCCAAACGGTACTGTCGATACTTCCTCTAGCAGTCAGAGGGTACTGACCAGCACAATCAGCAGCCTGCGAGAATCGTCGGTCTCTCTCTGGATCATATACAGAACCGTTTGGTCATGTATTAGCGGACGAGAACGCGGCTACCTAATTCTCGGATTGATCTCTTGCCTGGTGGTTGCAGCCTCTGTACCAGCATTTTCGGTGATTTTCGCTAATCTCCTCACTGTGTTGTACATCTCAGGGGGTCTGATCACTAACGGCCATCGGTGGGCACTGTTTCTGCTCCTCGTAGCTGCCGTGGGTTCCACTGCCGCGTTCTTGTCGTCGTACCTCATGGCAAACGTCGGGCAAGCCTGGGTGAACTCGCTTCGTAAGGAAGCCTTCTCGCGTATTTTGCAGCAGAACAAGCTCTTCTTTGGCAAGCCCAAGCACGCGCCCGAAAGAATTATGGAATGCATGGATAAGAATGCGGAGGAGATGCGCACCCTACTGGGACGCTTCGCCGCGGTGCTGCTGATAGTCCTCGCTATGGCCTTAGGCACCTTCATATGGGCCATGATTATCAGCTGGAAGCTTACGCTGGTCACTCTTTCAGGTGCGTCGTTACTAGCTCTTGCCACGAAAGGATACTCTCATGTCACCTGTAAGTGGGAGATGCGGTGCAATCAAGCCTCCAGCGGCGTATCGACTACAGTGAGTGAAGTAGCGAGCAAGATTCAAGCAGTCAAAGCACTGAATCTGGAAATGCACTTCATCCGCAAGCATAACGAGCATATCTCAGGCACTTATACCCTGGGTATCAAGAAAGCTGTCTGGACTGCGGTGCTATTCGCATGTTGGCAAACCATTTTCTGGCTCACTACGGCGCTTGTCTTCTACTACGCAACTGTGCTACTTGCGGTGAACAAAGAGATAACCACTGAGTCCATATTGAAAGTTGTCAACTTGCTTATACTTGGGTTGAGCACCGGGAGTCATATGCTGGAGTCAGTCCCGTCCATCAGCGCCGCGCAGGCAACAGCTGGGCGGCTTTTGTACTATGCCACATTGCCAGCCCCGAATGCAGAACACGAAGCAGGACCACCGAGGAAGCCAGATTCTGCAGAGGGCAGCAGGAGACTGTCAACTGCGCATGGCAAAAAGAAGCTCATATCCCCCTTTCCTATCCGGATGGACGGGCTTTCTTTTGCTTATCCAGTGCCCACCACTCAGACACCTTCTCGCTTCGTCCTGCATAATTTGACTCTTACCTTCAAGCCCGGCACCTCAACTGCCATCATTGGGAGCTCGGGGTCTGGCAAATCGACTATCGCAGCATTGCTCCTAACCCTCCAAACCCCAACTGTCACCCCTCAAGTTCTTAACATCCGACCCTCGTCGCAGCGACACCCCCTTTCTTTTGCCGGTCTCCCCCCTCACCTTCTCGACTTAAAGCACCTCCGCAGCCATTTAGCATATGTACCACAGCAGCCTTTCGCGTTCCCATCATCTATACGCATCAACATAACATATGGCCTGCCAGATTCATCCCCGCTTCTGAGAGAGGCGAACGTCAAGAGAGCGGCGCGTGAGGCCGGAATCATGGACTGGATAGCCAGTCTGCCAGATGGATTCGAGACCTTGATCGGCGAAGGTGGACTAGGCCTCAGTGGAGGCCAAATACAACGGATTTGCATCGCGCGTGCACTGGTGCGAAGGCCGAAGGTATTGGTGCTTGACGAACCCACAAGTGCACTCGATTCGGCCAGTGCTGCGGGCATCAGAAAAATGATCACCACGCTCATTGCGAATAGTAGTGGACAGTGTGGCAGTGAACAACAGAGGACCAGACCTAGTCTTGTGTCAAGTGCAATAAGAGGGCGCTACGGACGCGATCTGGAAGCCTGGGATCGCGTAGGTGATGAATCAGGGATGGATAGAGGTGCTGGCGAGGTTGCAATTGTGTTCATTACACATAGCGTTGAGATGATGCAGTGCGCCGATCAAATTTTGGTGCTGGATCAGGGAAGGATAGTCCAACGTGGCAACTTTGCAGAACTGAAATCGCAAAATGGTCACTTCGTCGAGCTGATTGGAAAAGACACACCGCCGCCTGGTGTAAGTTTACCAGGCACTGAGAAGCAGAAGGACAGAGACCCCAAGTCGCGAGAGAGGCAAAAACACAGACCCAAGTCGAGAGGTCGAGGCACTCAAGCTTCCGCCAAGACAGTAACGAGCCATGAAGGACATACGATTGCACAGACGGCAAAATTTGGCAGCGTCAAGAACAATTCCGAGCAGGTAGAACCAGAGCCAGATGCAAGTGGGGAGATGCAGCGAGAGAACACAGCGTGCGGCCATACCAAACAGGAAGCTGTGAAAGACCAGAATCATGGCCACACAACACAAGATCAGGAGGATGTAGTAGAAGAAAAGGTTCAAAAGGTCAAGCGCATGAAAAATAGAAAGCAGAAGAAGTGGGTTGGGACGGACCTCGTAGATTGGAACGGTTCTAAGAATCACCCTGTGCCAACTCCACCGGTCAGCCCTTTTACTCTTATGCCCGAAAAAGAAATTTGAGAGCGATACACAAGACTAGTAATTCCAACTACACGCATGTATTTTCTCATCATGGCAATACCTCGCGCCTGGATGGTGGGCAGATCAGACTAGATTTTGAGCGGCACGCTTTCAACTTGGTCAGTTCCAAGCTTCAGTGTAAGCCATGCTTGAAGCGGGGGAGAACAATCCAACTTTCCAACAACTGGTCAAGATGTACGGTGCATAAAGTCTTTATAATTGACAGCTAAGCTAGTTTTTCTCCCTTACGTCACGCTGGACTGAGACAAAAGCCACCAATATTCCTAGATGGCTTTCAGAGATCCAAGTGCAACTGCATCCTCGGAATACCGACTTCCCAATATAGAGTGGAAAGACTCAGAAAAGAAGAGATTTCAACATCGTCAAATACCTATGGCATCCACCTGACCCGCATCCAGCCCCTTGTTCTCATGGGGACATCTCCTGAGTCACTGAAAATTCTTCGGTAGGGTGTGCTTAGGTTTAACAGCTCCTGGCATCTCTTAGCGATATGTGGAAACCATTTGAACCAGAACTATGCCAACGTTTGATAACCTCCTGGCTAGAGCCTGTGCAATTTGTGACAGGCAATCTATCACCTTATGGCCTCCTTTGCCGAATCAAAAAGAACTTAGCCACCCGAACTGGTACGACGTCGAAGCCTGACACGTATATGATCCACATAGGTAAACCACCACCATCGTGGAGTCCACTGCTTGACGCCGGGCACCAACTCCATCTAAATCTGATATCAGTCAAGCTACAGCTGCGTTAGATTTCGCTGGTCACTTACATCATACCGATGGAAGAGTGTCGCAACTGTCTTGACCAGCTCCACTTGCGCAAAGTTTTTACCGACGCAAATCCGGCTTCCAGCGCCGAAGGTGAGGTCCGTGTCTTTCATACGTTTCAATCGAATCTCGTAGGCCTCCTGGGTCTCGAACTCATGACGGAGCCATCTCTCCGGTCGGAACGCGCCAACATCCTGACCATAGACGTCCTTGTTATGGTGCAGGAGCCAAGGGTTCATCCCGACAAAGACGCCCGGTGCAATTATACGACCATCGGAGAGTGTTAATCCACCCTCGGGAACTATGCGCTCCAACATATTCCCTAACACAGGATGTATGCGCATCCCTTCCTTCATTACTGCGTCAAGATATTTCAGGCCATGAACTTCTTCATATGTTGCCGGGTACGACAAAGTGGCGGCGTCAAGCTCAGCGCGAAGTCGACCGTAGATGGCAGGGTTCGATAGCACGTTATATACAATGACCTTCGTAACTATGGCGGTAGTATCGGCCCCTGCGAGGACCTGAAGCAGGCAGAGTCAGTTAGCAGCTCGTAATCCAGATCAAATAAAGACTTCTGCCACATACGTTAAGAATCAAATAACCGATCACTTCATGATCCGTAACAACCCCGGGGTTGAGAGTTTTTGCTTGAATATAGTAATCCATGAAGTCCTCCAGGATGTCCTTTGGCCTTTGAGATGATTGACGTTCCAGTAATCGTTGCACACAGTAGCCAGCGGCCTGTGCAAACGTTGGGAACATAATAGAGCATCGTGGGTTTTTGCCTAACCACATATCCAACCATGGCATTTGTCCAACGATTCCAAAGTACCGTTGGCACTGTTCCGAGGTGTGGATCATACCTTTTTCATCTTTTCCCGCCTCCAAGAAGCCCATGTCCTGGCCGAACGTCATCTCTCCGTCAACATCCCAGCAAAAGAACTCTATCCAGTCGGCAATGTCGCACGTCCTGCCGGCATTGTCGCCATCCACGAAACGACTTTCGAGCTGCTGGCAGAGGTTCAGTAGAGTCTTATCGGAGAGATGTTCAAAAGATAAAATGCCCCGAAGCGAGAAAAGATTGTGGATTGGTCGCATATACTTCGCATGAAACTCCTTGTCTCTTGTGCTGAAAACGTTCTGTATCCTACGGCCGTCTTGCATGGCATCGTTGACACTGTAGAAATCAGTCTATGACACGTCAGTCTAGGTAAGTTAGTACCGTAAGGTAAAGCTACCTTCAAATATTCACCCCGGGTTGAGTATATCGTTTTCAACAAAGCAGGGTCGCTAATGCTGACCATATTAGGCCCAATACGGACCGCAGTCCCGAACCTTTCGTGTAGTCTCCGCTGCGTTTCAATCTGGGTACCATTGTAGAAATCAAATAATCGCCAGAGGTCAGTATACTTGGCCGGCAGAGGCCCAGGGATCCCATTGATGGGTGAGACCAGGTTATAGTAAATGGCCCGCAAGACCAAAACCACGACACCGAGGCCGACAGCGGTGACCAGGAAGCTCAACAGGAACATAATGTATCGAAAAGTGTTGCAAAACGGTATATGACCAGATGTGTTTTATTATACGGCTGATTTTGCTTAACTGAGGGTAGAAAAGCAGCACCTGCAAATCGTACACCGCACACGCGACAGTTTAGCGTGGACAGCGTATGATATCAAAGCCTTATATGGTAATTCAGAATTATTCAATACCCGATATACCATAAGATATGGAAGTATCTCTGCTTGCTTGCCGTGCTTCGTCATTAGGAGTGGGGTCAACAGGGCTGCAGGGTCACAGCTGCCCCCCTTTGGCATATGCATCGCAATCCTCCCTGGCCACAGAGCATCTGGTTCCGCTACGCGTCTCCGGTTGATCCTAGCCGACTTGAGCGAGAGACTCACGAATGGTGCCTCACTTTTGGGATGTTATGCAAGGCCATCACCCCGAAGAGGTCCAAGGTGCAGCGCTCTATTCCGATAGAGTCGCATTTCGATAGTGTTCTCCTGCCTTTGCTCGCAAGCGAAATCTTGGCTGTTAGAAATGCCTCTTCCGCTAGATCTTGCTTTTGCTTGAACCAAAAGACCTAATCCCATAAATCAAAACTCTTCTGCCAACTGTCCATCTTCCGACCCCCTCTTCCGAGGTTGGCCGCCAACTCCATTCGGTACCGAAGAACTGGCCCAATCCCAGTCTGAGTGGCATGAGCCAAGAAGCAAATGCATCATGATAATGCGGATGTAGAATGAAGTACGGAATTATGACAAGCGTAACCCAGGAGTTCGCATAGCGTCCCAAAATTGTGGGTCACGCATGTCAAACGGCGCCCTTTGACTAATCTCAACAACATACATACATTCTTATTACCAATGCCCTCGTTGTTCACTCAAACTTGACGTTCACCTTCAACCAACTAAGTAATGGAGTCACCCGTCCAAACAATACCGCTCTCGGCCCGGCAATTCGGTTCCGATGCCACAGCCGGGTGGGGACCGACTCCCGCTACCGACTTGCCCATAGTTTCAAGGAAGAAACAAGCCACAATACTCTTATCCGCATTTGTGACTATAGCCCTCACTATCGGCTACAACCAATGTTTCGGTGTGTTTCAGGAGTACTATCTCTCGTCCAGCCAGAATATGCTAGCGCCATCTCCGGCCTCGCAAACGTCACTACCGACAGCTCTGCTGGCCTTTGTTGGCACGCTGTGCTATGGGCTGACCTGGGCAGGTGGCATCATGGTGAATCCTCTGATATCGCGTATTGAGCATGGGACTTGGGTCTCGAGCACTTCGCCGAATTGGCGGTGGGGACGCAGAATTCTGCGTCAGTTGACTCAGAGGACAATCACCGTCTCAGGGGTGCTCGTGATGTCGGCTGGCTTCACACTGGCGTCCTTCAGCAGTTCGATATGGCAGCTTCTCCTCACGCAGGGCTTTCTGGTCGGAATCGGCATGTCGTTGTTGTACTTTCCCCTCTTAGCTCCCGCACCCGAGTACTTCACCAATCATCGGGCTACAGCAATGGGCTTCGTAAGTGTACAATTTCCACCTGATTTCTGTCCGTTGCAGGTGACCGCCAGAGTCTGTCTCGATTGGTTGCATTATAACGCGTGACATTTATGACAGTCTAATCCCTCCTCGAGGCTCTCTAAAGGTATTATATGCGCTAACGAGCTTGGTGCAACTCCTAGATTCTAGCTGGCGGTGGCGCTGGGGGGCTTATATTCTCACCCGTGATTCGAGCACTCCTTACCTCTGTCGGTGGCCGCTGGACTCTTAGAATCTATGCCGTGTTCAACCTGGTTGCCGGACTGCCGGTCGCCTGGGCAGTGCCACGGAGCCGATTCACAGGCGTCTCAACCATTGAAGGGCCAGGAAGGCGAGATACCCACGTCTCCCGAGCTCTGGCTTCAAGGGCCACATTCCTCTTTTCTGCTGTGGCTGCATTTCTACAGGTGAGCACATGCCAATTTGCTTGCATACCCTATGTCAAGTGTCAGCAGGTGTTGGGTCCTTGGCCGTTCTCTACGACATCTACCACATGAATTTCCACCTGATTGTCTTGCATCCCTCCTCTCATCTTTATAACTGACCGAATCACTCTCTTCAGGCGGCTGGAGCCCAGCTTCCGCTTTCTTTCATCCCATCCTATACTGTAATACTCGGTCTCACTGCGTCCAACGCCGCGAATCTCCTCGCCGCCAGCAACGCCATCAACGCCGTATCGCGCGTCCTGATCGGCTACGCCGGTGACCGACTTGGTCGACAGAACACACTAGTGTTGACACTTCTATTTGCTGCATCGAGCGTCTTCGCGTTCTGGGTCTCTAGTGCCTTGACGGACACTTCTTACTCCCTCCCCCTTTGGTTGGCCTTCATCGTGCTCTACAGTATCTCTGCCGGTGGATACTATGCCCTCTTTCCAGCCCTTATTGCTGAGGTCTTTGGTATTCGCCAATATGCTGCCGTGAATGCTTTTATTCTTTTCGTTAGGGGATTTGGCACCATGTTCGGAAGCCCCGTAGGTGGGCAGCTGCTTGGGAGCTCGGCGATGGGAACAGGAGCTTATATCAATATTGCATATTGGGACGGCGCACTGTTGATGGGCGCCACGGCTGCTTGTATGGGAGTACGATGGGCCGACGGAAAGGGAAGGGGGTGGAGGTGGATTGCTTGAAGTCGGTGTAGCCAAAAGGTGTTGGTAAAAACATCACTGGCGGTCGAGATCTAAGAGTCACCTCAGTCGCCCTCAAGAATGCCTCACAGTCCGCCTTTGAAGTCTGTGTCATACCTACCTTCGAACTTTCGTTCTTGAGAGACTACACAGCTGCTGAAGAATGCCGAGGGTTGAACGTCTCCCCGATATAGGAGGCGGGAGTATGAAAGTAAGTGACAATTTAAAGAGGGGGAAAAAAAGGGGGAAAAAAGGGGAAGAGAAAAAAAGAAAACATTGAATGCACCATAGATAGAACGTTGGCACCGCTGTGTACGATAGGACCACCAATATAATTTGTTACCTACTTGGCCATCCATCAATGATGGTACAGCATGGTAATGCATGTCACATGCCTAGAGTAAGTCATAATAGCGCTGGCTGCCCCTTGTCTACGGGTGAATTTTGTGCTTTTAGTGGGGTTTGTTGGTAGTGCCAAACCGCGCTATTCTCAAGGTTCATGTGCGTGGCAGGCGGGAGGCAAAGGCATGGCATGTCTGCTCACAGTTAATTCGCTCACCATGATCATCGTCATGAAGGATCTGCAAACCTCCGTAAGGAAAAATTGGGCTTCGAGTGCGGATGGTGTTTCATGATGTCAGGGGTTTGTATCTGCCCACTGCCTTTCGACTCCCGTATTGCCGTATGCTCGCCGGCCCAACGACCTGGCGACCTGGCGACCTGGCAACCTGGCACGAGATTTTGGCTGGGTAGCTTGTGTAGGTAGCCTTTTCTCCCGATGGCCATCTCTTCCAGGCAGTGTCATAGTCATTAAAAGAGCAATGGGGCAGACTGCCCTCCTTGAAGTGCTGTTGACCTGCCGTGATGCCATCAGCCAGAAAGCTAAATGCTGATTAAGCTTAAAAGCAGTTCGAACCTGTCCTGGGCTGGCTGCATGGGGGGTAGTGGGCCAGCATGGAAAAGACAGACGAGACAGCCCTGGAGGCTTGAGAGGCTGGACCGTACTGTACTAAATGTACAGACGTAACTTATCTCGCCAGAAAAATGGAAATGAATGAGTTACTGGGGTCCTGGTAAACATGGCCGGCTAGGGTGTGTTTGCGCTAGTAGGGGCTTAAGAACGACATGGCTCGCTTGGCACTTAACCGTCAACAAGCTTATTGGGTCTGGCTGTGGCGATGAGTGGATAGCGCCGGGGGATTTCCTGGCGATTCGGTGCTACCGTTCCCGGGGCCATCCCATCCTCCAGCCGTCAGTGTTACCCCCCGTGCATCCATCGAACCGGACAATCCTCCTGTCCTGTCACCTTGTCACCCATCCAGACCATCCAATCCAGGAGGCTAGCCTAGATCACCGCCTACTTACCTAGGTACCAACTGACAAGGCAAACAGGCGCTGCAAAGCAGAACGAAGCAGGGGCAAGGGGGCTCAAGAACAATCGAAGTTGCAATCCGACCCCACCTCGTCGTGACCTATTCCTGGAGCCTCCCACCACCCTTTTGTCCCGCTTGTACACAGTAAACGCGCGGGATGTACATGATTCGAATCATATGGTGGCTCTGCAAGGTACCGCCTGGTGGGATTCCGTGACTGAGAGGCGCGATGAACCCGCTCGTTGCACATCGCTGGCACATCCTTATGAAATGTTGGCGGGGCGTCTGGTCTCTAGTTGGCCTAGTGAAATGAACCGTCCCATATGTGGGGCGCCGATGATGTCGATGTCGGATTTTGACACTGGACGAGGGGCGATGAAAATGTGGGATAGTCAAATCTGGCCGACTGGGGCGCTAATAACCTTGACGAGAACTGGCGGAGGCGCCAGAAAAGCGCAACCTGGCGGACTGATACACGGATTACAGAGAGCCACAGGCTTACAGTAGTCGCCCAGTGTCCAACGTTAGGTAGTTTGACGATGCTACCGTACGGAAAGGTCACAATTGGCGGGCTGGCCGGAACCTGTCACATCGCATCGTTTATCACCTCAGCTCTGACTATAGTAGATAGGATGCGCCTGCAATAGAGAAGCACAGCAGTAGCCCGGTTTCTTGCCCTGTCGGGTTGTTGTCACCATGCTCTATGGTGCTGCGCGCCGTGCGACTGACCCGCATGGAAGTTGGGTAACTTGCCGTGGCAATTGTACCATAGTAGTATGTCAGCCCTCTCCAACTCCCTGTTTAACCTGCGGTCTGGACTGCAACCAGCATTCCTTCCTGCAATGGTACTGGAGGAAATCGAGTGGGTTGGGCTGACTAGGGTGCAAGGCAAAGTACCTTGGCTTCTCCAGTATTCTATCTGGTGTATTTTTCCCCTTTGGGTCACCCCGGTTGGCCCCCCCCCCCCTCCACTCGGTATGTCGTTCGAATCCATCTTAGTTCTCCGTCCTTGCAGTTCAAGGGCTAAGTGGGTAGTTGGTCCATCGTCTTATGATGGCAGCTGCTGCTTCTCATGGACGTACCTAGGTCTTGATCTAGTCTTTCTTTCCGTCGTCACCTTTGTCGCTCGTTTTACTCAGCGGTGTTTTCGCCATGGCAGTTTGCTACGCCTGAAGGATACCCGACTACTCGTTTCCGCAGCACATCCTGCAGCATACAAACTCTGCAACATTGTACACAATCCAACGCGCCGCCTGCCCTCCAACTTGTGATGCAGGAGCCTAGGACGCCGAAGCTCCAGTAACACCACTGCGGCCATGGACAAGAGTCGATTCCTACGCTTCTCCTCGGTACTGCCGTTGCGCACGAAAGGCCTCTATCACCAGGTCCCCTCGCACGATTTGAGCGCCCAGGCGACCCCATACTCTGATGCAACGCCCTTTGGCTCGCCCATATTGACGCCGGTCACCCGCCGCACCCCCAAGCCGCGATGGAGCAAGAACTTCCGCCGCTTCTCTGTGAGAAGGATAGTAACCGTTTGCGTGGCCATCGCTCTGCTGGCCACGCTGGTCCTGGGTGGTTACCGGAGGCGCCAGCGTCGTTTGGAGGAAGAGGCTGCGAGAGACAGGGAGAGGCCCAAACACCATTGGGAATTCTATGAAACGTAAGTTGGTGGTGGTGCTGCAGGAATGAATCAACTACGTACGGCCCGGCTTACACGCGTCAGACTCGATGGCTTCTACAACGGCGTGCGCTCACTGGTCAAGCTCTCTGATTGGACGCCAGAGCAGAGCCAGCAGAGATCAGAACTAAACACCACAGTCCACCATGATGTACCAATGGAGCCGGTGCTTGTCGACCCGTATCATTTCGGCTCAGAAAAGTTTCTGGAGGACAACTACCCCGTCAGCCCCTGCTTCATTGACGAGGATGAGAAGATCCCGGCACCCGACGTCTTTGCGTATCCAGGCATCCCCGCCAACATGCCGGCGCCTCACTTTGGATCATACAACAATCTCGGCATAACGCCAGACATGTGCTGGGAGCGGTTCGGGCGATTGGGCCCCTATGGCTACAGTTACCCCAAGGAGGAGGGAGGCCTAGGGTTCTCCGTCAATTCAGAACGCGCGGGTGCGGACAAGATCCTTGCGAAATTCGACAAGATTGACTGGCGCAACATGAACTGGGACAGGGCGCAGAAGAGATGCTTCGAGAAAAACAAACATCGCTTTGGCGGCGGCGGCGGCGGCGCCAGCCCCTCATCGGATGAGCCCCCGAAGAAGAAGGTCCCGCGGACGGCATTCGTGCTTCGGACCTGGACGGGATACGAATATGACGATATCCACCTACTGAGCTTGCGGGCTATGATCAACGAACTGGCACTCAAGTCCGGTGGCGAATACGATATCCACCTACTTGTCCACGTCAAGGATGAAAGCATTCCGATCTGGGCTTCGGAAGAGGTCTACCAGGACACGCTCCGGAAGAACGTGCCGGCGGAATTCTGGGGGATGGCGACGTTGTGGTCGGTCCCGCTCATGAGGCTCTACTACCCAGGGCCCTTCCTCAAGGAGGACAACTATCAAAACATGGCGGGCAGCGACATTTATGGAGTCTATCGATCAGCCCACTTTGCGCTGCAGTGGTTCTCTCAGCAACATCCCGAGTACGACTTCTTCTGGAATTGGGAGATGGACGTGAGGTTCACCGGGCATCACTACGAGTTCCACAATCAAGTTGCCCAATGGGCTGACATGCAGCCACGCAAGCTGCTGTGGGAGAGGAGCCAGCGGGTTTGGATCCCGGACCTTCACGGCTCGTGGGAGAACTTCTCGCAGTTGGTGGAAAAGGAGACCCTCGCCGGCAAGGAGGCGCCAATATGGGGCCCTGTCGACTTCCCCACTGCCAGCCACGGGATGTTGCCGCATCCCAATGGCACGAAGCCGCCAAGGTCCTTTGAGGACGACAACTATGAATGGGGCGTGGGCGAGCCTGCTGACCTTATCGTCTTTGATCCTTTCGTCGACCCTGACAAATCGGCATGGGTTTTCCGTCTGGATGTTACAGGATACAACACGACACTGGCGCCCCCTCCGCGCCGGTATGCCATCATCACGATTGGCAGGCTATCGAAACGCCTGCTCAATGTGATGCACGACGAGACCTACAAGATGCGCCACACCATGTTCCCAGAGATGTTTCCCGCTTCCGTCGCGTTACACCACGGCCTGAAGGCTGTGTATGCGCCGCATCCGGTGCACTTCGATCGGAGATGGCCGCTCGATGTCTTGGACCGTACCTACAACCACGTAGAGACCCCCAACGACAGCCCATTCGGGGGACAAGAGCATAACAACCAGGGTGGTAGTTTCTACTACAACTCGGGCTTCAGTGGCGCCATGTGGAGGCGATGGTTAGGGGCAGTGGACAACAACGAGGGTGGCCGCCAGTTCGAGGAGAAGAACTCGGGTCGCATGTGCTTACGAGGCTTGTTGTACCACCCCATCAAGTTCGAGAGGGTGGATTAAGCGTTTCATTATACAGCATGTGGGTGTTTGGCGTTGGGTTATACCGCATTTAGCTTGCCAAAGTTCAAGGCTCGCAAGGTCACTCCATTTTCGGCGATGCATTGCAGAGAAGTCAATGCACATGCATATTGACTGCGTACGGGGCGGTTGATGATATAACGAGAAAGATGTACAGTACGTTCTGGTGGGTTCGGGGAGCGCTGTTGACGGTCGAGTAATTTAGATGTCAGGACATCGGTCGATCAGTGTTGAACCCTGTTGGTAATGAGGGGTGGTGGCTTCCATTTCGCCATTGCATAGACTCGGCGTTTTGAATACCTTTTAATGTTTACTCGATACCTGATACTGCTTAGTTGCCATGCCGTTAGGTCTTGCTTCACCCCGCCACTTTCCGCAAGAGGGCTACCTGTCTTAAACCAACGGCCGTCAGGATCACTAGTTTCCGGAAGCAGTGCTTTCAGAGCATCTCCATGGCCTTCAACGGCCTTTTCCTACGGCTTGGGAAGAACCAGTCAACATTGAGCAAGTCCAGCGGTCAAAGAATATCTAGCAGTCAGCACAGTACTTATTCATGAGACTAGCACGTAGTCAGCGCCTCCGAAACCATGTTGATAAATTTACGGGCAAATTTAAACTCACCCATCCCAAACCGGCGGCCCAGGTATTGTATAGTTCTGCGATAAATCAGTAACAGAAAGACTCGGAGTAGAACTATGACGTTACGCACTGTTGTCTCTCTCATCTCATCCGTGTAGATGTCAATATTGATGCTCGGATCTGGCTGCGTTTCAGCGTCCCTCTCCCACCCCTGGGCGGACGGCTGGGAAACTCACCGTCGTCCCGGTATGCACCCGGGAACTTTACACGGTAATCTTTCGGGGGAACTGCCGAGCCTGTCCCGCTGATGTTCAGGTGCGCACATTCCGGATAGAACTGCGGTTTATTTTCAATATGCAGGCTTAGGATCTCATGCCGTACAACGTAAAGCCCCGGCTTAATCGTTTCCGGGATCCGCACAGGCCAGAGATCCGGAGTTCCGTCCCAGTGCTGGAATGCCTTTTGGAACCACATGCCCTCTGTCACTGTGCCATTCAACAGGCCCTCCTCGGCGATCTTGAAGAACTCGAGCTTGTTCGGGTCTGCATGCTCGCACTTGCCGAACGGGCTACAGTCAGCCAGCCAGATCGACATGGGGCCGACCGGGTGCAACCAGTACCAGTATACTGCCGTCAGGTTGTCGCCTGCCGCGATCGGAATGTACGAGTTGGCTGTAGTGCCAGGCGTGTTACAAGCCAACCCCGTGTCATTCACGTGGAAGATGGGATCGATGCTAGCCCAGATCCGTTGGACCATCCATGACTGGCCCTGCTGCTCGGCCGCCGGCTCGTTGGGATCATACCTGAAGATGGCGGAATCAGTACTCTTGAGAGCCATTAGGGTGAGGCTGGGAGAGCTCATGGTTATGACTGAATGCTTACCCTCTGTACCATACGTCTCCGACTGTGTAGTTTGCCAATCCTCCATGCGCGCCAACGAGTGGTTGAACAAGCACCAGAAACGCGGCCAACACTAGATTAATGATCATTGTGACGGCATTCGTACTCTGTGAGGTCGATACATCAACCGCAACCCAGCCTCGTCTGAAGATGTTCAGACAGGCACCCGGCTGAACGGACCAGATGCCAAGAAATCATGGGATTTCCGGAGAATCACATGATGCGCTCGAGTTCTACAGCAGGCACCGCACTCATCGAGTTGGCGACAGGGAGTCATGGCCCGCTCCGCAATAGGCATTTCGGAGAACGCATCTGCGGGTCGATGCGACGTGTGCCGCCGGCTATTTCCCCACGCTTCAATCGTTCGGCAGTCAGGATGCGCTCCTCGAGGTCATTCACGAAACTCATTGACAAGTCAAAAGTTGTTGAATTATTTAGAATGAGCATTGGCTGACTGCATGCGAAATTGTGGCAAGAACCATGTTCGGCCTGCATTGGACTGCACTGAATACAGGTCAAAGGCCAGCTTGGGGTCTCTATGGAACTTGTGCGATAGTGTGCGCTTTCACCAACTCGTGGAGTCTCTCTTTTTTTATTTTATTTTTTTTTTCTTCTTCTTCCCAGGATGGATCGACGTTGATGCTTGATTCCCAGGGCCCTTTATGGAAAATTCGCATTTCACCACGCGCTATCCAGTCTACCTCGTTATATTTCATATCACGCCGCACTGTCCTCTGATCACCCATTTGTTTTCAGCTTGACCGAGCCAGTCTTTATACGGGTTGTCCCGCAGACTTGAACCCATTAATAGCAGAGTCTGATTGTGGCTTGTACTGAGACTAGCTACCTATGTATGTATGTACCTTTATGCATTCCGTGTCGGTAGCCCTATGCACTCCTCATCTCACGTTGGAAACGTGGATTCGCACCCCACTCATGGTCGGGGAAGTTAGGACCGTGCCTGCATTTGGCTGGGGGCCCTTAACGTCGATCGTATAAGTAAGTCCGAGCCTATAGGGCGCGTCATGGTGGTCTAGTGTGCCACTTTAACCATATTGCCCAGATTGCACGCACATCTGGAGTAGCGGCGGCTCTGGCTGCAGATTACCTAGTGAAGTCCCGTCATGCGATTGCAGAGGGGGCCAAGCCGACACCCGACCAAATGGAGAACAATGGGTTTCCAAGACCCTGTACATCTCGTGCGATACCAAGGAGGGTATGAATATGTAACAGTATTGAGGCATCGATGAGGGGAAGGCTGCCAAGAAGGACTACTGCCTTCTTCCGCGCAGCCACTTGGGAGGTAATTTCCGTATCCAGCTGGAGGGCGAGAGTTCAGTGGCAAAGTCAACATACCAAGAAAGCCCATGGGACATCACCCGGATATAGCAAGCATATTTTGGTTCAGATCAATGTTCGCAAACCTGCGTTTTATAAATATATAACCGCCCTCATCCGGACGCCCAGTTCAGGGGTTGTCAGTAATGCCCATTCCTTGAAGAAGCACTCCCCACGAGAACGATACCGTCTGCGATTACCATGGTGCGCCGCTTCGCCGCCGCCCTTCTTCTGGGCTCTACTGCCCTGGCTCTTCCCGCTGAGCTCGTCGAGCGCCAGAATACCACCTGCTCAGTTGCCACCAGCTACCCTGCTGTCAGCGTCGCCAAGCTCCCCGACCCTTTCACCTTTGCCGATGGAAAGAAGGTTGCCTCTAAGGCGGACTGGTCATGCCGTCGACAGGAGATTAGCAAGATGATGCAGCAGTACGAACTTGGAGATTTCCCCCCGCCGCCTGACAAGGTGGAGGCCTCGCTGTCTGGTAGCACCATGAGCGTCAAGATCACGGTGGGCTCCAACACCGTCACCATCAGCGCCTCGATCAAGGCCCCCAGCTCCAAGCCGGGCCCGGCCATCATCACGATCGGAGGCTCCTCCCTCCCGATTCCAGGGACCGTCGGCACTGTCGGCTTCAACAACGACAATTTTGCGTCGCAGGCAAGCAGTGGCTCGCGCGGGTCCGGCGCGTTCTACACCCTTTTCGGCAAGTCGCACTCGGCAGGTGCGCTGACAGCCTGGGCGTGGGGAGTCGGTCGTATCATCGACGGTCTCGAGCAGCTCGGGGCTGACAAGACTGGCATCGACCCTAAGCGCCTGGGGACGACGGGGTGCTCCCGCAATGGCAAAGGCGCCTTTGTCGTGGGCGCTCTGAACGACCGCATCGCCCTGACCCTGCCACAAGAGTCCGGATCCGGTGGCGCCGCCTGCTGGCGTGTCTCGGATAGCGAGAAGAGCAAGGGCAAGAACATCCAAACCGCCGGCGAGATCGTGGGCGAGAACGTGTGGTTCAGCAGCCGCTTCAACAGCTACACCAGCAAGACCAACACCATGCCCGAGGACCACCACATGCTGGCCGGCCTCGTCGCCCCGCGCGGATTGTTCGTGATGGAGAACGACATTGACTGGCTCGGCCCGGTCTCTACTACTGCCTGCATGAAGGCCGGACGTCTGATCTACAAGGGCCTGGGCGAGCCTGATGCCATGGGATTCGATCTGACCGGCGGACACTCTCACTGCCAGTTCCCGTCGGCCTCGCAAGCCAGTCTCACTGGTTACATCAACAAGTTCCTCTTGAACACGGGCTCGGCACCTTCGAACATCGAGAAGAGTCCGGCCAGCGTTTCCATGACGGACTGGGTTGACTGGACACCTCCGACTCTCTCTTAAAATACCAAGCCAAGCATTTCCAAGTATATCATTACGATGTATATAGAATCTTGACTGTAGCCTGGATGCGGGGAAAACATGGACGACGTGGTTGAAATGGAGCGCTGGGAGACAGTTTGGCGAGCTGTACATACGTAAATATTCAATCGAGTCTTTGTTTGAATACGACTGAGGCTTTGATCATGTGATAGACTGTCAATATTATGGCCGAGTTGTTTTTTCTGATCTGTGCAGCCTCGCTTTGGACAATACTGGACCGCGCGGAAAACCTGCCAGTGAGAACGAGACGTTCGCCTCTTAACGTACTTCTCGTATCAAGCCTGGAGCAGGCACCGCGAATGCATGGGATGTCAGGTGTATTGACGGCACGGGGGGTTTCAACACATGGCCAAGTGCTCCATGGAACAAGTAAACCCCCCCCGGCGGGTTGCTTGTCAGGTGTGAACAATCGCTTCGACTACAAGGCATTCGCCAAAATCTCAGCAAAGGCAGCAAATGCCTCAATTTCCTCTATTCAGAGCGTCTGCCGTGGAAGAGCGTATCTTGAAAACTCATTTGCATCACTGTGTATACACAGCAAGGCAGTCGCGCTTCCCAATCGTCGCCAGGACGATTGGTCTGCTGGTCTGTCGAGCCGCAATCGTCGCCAACCTTGGGACGCGGCCTGTCTCCATCAATTGTCGTTTGATATTTAAACCCAATCGACACCGGCTCCATGATGGCTCAGAGCGAGAATGCGCCCCCGCGAACACAGCGGCGCTATTTTCGGTTCAACTATGGTGAGTGACCCTGTCGACTGTGGATTTGGGCATTGCCGCCTGACGCTGGCTGACTTGAGAAGATGAAATCGCAGCTTGCAGCGGGAACAATTTTCACCAGAAGCTCCGGAGGCATGCCGAGAGAGTCGTCAAAGATTGCATCGCAGGCGGTGTCCCGGCATCGCACCTCTGGCTCGATGCCCAAACGTCGGGAGGTACCAATGACCCTGCCGACCCGCAAGTCATGTACCTGCGCGCAGTCAAGGAGGCGCTTCTTCGTAAGCTGATGCCCATCCGTTTGATCTGTGTAACAAGGCAAACCCAGCTGACTTGTCCTCTGCCTTAGCGATTTGGTCGCCCAGAATCCTGAGCGGCATTGTGAGCCCCAAGTCGCCCTCAAAGTCCACGATGACAGCTGAGGATATCATGTCGTCTCCGGCGATGGCCCGGGCGATAATGCGCCGCCAGCCTGCGGCGGCGGGTATGAGAACGAGCGACCTTAGAGGCAGGCCGCCATCGTCGCCGACGCTGCCCGCTACCCCGCCAGCTACGGGCAGGATGGTGTCCAAGCCGGCAGCTGATCTACCGAGCCCCTCCAAACTCCGTGCCGCCGCCGACCCCTTTCGGCCGGCCGTTCCCAAGCCGCTGACATCCGCCGCGGTCGGAGGAGCCAAGTCATCAGAGGTTGTCCCGGAGCTGATCGACCCCCGCGTCGCAGAGTTCCGCCGTCGCCTGGCAAGACGATATGTTACGGCCCAGAAAGAACAGGATTAAGTGAGCTCGAAGGATGATACGAGGCAAGCATGTGCCACAAGGTGGTGCAGGGGGTCAGAAATGTGACGAGCCTCACGAGACATTCCCAGCAAATGGAAATGGTGCTACGCACCGGTAGACTACTGTAGCTGGGAGCATGCTAATGCAATCTTCGTCTATTTCTTCTTGCGCAGATCCCATGCTTTGCTGGGTTCTTTCGCGCCCTGTCCTGCAGACTGGTGCATGAAGCCCGCTTTGTCGCTATGCCCAAATCGCCAAAGGCCAAGGCTATGGTGCAAGATATGATTGGTTCACTCGGACTCTCTCCGCCAGCTGACACCTCAGTAACCACTTAGCCCCCAACATTCCCAACTCCCGGTTCTCTGTTGCCTTACGAATGGATCCCGCCCTTGCTATCAAAGCCTTGACCTGTTGCCGCTATCAACATGTATTGCGATTCAGCTGGTGCTACTTGCAGACTATTATACCAGTATGCCGCACGTCTCCATTATGTGGTGGGATCATGCTACTTAGCTTGACTTAACTGAGAGACCGCCTTGTCTGCGCTCCCGCCGGATTCCGCATGTTGAATTAAGACCCGTTTCATTTCTTGTTGTATTCAACTGTGTCGGGAGCTCGACTATCTTCATAATGGCCAGAAAGGGCAGCCCAAAGGTTAGGACTGGTTGCCACACCTGCAAGTACGTTCTCTCGCGATCCGGCCACCCCGTGTTGTAACATCACCAGATGCGGGCCCGGTGCCGCGACGTCGAGTCCGAGCTGACCAATCCTAGGATCCGCAAGGTCAAGTGCGACGAAAGCAAGCCGGCCTGCCTGAGATGCACCAGTACTGGCCGCAAGTGTGACGGCTACCCAGCCAGCCCCGAGCAGGGTTTGACATGGTATCGGCCCAGTCATCTGTTCCAGTCCATCGACCAGCCTGTTGAGGGCAGAGCCTTGCAATTCTTCTGCGAGAACGCCGGGCCGCTCCTTTCAGGGCCGTTGGACCCTTACTTCTGGACGCACCTGGTCCTCCAGTTCAGCAACTTTGAGCCATCGGTACGCCACTCAGTGGTTGCCATCAGCTCGCTGTATGAAGACTACCACTGCCGAGCCAGGACCGTTGCCCAGCTGCGAAACAACGACTTTGCCCTCCGCCACTATAATGCGGCCATTGAGAATCTGAGGAAATTGAACAATGAGCCATTGATCCTGCTTGTCTGTGTCCTATTCGTCTGCATTGAGCTGCTGCAGGGCAACCGAGATGCAGCGATGCAACACATTCGGCATGGCATCATTATACTCGAGCGGATAGGAGCTTCTTACCCCTGGACCGTGGAGCATCTGGCACCGGTCTTCCGCCGCCTAAGCGTGTTTCCGCTGTTCTTTGGAAGCTCCGTCGATACGTTTCCACGACCTGCAGGCCTGGATGCACCTATACCGGCACGTTTCACCACCTTTTCCGAGGCACAGTACTACATGGATGCCATCATATGCCAGGCATCTCGGCTGATACGCCACGGGGACCCATACCGCTACGGAAAACTTCTGAACCAACCCGTCGACCCACGCTTGCTTGCCTGGCAGTTGAACTTGGAATTGTCGGTCAATGACTGGTACGATAGCATGGCCGACCTCAACGAGAGGTTGGGTCTGAAAGAAGAACAAGATACCGCATACTGTAATGCTATGCTTCGCTACAGATTAGCCCGTTCATGGGCCAGAAGCGCCTTCGAACCGAACGAGACGGCCTACGATGAGCGGCTCGACGATCTGAAAGCTATCATTGATAGAGCTGTCCAACACAGCCATCGTGTTCCGCGAATCGGATCCAATGGGCCCAGGTTCACGTTTGAAGTCGGCTTTGTACCGTTTGTCATATATGCGACGATGCACTGCCGTGACTTGCGAACGCGATTGCGCGGACTAATTTGGCTGAGAGAGTGCGGAACCACAAGGGAGAACTTATGGGAACCCGAACGGATGTATCCCATCTGCAAGCGACTAGTTGAGATAGAGCACAATATCGTTCTCGACAAGCTGGACCAGCCGGTGGGTCCTGTGGCGTGGGAACAACTGCCAATAGAGGAGATGAGGTCCAAGGACTTCTCATCAAGTCCCGACCGCGTGCTCCATGTAGATGCTGATGGTCGCAAGGTCTGGGGCAGCTGGGCAAACTTTGTCATGCGGACTCGTGAGGGTAAGGTATGGATGTTGAAAGAATTCCTGCCTCGCCCAGCGTCTGTTGGTGACGTGCTCGAGGAATAGCGCAAGGCCGTCTTGGAGAGACCAGGACAGTCATACCGTTGAACGTACATAGGTACGCACGAGGGCGCCAAAACCCGACGTCCCAACCCGAGGCTATCTCACTGAACCGCCTCTAGGGAACGAAAAGTCTAGCTTTGCCACCTTAAGTTGCACGTACGCCCACAGAATAAGAACTTCATCCCTGCCGCCACCGTCGATTGCACGTGGCTGAGGCAGACTGCTAAAAGAAGCCACATGTTTGACATGTCAGCTAATGCCCACATGGCCGTGTGGAGTTGAGGTGCCCCCAGGATTTACCTGCGAGCCCTCGGAGTCAAAGTCTTGAGTCTGGTCTCCCCGAGTAAGTGAAGCGTTCGGGAGGCGTTGGCCAAGCGCCCATGCGCTGCACCTTCACTCCATCCGTACCTGGCGCGACAGGGGTAACAGGCCTTGTCCGGATATAAGCTTTCGACCCGTTTGAACTCTCGAGCTGGACACAGCCTCCCGCACACTCCGAGTCAAGGACTGGAATGGTTCCGCAACCATTTCGGCCAGTCACGTAGAACACTCTTGGTGGCATTGTCCCAATCGGCGGACTTTCACCGAGACGACTTCGTAGGCTACTTCCCTATGCGCGTAGATATGGGGTCACACCATTTCATTGCGCGTACCTGTTGAACGAAAGGGCACCGCAGGCCTCAGCAGCCGCATTGCAGTCAAAACATTGGTGACAAATCTTCATCACTTCCCACATGTGACGATGTTCATGATCAACGTAGCCAAGTCTCTCGACAAAGCGTCCGGCAATTCTGCGACCAATGGGAGCGCCGGGGAGCGTTCGATTGATCGACAGCTAGTGGACATGGAGCGGTATCCTCTCATCCGGACTCTAGTCCGCACAATGGCGGCTTTGAAATAGACTTCGCCGGCTCGAACGCCATGCTGTGGCGGCTCGCTTGGTATGGCGGGCTTGTTCTGTTTCAACGTTCCTTCAAATGCGGTGCATTTCCACACGTTCGAGCGGCATTCCCATCCCATTGACCAACCATCTTCCCAAACTCTTGCGACTGACTGCAACGTTCGGTTCTTCATTACTGGTCATGTCTTGAGAGACCAGCGAACTTGCGCTGCCGTTATGCTGCACGCAGCACGACTGCAAGCCGACCCCGTCCTCTCACGACAACGATAAATCCTCGGCGGAAGGCCTCAATATGGTGGTGGCGGTCGGCAAAGAACTACCCAATGGCGATGATCCCAACAACCTCTCCATCGCGATCATCGTCTTCGGTGCCATTGCGCTATACAATGTTCTCGAGCTCAACTACATGGTCCTATGGACCTTTCGGAAGAGGAGGGGCCTTTACTTTTGGAGTCTTGTCGTCGCAACATGGGGGATCGCTGTGAATTCGATTGGCTATCTGCTGGAGCACCTGCAGCTGATCAACCAGACCCAAATATATTCGACCTTGATCGTCATTGGATGGATCTGCATGGTCACCGGGCAGTCAGTGGTACTGTACTCGCGACTTCATCTCGTCATGCCCGATGAGAAGAGGCTGCGTGCAGTCCTGTGGATGATCATCATCAACGCCGTCGTCCTACACATTCCGGTCACGGTCTTGGTGTACGGCTCCAACTCCAGCAATCCCGCCCCGTTCTTCAAGACGTATTCGATTTACGAGAAGATCCAGTTGACCATCTTCTTCCTGCAGGAGACCATCATTTCGGGTCTCTATGTGTGGGAGACGGTGAACCTCCTACGCTTCACGAAGGACATTCGCGGCAAAAGAGGAGCGCGCCGGGTGCTCAACCACCTTATTTTCGTCAACATCGTCGTCATCATGCTTGACATCAGCATCCTAGGCCTCGAGTTTTCCGATTACTACAACCTACAGACCGGCTATAAACCGCTTGTCTACAGCATCAAACTCAAGATGGAGCTGAGCATCCTCAACCAGCTGGTCGAGCTAACACGCGCCTCGTCTCAAGCCAGCTTCTCCATGTCCAACAGTAATGGCGACCCGGCGACACCTGCCATAACCCTAGATACCCTACAGAGCACACAACAGCGTCGGGCGAGGAGAGACAGAGATATGTGGGATGTCGAGATGGGCAGTAAGGTGAATATTGTGGGTCATAATGATCCGAATTCCAGATCGAGCAACGCGGGCGTACTCCGATCGACGGAATTTTCAGTGCAGCACCAACGCTCCAATTCTGCGAGGGACACACATGGTTTTCTTGCTAGCGCACCAGGCAGTGCCGTGACGAGTGAGAATGATCCGGCTGATGATGCTTCAGCGTCATCTTACGCACATTTAACCCGTCTCGGTCGTTAGGCTTCCAATTCAACAATAATGCCTCCCCACCCTCGGCTCCTCTTCCTCGCTCTTGATGAAGCTCATCTCCCTAGCCGCAGAGCAGAGAAGTAGTTGCTAGTGCTCTCATGTTCGTGATGTTGCCACCTTTTTGCCTACCTCAGAGGCTCATATGATCGACTCGCCATTGCATCTTGCGGGAATCCTCACTGGTTCTGGTAGATTCAGAAACAATCCTTCGCACCTGTAGACACCTTCCACAACAACCAATCCGGCGATATACCCGCTAGGGCGAACCTGTGATCATTGGTCCGCATTCACGCTGGTAGTTGAACCTTTTCCCGCTCAGTGTCCACCTGGCTTAATCAGTAATCATGGGACCCGTCGGTTGTATACGCAACATTTCATTGAAATATCGTGCTGGGCCGGTGGCACTCGGCAGCAACGATGGCTTCCACGGATTTAACACCCTGCAACTTGTTGGTCGAATAGTATCATTAACTTACAATAACTTTAGTTGGAATCGTGATGCCGGTATTTGTTATGCGAGAGTTGGAGCAAGTACCCGCATACCAGAATCATTCAGTTCAGGAGTTCAGCAACACGGGGCAGCACATTGTGATAGTGAAAGGATGGGTTGCACGTCTTGTCGAATTATGCTTGCTAGCGTTTCACACTGCTTGGTCTGAACTCCTCGACGGAGACCCCAGCGTCTATAACACACATTCCCAGTCATCTGGGCTTTTGTAGTTCCCGCCGGGTTTCAGGCTATTCCTTAGCGGGTACTTGCAGTGCGATCTGGTGTATTCCACCCCGAGGGCTTGGCTGCCGTTTAAGAACCTGCTGCCGATAACTGCATCCGGCGCAATGCCCTCCTCTACCCACTGTACCACGGCAGTCAATACGTTTTGGCTAGGATCATTGCTTGCACTACCAGCTCCCCTGTTTCCGATGGCACTGGCACCATCGCCACCAGCGCAGTGGGCCATGCCACTGATGCGGAAGTAGCGGTAGAAGTTATCGATATCGCTCGTTGACAGACTCATCGTTCGAGAGAGTAGGTTGTAATAAGTGTTTGAGCTAGCTGACGAGATCAGACTATCCTGCAGGCCATGGTAATGGATCAGCTTCGCGCCGCGCGCAGCCATCTGGCTCAGATCTCCCGACCAGGTTCTGACGCCGGTCGGATCGTTCTCAATAGAGTATTCCCAGTTCTCTGGGCCGAGGTAAGTCGTGTTGAAATCCGGATCACTATACAGGGCGTACTTGTACCAGTGGTCCGTGTACAAGAACTGGGTTGCGGTGTAGCTAGCATTTATGAACGAGACAAATCCTGGTGCTGGCTCCATGCGCGGGTAGACGAAGCTACCGTTGACGCCATAAACGGGCGACAAAAACTGGCGGATCGTGTCTGCCTGCTTGCCTGTAATACAAGTCGCATCGGTCTGGCCAGCCTGACAGATCAGCGCCTCAGGTCGAAAGTTGCACAGAGACGGATCTTCAAGAATCCCGTCAATGGCACCATCTAAGTGATCGCATTGGGCCATGAGCTCTGCATCGATGGCCGCCCAAGAAGACGCTGGCGGGAACCCATCGGGCCCTGCTCTCTTGATGATTGAGTGGAAAAGACCTGACCATGCCATCAAACCCTGGAAGTTGAACGCAGGAGCGCCAGCCACGATGCCATCAAATATGTCCGGGAAATCTTGCGCCATCTTGAATCCTTGTCGACCGCCCGTGCTGCAGCCTAGATAATAGGACTTTGTGTGCGGTTTCTGATAGAAGCTGGAGGTGACCTGCTTTCCCACAGCTGCAGACGTCGTGAGAGCACGATACGAATAGTCCTTGATGACCTCAAGGTTATGCAAAAATCGTGTACCATTCTGGCCACTGTGCCCGTTGTTAGAGCCAGTGGAAGAGAAGCCCAAGGAAGCGGCATAGGCCATATCACTGTAGCTCAGACATCCGTTGATGCCACCATTTCCGGTGGAGAGGAAGCGCCCGGTCCAGTTCCTCGGCAGCCACACTTCCATCAACACATCCGAGGTTGCTGAGGTCGTCACATTCAGACTCAAGCGACAGAGATCAACCGTGACGGTGGTTGAATTCTGGCATGATGGGTCCAGGCCAGGAACTAGCAGCTTGGTGCCGGCAGGCACAAAATTCGCGAAGAGTGTCTTGATCTCGGAAGAAAAGGATGCAGTGCTAAGGTCGGAGCAAGACGACTCAAAGCCCGAGTCCTCCCTAGCGCTCCTAGCAGCACCGACGCGCAGAGAGAGTATGCTGGCGACAGCACTGGCAACGATGGTTAACTTCATCTTATTCGATGGCCGTGGCCGATTCAACTGCTGACCCGGGGCGTGTTGAATACTGTGGTGAGGTTCCCTGCGGTCTCCTTTTATGTCTGGCGAATGCGGCACAAGATTTCGGCCCTGGTCATCCTGAGCGGGCTCGTCACATCCTCGGGTCGACATTTTGCAGATCAGTCATTGCAGATACTCCAAAGCTTGGCAGACCCCACGACCGTCGTGATCGGCATTTGTTTGCGGCCCACGGGTATGCTCTCTTCCATGGTGAAGTAGAGTGCTGGTATGTCACGCTACTACGTAGTAAAATTGGAGAGAGCAACTTTTCCCAATTGCGGCGTTAGACCGCACTGCAGTGGGTCAGTGAGGCAGTCTATAGTGACATTGGTGGGGGAATAGTGGATATCTGGAACCGCTGTGGTGCTTTTCCGACCCGAAGTACCCACAGACTTAGGTATTGGACTTGGGACGACAGTCGTATCCTTGGGATAGTTATGGCATAGCGCTGCTTGCCCTAGTCTCCCCCGCAGTCTCCATACGCATTTCCCCAACTTTTCCAGTTTCCCCGCGGCACAAGTTACTGGCTAGTGGCGGTAAATATAATACTCGCAATTTGATTCCAGTCTTCGTCTCCCATATGGTCTGTTACACGACATGACGAAGCACCTGCCAGGCGATTCGCCTAGGCGGGCTAGATTCCGACCTGCCCTTGATGACCAAAAAAATGATTTTTCTTTTTCGCACTGCACTAATTCAAGTGGTCGGATGGTGAATGTCGGATATGCTCCGCTAAATCTGGTCGCAACCCTGGAGTGGGATGTGCAGGACGATTACTTTCGTTAACTGCTTGAGTGTGCAATAGGCCTGTACTAAATTGAAAAAAGATACAGTAAGGATGCTCCCTCACACCGTGCCAATTGGCCATTACATACCCCCCTCACAGGCCCTAGCACTCTTCAAGGGCTTAGTGCATGCCTAGATGAATGTCTCAGACTTCAGTAAGCATCCGACCTACTTCTTGATGTAGCCAGGCCACGGAGTCCGATGCTCTGTAAGATTCTAGGAGTGTGGGGTGGTAGAGTGATATTTCTGGTCCCGCTATATGGCCCTGGCTGATGTCTTGTTCGAAACTCATACTGTTACGGGACAATATTCGCTGGAAGAGATACGGCACTGTCAAAATTAAAATTACTTTAACAAGCTCGACTAGACTAGGAGCGATAAGAATTGCGGGAAACAGTTAAACACTCTATGTAATATGTCATACGGGCTCCACCACTTACTGACATGCGTGAGCTCGAATACTTACACCCCCGCCGCGTTTAACAACAATGGCCTATAACAAGAAAATCGCTTATGTGTCATGGCAGACGCTATTGGATACTTGCCAGCATTGATGGACCAATTTATGCGATAGAGCACACGGTGAATCGCATAGGCCAATAGAACCAGCGGGACATTGACAAAGCATGCTATGGTGTACAATAATGACCAATCAAGTTCTCCCTTAGATCTAGACGACCTCGTAATTATTTAGGACCTGTGGCTTTACTACTGGCAGAAAACCATATCCCATTCAACATGCCCCTCTCCCACATATATCTCTTCAATCCCCTCTTTGGTAACCTCTTTCTGGCTGAGAGTTCAGAGCGGATAATAACACAAGACTTTGAGCCATCACATATGTTTGCATTTCCTGAGAGAACACCAATAAAGAGTGACAAACCCACTTTCACCTTGAGATAGGATTATTTAGTTGTAGCTTTGAGGAATCTTGACCTTCAATTTCTACCCAGCACGTTTGCCGAGTAAAGCCACAGTGCGCCCAACCTGCTCAGAATGTCTGACATGACAGGCCTCACCACGCATTGTTGTTGACGTATTGTCATCTTCACCTTAGGTAGCCTCACTCTTCTCCACCTCAATGCTACCCTTCTTCTCCTCTACATTAGGAGGGCTGCTACCACCATTCATTCCGTGTAGCATCGCGGACAGCCCAATCTCGCGGTTAATCTCCTCCATGCGTTCAAAATCAGCGGCAGCTGTACCTTCTGACCCGAATATCACGTCCTACACAAGGGCGTTAGCAATGGCAAAACTACCTGAAAACTGGCACATACCATCTCTTCGAGTGTGAGACGTTTAGTCTCGGGCACGAAGAACCAGATAAATCCCGCGCCAATCGTAGTCAGCAGACCAAAGAGAATATAGGTGCCGTACCCAATGTTCTGGAGCATGTCAGGCGTCACTAGTTGTTGTTAGCATCATCAACTCGAGCAGACAGGCTCATCCCTTTAACCTACCCTGCCCAACAATAAAATTGTTCATCTTTTAGCAGTTAGCACACAAGCTCCACCATGTTGATTCTAGGGTCGGCACTCACCCAGTTGCTTGATGCTCCAAGGGATACTCCATAAGGGCGCGAACTCAAGGGCCAGATTTCAGCAACCAGAATCCAGGCACAAGGCCCCCAGGAGTAGCCAAAATGAATAACGAAAAGCCAAACCATGACCACGGCAGCCCAACCCGCAGCCTCCTGCTCATGCCACTGGTTGGCATTCTTAGCTACGATAACAGCAATGATGAAGTGGCAGAGGGCCATCCCGATAGCACCAATAGCTAGCACGGGCTTTCGTCCTACGCGGTCGATGTATAAGACGGCGGGAATGGTGGCTATGAACATCACTATACCGACCACACCTGTGGCTAGGAGACCTGTTGTGGTATCATCTAGCCCGAGCTGCTTGAAGATGGAGGGCGCATCTGCAAAGAAGAACTGCGTTAGCCTTTCATTTCTGAGCGTTACCTTTCGGACACAATTGTCAATGATGTGGCAGATACGTCGAAGCCTAGTTGCAACTCTGCTAGGCTCCAAGTAGAAGGATCTAGAGGAGCGATAAAATGGACAACACGGAATATTGGGAGTACCGACAATAGAGGACAGCGTTGATACCCGTCCACTGCTGAAAAAACATCGTTACAGTCGCTACGATAACTCGCTTAAACATAGCTCTGGTCTGGAATAACGACTTGATGGCGACAAACTGTAACTTGAAGATGTTCCAGGCAGTCTGCTCGCGGAGGTGAGGGAAGTGCTCGGCCACAGTACGCTTTTCGAAGAGTGATTGTGCTTTGATTTCCAAGAACTCTAGCTCTACAAGCTCATGGTCCTGGGGTAGACCGCGCAGGTTTGCCAATATCTTCCGCGCCTCCGGCTCGCGGTCGTGATGGACCAGCCAACGCGGAGAGAATGGCATGAATAGCATACCAGCAAACAAGATTGCGGCGGGGCCGAGCTGTAGGCAGATAGGTACGATCCAGGCGCCGTCCTTTTGGGTGGCAAGGTCAACGCCGCCAATGTAATTGGTTCCATAGTCGATCCAGAAGCTGACCATGATGCCAAAGGTGATAGCCAACTGCTGCAGAGCGACCAACGCACCTCGAACTTCTGGTGGGGCAACCTCGGAGTTGTAGATGGGTACAATCATAGCGAGACTTCCGACTCCCATACCCGTAACAAAGCGGCCTGCCAAGATGACATTAGGCCCGCCACTTTGTGCTGTCGCCTGGATGATGACTCCTACGACAAAGACTACGACGGCAACAAGAACACCGTACTTCCGAGAGATTGCCTCCGCGAGGAACCCAGAAAGCAAAGTCCCGATCCAAGCGCCCAACTCGAGAATGGCAGTGAGCCACCCTTTCTTAGTCTGGTCAGCGTTCGGGTCGAGTGGATCGTACTCTCCCATATCTGTCCCATATCAGCCGCGTTACTCTTGTATGGAAAAGTCAGGCGATCATACTTACGCGCTTGGAAAGACGGCATTGCCAAGACACCTGAGAACATCCCTTGGTTGTATCCATACAGAACACCACCAATACATGCGAAAGCAGCAATTCGGAAGACCTTAAAGTTCTTCACCAAGGCCGCGGGGCCGGAGGCACCCATTAGGTTCTGGCGACGCTTCAATGCCGCATCGTAGACGGCTGCGCCGGTATCTGTGGCCACCATGGCAACGGATTTGGTATTCGTAGATATGCGAAGAAGCTGTTGAGGAGGCAACTACTGCGACCCTGATAACAGATCAAATACCAAGCTGAGCTCAAATGAGAGGGCAACGCGGTGGGGAGAGTAAGACTCAGGCCGAGGGAGAAGGATCTCTTTAAAGGTGTGGCACCCCAAATCTAACCCATTCCGAGATATGCATGGAGCCAATGCGAGACGACGACACACGACTGGGAGGACTCGCGCACAAATCATAGCTGGCACAAATGGCAGCTTCTGCCGGGAATGGTGGGATTACCCAAGGGGTCCTGAAGAGGCCCCAATATCCCGGACAAGGGTATTGGATAAATGGCTCCGCTGATCGGTCTACCTGGCTATTACGTCTCTTACATACTTACAAGCTGGAATAGATCCCCCCGAGGTGAAGCACTCTGCAACTCTACGTCCTAAGCCTGACACCCCAAGTCCGACCGGCGAAGACATATTAAGCACCCTCACTTTGGCTTGGCTTGGCTTGGCTTGGGTCGTCCACCCGCGTAGACGCGTACCAGAAAGACAAGCTTTGGACATAATGACTCTCGTCGGGAACTAGTGATAGTGTCTCATTACCGGCAGCTCCCATTTTCATTTGTGGGGGATGGATTTTTGGAGAATGCGGAGAGCAATCCCAACCGGCCAAATTGGTCCTACTGGACGTCCAGGCCTAGTGGGTCTGCGTGCATTTAGCCTGAATCAGCTCTACTCCAATGCATCGCATTCCCTGTCAGTCGGTGAAAGGCTTGGTCATGTACTGTTCGCATTCAAGCGTAGCACTGCATCCGAAGGGCCAAGGGTAGTGTAGATCGTGCCTTGAGATACAGTTGCGTTCGTGAAACGTTGAACTGGTCTCAAGGCTGCCTCAACCCAGAAACCAGGTCTTTCACCGGAAGGCCCTGCCTGGCCACTCACAGACGGTCGGTAACGAGTTGTGCTATGACTTTAGTGGTGTGTCATTACACGGTACCTATGCCGAAACAGTAGAAACGAAGTATTGAGTTGTCTGTCTTCGATGCGGACTTCACGATTCGATTCTCTTTTGCTTGAATCAACGTACTCGAATGCCTGAGGTTAAATAATTATTGGACTTATTGAACCTTGATAGTTGCGAGAGCATTTGCCACGAATATCGCGACTCCCCTTGCCCCGCGTACCTAGGCCATGGTGGCAAAGCATGTCGACCAATGCCAGTAGAGTATGGGAGGCAACGATCTCTGATGGGATATTCCCGGTTATTTTAAGCAAGTGATATCCTGACTGAGGTGGTCGCCCGAGATCGTATCCGTATCTGGGCAGTTGGCTCCCTAAGGGGGGTTGACTAAGATGTCAGATCCCCTGCCATAGTTGATGCTGCTGCGAGTAGCTCGAGCATCCAGTCCTCGACCCGGTATAGAACATGTTAGTGTTTGAGCAATGTTCGTCTCACTAGGCAAAAGGGAGCTGGTAACTCGAGGTGTCATTTGACACAACGCGTGTGCATATAATGTTTCCCGGTCAGGTCGCAGGTGGATAACAGAGTTCTTGTGAATTGTTCATAGCATCTACAGCAATATGCGACAAGTCCCCATGGCGTCAGACGCAAAACGGAGAGCCAAAAGTGAAAAGGGGGAAAGAAAGAAGGTGAAAACAGACAGTTATATGGAGCCCATTACTATGCTATTGCTCGGTAAAGGTGGTTCACCCCTCATCCGACTTGTATGATGCGGCGGCGACATCGACAATGCCAAACCTGCTTTCCTCGCTTGACCAGTTGCAGAGGGAGCAGGAAAGGGCGCCAGCTACCCGACACATTACGTACAAAGAGGCAATATGCCGCGGCTTATGAAACGCAACCTTGCCAGATGTAGAGAACGGATATGCGTATAGCGCCTCGACCCGCTGCACCCCGAAGCTACTGTCGCAGTAGAGCTCTATGAAAGGGCAGGGGCCAGCCCGTATCTAGCACCGCGGGCGCTTGGAGACCTACCTTATCTCGTTGGATGATCGATTAGCAAGCAGACGTAAACGATCCGAGAGTTGACAGGTTTGCTGCCACGCCCACGACCACGTCCACGCCACGATAGCTGAGGTGTGCAACGGCCCAAAACCCCCAGGGCGAGCAAGAGCCAGGGATGGAGATCTTGAGAGCTGTCTTCCGGGCGAAACCTGATCATGGCCCCCATTAGTAACATTGAACGAGGCCAGATCGGTTGTAACTGTGCCACGCAACGTGGTTGGGGGCGGAGGGAGGAGCTCATTCGGAGGCGAGCAGGCTCATCACCGGATGAGGGCAGTGTTGGATAGCCCCAACAGAACCAGAACCGGCTCGTACCAAATCTGATCGTATGCCGATCCACAGGAACAGCATCGGAAGGAGAGTCAGGGAAAACATGGCTGCTACTTTCTAGGTAGGGCCCTGCCGTAACGCCCAAGTCGCAAGTCGCGTCGCAGCGGCGTCTACATCCACCGGGTCGGCAACTTGGAGACGAATTGGAGGCGCCGAGTCCCTGACAGCCAGGACAGCACACGTGACATCCCGCTGGAGCTCAAGCTCATCGCCTTGGAAGTTGACTGACTGGACGCGCCGGCCAAAAATATCCTCGGCAGGCCCTCGGGTCAATGCGACGACCGACGATCTAGCCGTGCTGGGCCTAGCGGGCAAACCCCCAAGCTTAAACTTGGGGTGATCGCCTCTTCCTGACTAGCGTCGACTGTAGACGCGCGCCTCCGGCAGTCTTAATTTGGAACCCACCTCGACGACAGCCAATCCGAGCCGCCGCCGCTCGCTGGAAACATCTGCTCGTCGTGTTTCAACTGCCCCAAGATGGTATTTGGAGCCCTTCCGCATGGGGAAATCGCAGTGTGCGGTCGTGCCAGGCGCAGCGAGCCCGGAGGAGAAGACGCTTCCACTGTCATGGGGGCTGCGCAGCTTGTAGACAGACCTCGCCAGTCCACGCGATGCGCGGAGCTCCCTTCAGTGTCCTGGGCCCATCTCAGCATTGGCGCTTCTGGTCTCCCCCATTCTACACGGAGCGAACAGATTGGGAGACCCTGTCTGCTACGGTAGAGCAACCCAGCGCACTTGTGCGTGCTTGTACATCCTCCGTTCCCCTGTTCTGAATTCAATCTCCCTGGACGCCTGGAGCCAGGCGCTAATCGCAGGAGTCGATGGCGACCCGGACGGCGACGCTTTCTTTTCTTTCTCAATTCGACTTATAGGTCATTTCACCTCCGGGGTCCGCAAGTGCGCTCTTGGCTACCGGCGAGACAGCTGCTGCCCGCCCGGAGCTCTGAAATCTAGAGCTCGTCTTCCCTTTGCCATGATGAGCCTAGGATTACATCCGGCTCATATGTCGAGGGCTGGCGGCTACTGACACCAACCGCTCTGCTATTTTTGACCCGTGTACTGGCCCGTCTCCATACTCGACAGCGCCTGGCTATATGGGTCCCCCCGTCCCATATATTGCTAGCCGCCCTCGACCTCTAGCCACTTTTCTTAGCCGCCCAACTCCAGACAGACGCCTCCGCTGGACTCGCCAGCCAATATCAGCGACCCTTTCTGGCTCTGTCCGCTCGTTCAGACACACACCCTGGGTTTCATGAGTTCTGCTTGCATTCGAACATTAGACTGCCGCTCTGCAACTACCTTCAACGAGCCTGGTAGCTCCGTTTCAGACCCGCAGCCTTGGGTCTCACCTCACGTCCTGCAGCCAACAGCCGCTGGTGCTCGTTTCTCTCCTGTCGTTGAAGCAGTTTTATAAATGGTCGCGTCCCGATCGTGACCCATCGTGTCTGGTCTGCTCACTTGGACCCTCCTTCGCCACATCACTATCGACCAGTTTCTTTCCGTTTATTTCCTCTGTGTCTCAGTGTCTTTTCCCTTGCTGTTCCCTTGCCCTGTTCGTTTCAGCTCCGTTCGTTTGATACGAGGAAAGCAGCTCTCACTTCTTCTTCTTCTTCTTCGTCAACCCCTGGCAAAGCTCTAGATAGGCAAAGTCCTCACCAATTTCCCGCATACGAATCTACTGGCTCTAATCGTCTCCGTTCGACTTGATACCCACCGACTCTGTTTCAGTTCTTTCTATATACCATCGTTGTACCGTCGATAAACATGCCGAAACATACGCGCTCGTCCAGTTCCACTCATAATGGATATGCCAACGCAATGCATATGCCTGCCTCCCTCGCCCCTGCCCAGCCTGTCAACATTGGCTACAGCAGCCGGCCTCAGCTACCTCTAAATACCGCCTTCTACCCTACCGTGCCGTCGTCCACATCCGTGCAGCAGTCCATGCAGCCTCAGTACGATCCATACTCGGGACAAGTTGTACCATCGCCAATGCCTCACCGTGCCTCGTCCGGCGCATGGTCGCCCCAGGACGACAAGAACCTCATCCAGGCAAGACAGCAAGGCTTGAACTGGTCTCAGATCCAGGCTACCTACTTCCCCAACAAGACAAGTAATGCTTGCCGCAAGCGCCACGAGCGCCTGATGGAGCGCAAGGGCGCTGACGACTGGGATACCCGGAAGCTCGAGAGAATTGCCAAAGAGTACATGAGCATGCGCAAGGAGATCTGGCAACCGTTGGCCTCAAAGGTTGGCGAGAAGTGGAATGTAGTGGAGGCAAAGGTCGGTCACATCCCATTTCTCGAATGGTACCCTAGACCCCAAGAGTTGATCTAACACGTCCCCACAGTGTATGAACAACGGCCTCAAGAACATTCAGAACGCGGCTCGTGCAGGTGCTCGGCGGGAGCGCGCTGAGGCAGGCCAGTCTTTCCATGGGTATGACGACGACAGCGGCATCTCGGGCATTGGTCTGACTCCAGTAGATGACCTCGATGCGTCGTATAGCAGTCCTGAGACTGCCGCCTCCAGCTCGCATTCGGGAAGCTCATTCCACAGCGGCTACCATCCTATGCACATGAGTGCTCAGTACGGCCACGGCTACACTGCCAGCACCGGCGCCCTCTCATCCTCCGGCTACAGCTCTTCTGTGTCATCAACCACGGCACAGGGCTACGGGACAGTCCCCAGCCACTCTCACCACTCGCAAGGCGGTTCGCCTTATATGGGACATGGGCAAAGACTGCCTAGCGTCGATATGAACATCGATGCTCTGATCAATAGACCGCAACATGGCAATGCGCCTTCCAGCATTTAACGGCGTTAATCTCTTCCTTTACTCACTTTATTTCTTCGCTTCCCACATGCCCTTGTTTCTTGGAGCTGGGGTGCTCGGCCCGGTATGGCTTTTGTCTTTGTATTGCATTTGCATCATCTTGGTAACGGTTAAGAGAACATTGGCGTTCGCGGCGTTGGGTTAGGCATGAACCGGATGACCCGGTATTGCTTGGTGGAAAGCCAGCGAACAAGGCTGCTTCCTGATCATCCCATCTGAATTTCCCATGGGGACGGATACTGAAGTTACAACCCACTCATTATTTTGTTTCTTGCGGCACGAATAGTGCCTGTCTAATGATCGCACTCCTGCAACGGAAAACGTCGGGAGAGAATTCAATTGTATGCTAGATATCCTAGATGCGAAGGTAGTTAGTACGGTAGGAATGAGAGATGTCGGGCGACAGGCTTATGGAGAGGGCTTGCCAACTGGGCGACCGGGGAGGATGGGTTCGATGGGTGATCATTTGCAAATTAACTGCTGCCAACACGATGGCCACTGCTCTTTACCTTCCCCCGCTGCGATGTGGTCAACGTAGCTAATGTCGGGTATGTTCACATGAATCAGCTGCCCAATTGTTGCTTTGTGTTCCATACTACCTTGTCTCTAGAGCATCCGTCGCCCACCCCGCGGCTCGCATCGCATATCCCCATAGATATCCCACATCCTACATCCCACATCCCACATCCCACATGCCGGCGGCTTGTCTCGGTAGTCGGCCTCGGCGTGCAGGATCCGTTTGTGGAGCCCAGGGCCCCCCGTTTCAGTTTCCGGAAGATCCACCGGCACAAGCGCCATAGGACATACGAAGTAAGCCCATGCCTTTTTCCGCCGGCTGTGATGCCTTGGCACGAGTAACCCTCTGCGCAGTCGACAACACAACGGTTGAGAGAGTCAGTCATTCAGCGAAAAGTATCTTTTTATTCTCTGCTTAGAAAACGCCCTTGATTTGTTGGATTTTCAAACCAACGGCGTGACCGGCAGGTTGTCCGGTTATCCACTGCCATTCCGATTGACAGACGCCGACTCCACGGCTCCACCGGAGTCTCACAATGCCCTTTACCCACCTTCCCCTCACGGCTTACGCTTCAATAGCGTCGTTCCGAGACGGAAGAGCTTCATCAACGCTGACTAATTCTACCAGCGAATGGAAGTATTAAAGCAGAAATGGCCGAACCTCACTGTGAACGACGTTCCCAACCACTTACTCTGCCCGACAAACCACAAGACAACCCCGTGCAGAGACCACCATCGAAACTCACACAATGGCGCCCTTCGGCAAAATCTACTCGTATCCTGGCAACTGGCGGGTGCAGCGTGTATGACCCCCTGAATCAGACGTGAGTCCGCGGTCAGACCGTCTAACATGGTTGCAGGCCCAAGTCGTTGCCGCCCTGAACGGGCTCGACGTCCCTCTTGTGGACGACTTCAAGATGGGTGAGACAAACCGCTCGCCCGACTACTTGTCCAAGTTCCCCATGGGCAAGGTTCCCGCCTTGGAATGCGCCGACGGCTTCTGCATTGCCGAGGGCGCGGCAATTTGCATGTACCTGGCCGGCAATGGTCCCGCCGCTGAGCAGCTCCTCGGCCCCACCGGCGATGCGAAGACCAAGGCGCGCATTGCTGAGTGGTCGTGCTTTGCCGAGAACGAGCTCACCCTCAACATCATGATCCCCGCCGTGATGTCTGTCTTCAAAGTGATGCCCTACGACGAGAAGCGCTACGACTTCCATGCCGCCAATGTGGAGCGTGCGTTGAAGCGACTAGAGGTTGCCGCCAAGGGGAAGAAGTACTTGGTCGGCGAGCAGCTCACATTGGCTGACATCATGGTGGCTGGCCCCCTCTTCTTTGGCCTTGCGTTCCTCGTTGACTCCGAGATGAAAAAGGCCGTCCCGGAGACGGTGAGATACTTGCAAGGCCTGTCGGAATTGCCCGAGTTCAAGGCCGCGTTTGGCGACCTGAAGAGCATCGAGACTCGGCTCAGGCCGTGAGACTAGAAGGGAGCAGAACCCTACATTTTCCCGTCGCTTGGCTGAGCCAAAAAGAAAAAGAAAAATAAAACATTTTCATCGCCCCAGAACTCGTTACATTACTATGCTCAACCGCGACTTGGTCACATAATATGCATGCCCCGGACAATTATTGCTCTAGACACGGAGGAAAGCTTCACACGCTCGACTCAGACCAAAACCTATCCCACGCCGCGGGCCACTTCTTCGCCTCCAGTTCCGCCAGCCAAGCGCGGAACGCGATTTCCGACGTCCCGATTCTAAGTACACCGTCTTTCACTCCATTCCAGCCCTCTGCAGGAGCTTTGATATGCTTGTGGCCCGCTGGGCAGAGTGTCCGCCACGGCTCGGGCAATTTTCCGTTCTCCTTGTCGATCTTCTCGGTGTAGCACTTTTCGCATAGCGTCAGCTCAGTGCAATAGTAGCATAGATACACTGGCTTGTCTTTCCAGTTGCTGAACCAGGAACTGCACTCCCCGCACTGAATAGACGCGCTTGAATCAAGGTCTTCCTCCGAATCTTGTTCTTCTCGGCTCAGTTCCTTTGCTTCAGGGTTTGGCGGAGGAATTGCCTCTGCGTCTCCAACAGGCTCTTGGGCGTCCACACCAGCATTGTCTTGGGTGCTTGCACTTTCTGCCGTAACAGCCGCGTCCTCTCCGTTCGGAAGACAACTGACCTGCAGATTCTCCTGCTCACTTGGGCCCTTGCTTTCTCCTGAACTATCAGGCTTGCCCTCACTGACAGAATCTCTCTGCTCCTTCTTGTAGGTTGCCATGTCCACAACGTACAACTGACATGTAGCCGCAATGCTGGCTTCGGTTTGCAGGCCAGGGACACAAGCCAGAACCTTTGCCAACGTGCGGAAGCTGACGCTGTCGTTTCCGGCGATTTCATCGCGCAGAGCCACAAGACACCCCTGAAAGGTAGCTTGGAGGATCTCCTGGAACCTCAAAGGTTTAATCTGCCTGGTCATTAACGCGAAAGGTATCGTCGTTTGCGACTGCGTCGGATCGAACTCATTGCCCATGCTCTCTTTGACCGTGGTCACCAGTCGTTCCATCTCTTTGAAAGCCTCAAACTTGCGGGCTGGATCTTTCGTATTTCGAAACTCCTCAACCAGAATGTCTGAGAGCTGGAAGGACGCCTGGGGGATCATCCATGAGAACGAAGAAGTCAGGCTTCTCTGAAGCAGGTCTTTGGCCTCGGCGTAGCCATCCACACCACGGACGGTCTTGAGCAATTGTGCAAGTTTGGGCCTGAAGTAGTCTGCCCATGACTCATGCTTCTGCATGGCCTCAACATATGCCTGGCAGAGCAGGTCGACTTGTCCAGTGAATTTGCAAGCTTTCTGTAGCTCCATCTCACACGACAGCAGCGGCATGATTCTTACCTCTTTGGGATAGAGGCGGAATACCTCTACGATCTTCTCGAATTCGCCCCGCTTGTCGAGTGCGTTTATGATATTATAGCAATAAGGAGCCTCGTCTTTCGGTCTTGCGCTGATGCTGTTTGCCATGTACCTGACGGTGTTGGATGAGTCATCCAACAGGATCTCGGAACGAGCTCGCATCATCCATACGTTCATCAGCGACGATCTGACAATGAGCTGCTCCCCGGCGTTTTCGGAGAGCGTAATGTCCAGGCTAGCAGCCGTGGCTAGCAATGCGCTCGCTTCAGCTGCCCATTCCCTTTGGGTCTTTTTGGGGGGGCTCGGCTCCTTTTTGGCGACGGCGGCGACGGCGTCTCCATCACTCTGCAAAGATCCCAAACTCCCTTCACCATTAGAAACCCCGTTGACCAGAATTTGGCTCGGGCCTTGAGGCTGTGTCGCATCCGACTTCTCGGTGTGTTCTACAACTGACTCTCCTCCTTTCTGATCTTTCTCTTCTGCAGTTCCATCTGTTTCAGCTTCGTCCGCTTCGTCTGCAAGGTTCAACAAAACCTCACCCATTTCATAGTAGAGATATATCATGTCGGAGGGCGAGACGGATATGTCTAGACCAATCCTGAACTGCTTCAGAGCTTCTTCGTGCATGCGTTCATTTTCCAGCGCCATGCCGATGGACCGATATGACTGCGCGGTCTTGTCAATGTGCAGGAATGCTTCCGACACAAGTAGTATTGATTCCTCGGTAATTGTGCATTCTTCATCAAGCTTGTCGAAGTATTCCCGAAGCTTCTCGTTCCCCTTCATGGATTGAAGTTCTTGCCCGAGACGCAATGCGTTATGAGCATAGCCAAAACTGCACCCAGCCTGATAGTTGAAACGAACATCTGGGGTGGTAAGCCAGTTGGATACGTGCGCATCCGCTAATTTTACGTAGATCGTCTTCGCGTCCCGGACCAAGGGCTTGATCCACGTCAAAGCCAGAGGCGACAGAACCGCTGGCGGAAGTTGAATTGCTCGCCTTGCCCATGTTTGCAGGACCTTGAGCGCACTGTCTCTGTCTGTGGCACTAGTTCCGAGCACGCAAGACTCCCTGATTCCAACGGAAGCTCCGAACTGCTCCAACTCCATCTCCCTGACCGCCCCGTTCCTGTTTGATAAAATGCTGCATAACGCCTCAACAACAGAAGCGGCTTCATCATCATTAAGCTCATTGGCGTCGATATCGGTCAGATGCGACAGCCAGTGCCGTGCCGCGTACGCGGTGACGTCGTCTTGATCTTCATTATCGTTCGTCTTCTTGCCATCGCGCGTCAGAATAGCGTCAATTATGTGGAAAACAAGCATATTGCCAATACTGCCGCTGCTCTGCAGTCCATCGACCGCGTCATTTCTCTCACGGAAATAGTGTCGCAACGATCGCTCTTGGAATCCGAGGAAGACATTCATATCCTCCGCCGTTGACTCGTCATCCCCTGCGCTCTTGGTGTCATCATCACCTAACTCAAGGTCGTCACTTGAGTCGTCGTGCTGGTCCTCATCCGTCGCTGCATTTGAAAGCCGTAGAATTCTTGCACAATGGTGCTCCAGCTCGTCGTCAATGCTGATCTCGCAGTCCTTGGCGATGAAGCGGAGCAGTTTTCCTGCAGAGCCAAGGGACAGAGGCTCTTTGGAATAGGCAAGCCAAGCAAACAGCTTCTTCAAGACCGCTTTGTCTTTTGGATTTCTTGCTTTCTGGCAGTCCTCAAGAAGAATTTTGTATACGTCTCGGATATTGCTTGGAAGTTGCTCCAACTCGTGCTGAATCGCAAACTCCCGGCCGATAGCATTCAGTCGGCGGAGCATATGGTCAAGATACCGAATTGCTGAGTATTTATTAGTAATTGTCAGTGCATTCGAGTTCGTGCAAGCCCCAGTTGA